TAATTACTTATCGCTTATCGGTATCCCAGCATTGCTTTACTGTTGTTTAAGTACATACTATTCTTAAATAGCACTCGATCTTAACAGTTTACTGTAAACACATGGCATGTGATGCACAGAAGCAATAACCAAAATTATGCAAGAAACTAGAAGACCGATGTTGCCGCTGAATTTATCCCAAGAAAACTTAACAAATCAGACAAATATCTGGAGAGCCCATCGCAATGGAATTCCAAAATATCCGATTGCTGGCGATAACCCGTACACTCGTTGGCTGGGTCCTTGGTTTACGGTGACTATTATACTGATTATTTTTGGGACGATCTGTTTTATTGGTCTGATTGGTATCATAATAAAGAAACGCCAGTTTCGGACTGGCTGTCACTTACTGATTCTTCAGCTCCTAAGCATCGAGTTAATAATGACCTTCACGATCAATCTAATCATTGCACTAAAAGACTTCTATTTGTTGCGTTTAACGGCGTACGGATGCAACGTTACCGACCAGCTCGGTTTCGTGTTGGTCGCGGTGGGACAATGGACATCCCTTTTCTTAGCCATCAATCGCCTCATCGCGCTGTCGTATCCACGCTACTATGCACTGCATCTGAATCGTACACCGGTTGTGATTACCATTGGCTGCTTAACTTGGCTGATTCCCATCGTCACCTGCATTCCGGTATTGCTACCGTTTGTTAACGGATTGAGTTTGTCGCTGTGGCAGACATGTACGATTCAACCAGTGTCAGCCTCTGGACGGAAAACTCTGACAGGTGTGATGACGGTTTGTGTTTACTTCCCGTTGGTTGCCTCGCTGCTGATTTACGCCACGCTGTTGCTACGGTATTCGCGGCGAATTCGTAGTGTTAGCATGATCGATACGGTGCCGGGTGCGGTATCCACGCGATACCGGCGCCGCCTGCAGATGGCTGTGACGCTACTGATGGCTTCGATGTGGTACCTTTGCTGTTTCCTCCCGCACTGTACACTCTCCTCCATTACGGCGGGATTCTACGCATCGCATCTGCGTTTACATCTGTGGATGCGGACGCTGTATTTTATGGCCAGCATCGGCACACCGGTATGTGTATTTCTTTTACTACGTTAATGATCCCATACAGACAGATTCCTGTTGACTTTTTATAGCCGTTTTGTAGACGTTTTTGTAGACAGATAAATTTTATAAACGTTGCTGATTTTTACATCATTATAAAATATGATTATTTTTTATGATCACATAATGTGATCATCAATGGTGATTCACATTTGATGTATTTTGGAGGTATGGTTCGAACTTGTAGGTTGTTTTCTTTGTGGTGGGCAAAGACTATCGCAACGGCCTGCGCGACCTGTGGAACTGGACTCGGAACGGCATTACTACAGTGTTCAATACGATGAAGCAAACTTTAACTTTCAGCGGCTAAATAATCATACAGATACGCGCAAAACTGAAAAATATGAGTGAAACTTAAATCTTCCCCGTACAGGTGAATGCGGTGATTTCAGGGACATTTTTTCGTCGGTCGATCTTGAATTTTGTGATAAATAACTCGTTTGCTCTTTCCTTTGACAGACAATTTATCGGCATAGTAACAAATGAAGGAAAGCGGTGAAACGATGTAGTAAGCGAGACAGCTAGGTTTCGTGGTTAATACGTAATGATATTACGAGTATATTAGTCATCCGGTGTGATATGCATTATTCGATTTCTTTATTGCGGTTTGTGTGCTTCTGCTTATGCCTCTGCGCTTACGGCCTCAGTCGTACAACGGTACTCGAGAAAGCATCTACATTGTTTCGTTGTTGTCTGTTTTAACAATAGAGTAGGCTTTATTTAGGGTGCTTATTACCCGATTTAACGTCAAAATGCGTTGGTGATATTACTCGACTTCCGCTTAAGTCGGACACGTAGCCGAAAGACAGACGTTATGTCGCTGAAAATAGCACATATGTGTGCTTATTTCCAGTCAATCATAAGAAGAAGCTCCTTTCTAAGAATCATCACTCCGCAAATTTAACGATGTTCAAGACAATATTCCGTTGTTGATTCGATTTACATATACTGCACTCCTTCTCATGACTGCGTACGACAGCAGGAACTAGTCTGATCAGCATCATCCGATCACCGGTCTAAATAGCACCAGCTGGAACGCACATATTGAGGATGCACCAGCTGCTCATTTTCGGCCGCATCACAATGCTAATTACTCCCAACATGACATATATAGCAGTGCCCAGATTGATATGCTAATAGTATCTTTGCCTGCCTTTGGGCGTCCATGTTGATCCTCTGCACCATCGCCAATGCGCTCGATATAGTCGTACTGTTGCGCAGCGCAAAAACGTGGAGAATGTCCGCTTGTCATTACATGATCGCCACCGCCGTGGCTGATTTGGCATCTGTGTAAGTGCATCATTCGAATGGTTGATTAGATTCAAAACGTTTTTTAAAATGTTTGCCAACATATAAAGTCGATGTTGTAGGTGGTTGACATTTCCGTATCTCCTTTCGCTGGTGACCCATGGACGGATGCAGCTTTTACACCTTCAGTTGCTTTCGGTTTGGTCCCGTGGATAGATGACACATGCATGTGGTTTTCTGATTGGTTAGTAAAAGAATTACTGTAGAAGCAATCTTAGAAATAACTTAATAACAGACCTATTAAACTTAATAACAGACATACTAAATTTTGCACGAACGTTTATTTTACAATCGACGGACTGCCTCTTTTGCATTTGGTGACCGAACTTGATGAAATTCTTACACTGCAGGGTTCTGATGGTGTTTTCTGGGAACGCCTACTGGTGATCAGCAGCCCACTGCGTTTCCGCGGCTTACAGCGTGTATCGAAAGCGCTTTATGGACGTCATTGTCCGGCCACTGTTATCCTGTTGTTCTGCCACACTGCCCTTGCCCGACAAAGAAATCTGTCAAGTGGAAGACTGCAATCCTGCCAACTCAACGACGACGGTATAATGCCGAAAAATGCTTAAATTCTTGGTTTTGCAGAACCCCTGACTTCATAACTAAGCAGATTTTTCCCGGCAGGAACACGCACAAACTTTCTCGTACTTGGGAAGTCACCAGAGCTAAAAAATCAGATATTTATCCATTTTTCTCCACTGTTTTTAAAGCGTTAAAAACTGCCTGTTCATGTTGTCAAGCTCAGCAGAGACATGATGCTGTTGTTCTGTCTGCCGTAGTGATTTTCTTAAGCATTTTTGAATTTAGGCATTAGATTTTCGTCTTTATGGTACTCTGTATATACCGGGTGGCGCAAGAAAATGGCCTTCTCCCGTTTTTGTATCTTTCTCGCTTACCACTCACCATACGGCATACAACTTGGTATCATTTGATAGATAATTTTGTTAGCTACCAAAATCAATAAATCGTTTTTCAGAAGAATATAAATGTACATGTACATGTACCCTGCTCATGTACAAAGGTGACGAGTGAAATCACGTCAGAATTAGTTTTGGCCCAGTTTGAAAAACACGAAATTGAGTGCCACTTCTCTCCCGTACGAACTATTCAAATTTTTTCGACTGTGTTATTTGAAGAAGAACTTAGTTTCTTGACAGAAAAAAAGCTGTTTGCATGGTGCACTTACTGGGGGAGTAATACAGTCAACATACTTTGTGACTTTTCCCAACAAATGTCGGTTTTTTATCTGGCATTTTTTGGTATTTTCGTTAGAATTTTTTTGCTGTACGACAGGCTGCAACGGAATTTATCTATTTTGCTGATAAATGTAATGTAGTCAAGTCATTGCCCTTACAAAAGAAGTTTTAACTACATAAGTTTCTGAGAGGCTGATGAGAGAATTTCTTTCAAAAAGTGTGCTTGCGGATTTCGCGAGAGGCAAAAGTGCGGTCACTCAGTTGTTCCGCTTCTTGTCTAAACGCGGTCGCTATGATGCCGTGGCTTTATACACTAAAAAATCCAGAAAGAACCCCTCTAACCGAAATATTAACGTGACATGCAGTAATCCATTTAGTTTGAAAACAGCAATTTTCAGTTAAAAATGGGCATAAACTCGGGATTTTGCTTCCGGGCCAACTTCCAGCTCCACCCGATTTTTAGAAAAGATTTATCAAACCCTCAAACTTCTATTTGACGTCAGTTTGATTTCACTTCTGTATGCTATAAGCGTTGCTCTTTCCAATGAATCTAATTTATCGTCAATCAGATGTTGTTCGGACCTAGGACACCACGGTGAACAAGAAGGCCGTTTTGTTCAGCCACCCGGTAATTGCATGCATTTTAATATTCTGCCAAAAAATCTTGTTCTTGTTGGTCTCGCTAGGCTGTTCATCACCACAGTTGAAAGGATTTACGCCATAAACTGTGAAGTTCATTTTCTGTGCGCTGCTGATTATCAAAACACCGGTGTTCCAAATGAATGACACTATTCCGCTTACACCTCTCGTACTTATACCTTCTTTATTATGGCGTCATATATGCCGGAAATGTCTGTTTCACGGCGTACTCTGTAGAGTGCGTATCGCGGTATTGTGCACGCGCTGCTGTCTCATCCAGCTGATCATTCACCGTCGTTTGATACCTTCAGATAATATACAACTGCGTGGGTGTCATGTGATGTGACCAACGTGTTTAACCGCATCTTTACCAGAAATACGTAACTTTACGAATGTTTACCTCGTTGAACGATATGCAGACGATACCGTAGCAGAGAGGCGTATTATAAAGTGAGGCAATTCCTGAGGCGAACGTAAGCGCGTGAATGGAATGTCGTGATATTAGTCATTATGTATGATTGTGCACTTTTCCTCACTCGTATAGCTAACAACTCACTAGTTGCCAATAAGTGGGGTATTGTACTTATTAACGTTTGCACGTCTACGCATAACGCGAGCAACCGGCAATCTGGGCGGTACTAGTGGAGAACCGTCGAAACTAGCTCTATTTATTATCAGCTGCAGCAGTGCACATACATAGTTTTATGGTGTTGTTTGTTTCCCGGATTACCGAGAAACTCGATGGAAGTTTTGCTGTTTTTGCGAAAAATTGTACGTGGTAGCCGAAAGGCAAACGTCGCAATGAAAACATCTACTTCAGCGTACCGTTGAACCGCCACGCTACTAGTAGCTCAGAAAGTATGAGCAAGTTCAACGCGTTGCGGCTTGCGTGATATCCACGAACAGCAATGGTTTAAAAATGTGTATTGTGAAATTACACTGAGATTGATTCTTATGACAGAATATTCCGGTCAAAATCAAAATGAATCCCGCCATCAGGCCAGCGATGCAAGTGGCAGCAGCTGGCTGACTTACGCCTTGGATACCACAGTTGCGACTGCGAGTATTCCTCAGAACTCCAGTTATTCACACGATGGGATATATAGTGCCGCCCAAATTGACACTGTTAATTACATTTTTGCTTGGATGTATGTTTGCCTGTTGGTTCTCTGCACCGTTGGCAATGGGCTGAATTTAACTGTGCTGCTACGGAGTGTAAAAACATGGAGAATGTCCGCTTGTCACTACATGATCGCCACCGCCGTGGCCGATCTGGGTTCTTTGTACGTACAACCTCGTATCATCAATACGAGGAGAAAGCTAATATCTTCGGTAGCGCAGTCAAAATCCCGAGTCATTTCGAACACTTGGCCCATGCACATTTGACTTTAACAGCCAACCGAAGAAGGCTGTCAATCCTCTTAACTTGACCGTCCGCCGTGGACAGGTGCGCCAATCAACACCGTTCTAGCTAAACGGAGACTGGCAACCTCCTACGGTTGACTGCTTAGTCAAATCGTGCATGCGCACAGTCAGTGCCACAGTGTTCGAAGAGTCTCAGGAATTTGAACGCGCTACCGAAGATATTAGCTTTCTCCTCGTACCCGGTGGTCCAACAGAATTGCGGTCTGTTTGATCAGGTGCGCTGGGTCCGTCCAGGGTTTGATTGGAACCACGTTGATTTCCTTCAAAAGAGCACGAAAGAGTTCATACAAAAGTGTAGTTTAACCAAAGTTTAATAAAGGTTTGAAATTTTAATAAATAATTTTTGAAAACGGGTAGAGTTTAAAGGTGTCCAGAAACAAAAATTCTTATTTTTCTGTTTACAAGTTAGAAATTGCACTGATCCAGCAAAGTCCGTTAGAGCGTGACACTTTACTGATTCCCGTAGAGAGATTGATCCGCGTTTTTTAACTGTAAAATTTTTGACGTTCTGCTGAACGTGGCGGCTAAAGAAACGGGAAGATTAAAAACTCCGCTCAACTGAATTTCGTGAAATTCGAAGGCACACTTTTCGAAACCAGTTCTCATGCCAGCACTTCAAAAGCTGACCTGGGTCTAACCTATTACCTAAAGGGCATTTACTTAGGTACGATTACCAGTCTAACCGGCTTTTTTCGTTCCACTCTGTGATGGACAAAAAATGGTAACTAAAAATGCTTAAAAAAGTAATTGAAAAAAGACAAAAAAACTTGGTGCATAGTGTTTGCTTGGTGCATAGTTTTTCCAGCGCATGCACCGTACCAACAGGTCCTTTGTTTATTAAAGGAAGATGTCGTTCTTTCAACGAAAAAACTGAAAAAGGTTGAAGATATGGTACGGGGAAAAAGGGAGATGAAGTTTTAAGGTCGGAGAGCTGGGTCACAGTACATTTCCATATGATTTCATTCGGCACCACTGCTAACGAGATGCTTTCGATTTACGATGAAACGTTTTATTGTTTTTGGTAGCTAATAAAATTGTCTATTAAACGAGTCTAAGCAGTATACAGTCCAACTTACGATGAAACGTTTTATTGTTTTTGGTAGCTAATAAAATTGTCTATTAAACGAGTCTAAGCAGTATACAGTCCAATTTACGATGAAACGTTTTATTGTTTTTAATAGCTAATAAAATTGTCTATTAAACGAGTTTAAGCAGTAAGCAGCATACAGTAGGAGGTTCTCGAGAAACAAACCAAAAGCGGAGACCGCCATCTTGTTGGGCCACCTGTAAACTGGACAGTTATCAAATTGTGATAACATACTGCGAAGTTTTGACGAGACTTACAGCTGGCAAATCCAAAAATCGAACTTGGGCACAGCAGACACAAAAACAAGACCGTGCTGTATTTCGCTGACTACGAGGACCATTGGGTGCTGTGAGCAACCCCTTGCACGATTGGCCGTAGCTCGAAACGCTACTGACATCACAGTCAAATGCAAACGGCTTAAATTTAGCCGGGTGTTCATCGCAGCCTAATCGTGCAGGGGGTGTTCACAGCACCCAATGGTCCTTGTACACCACTAGATAGCTTTTTTTACCACGTGAAATTATCGCAAGAATTTCCTTAGCCACATGACACATCCGAAGAAGACCTGGCTTCCATGATTTTCCGAATATTTCGACGAATTATTTAATAATTCAAATTGCGTGGCAGGCTTGGTATCAATTCCCTCAAATGTGTGCTGCGGTTTTTTCAACTTTTTTGTCGAAATGTAGTACTTCCGGTAGAAAAATATGAAAACGTTTAAAAACATTTTGCAACCAAAATGTTTGTTACTCACAGTGCCACTAGTGAGTACGTGCCTGCTTAAGTGTTTGTATTGCCAAGCTCATCCGGGTGGATGCAAAAATAGCGTCGTACGACGTATTACGTTGACAAATCGTATTACGTTGACAAATCAGGCTGCGTTAGCGGTAGATTAAGATGACACTCATAGGCTGCGTCAGCGGATTCGCTTTGAAGCATATTATAACTCACCACCGTCACAGAATTTATCATAAGAAACTTTACTTTGCAGGTGGTTCGCGCTTCCGTTTTTCTTACACCTACTAAGCCGAGGTCAGACTGAATACACACCGTCGGTTGCTTTCGGCATTGTCCCATGGATGGATGACGCCAGCATGTGGCTGTCCGATTGGTTGGTAATACCCTAATATTATTTAATATTACTGGTTCGTCCTTTGTCATTTAATGCTGGCATGGACAATGTTTGTCTACGAGGAGCATTGTAGACACGGGCGTTAAGGAAAGTGGCCCAGTACATGGTGTCAAAGCTGGGATACGTACACTAAAACTTTCGCTTTCGCGCACTCCGAATGCTTTTTGAAATACTGTATGTCAATCTAAAGCTAAATGATTTGAACACATTGTTCTGAAAACCGTTTTCGCGCGCAACGCCCGGATGCCGAGTTATGGCGAACTAAATGGGCGAAACGTTTAAATGCGTTATTGCGTACTAAAAGCCGGTTATTGCCCGATCCCCTTGAAACTTGCTATAAAAGACACATGGCCATAAAGTCGAAAGTGAACCAATATCAGATTGATAGAATCTTTTTCCGACTTTAAAATGAATTTCATTAATTTTAGAACTCATTTTTAAAATTACGGGAATGTGCTATGAACCTGAAACTGGTTCGCGTTCGACTTTGTTGGCATGTGTATTTCCCAGCAAAGTTTCAAGACGATCGGGTAAGAACCAGACTTTTGGTCCGCAACAATGCGTTCAAACTTTTCATTTATTTTATTTCGCCATATTTCGGCAACCGGATGTTTCGCGCGTAAGCGATTTTCAGAACAATTCATACGACTCTTTCAGTTTTAGGATGACATAAAGTATTGCTAAAAAGTCATTTGGAATGCGCGAAAGCGAATGTTTTAGTGTAAATATACCATTTTTGACACCATGTACAGGGCCATTTTCCTTAAATGGCAAAGCAGATTATGTATCATCATACTAAGACAAATTGCCGCACCTTGTGATAATACTGCAAGCATTCTCGCAGCTTATTTTACAACTGATTGCCTGTTGCAGGATACTTGTAATGTTTTCATGGGAGCGTTTACTTGTTATCCTCTGTCCGTTTCACTTCCGCAGCCTGCAGCGTGTAACCGTGGCCCGCATTGCCATTCTCATCTTGCTGGTGCTGTCGCTGTCATTTAATATGGTTAATTTTGTGGTTAACTACGAAGATCCACATAACCACATGATCGGCGCGAGGTACGGCTTCGATTCTGACGGATCTTTATCTTGGATCCGGCAATGGTTTGCCTTCCACGCAAAAGCCATGGTAAAGCATCCACTGTCTACCCACTTGAAAATGAGAAAAAGTATCGGCTGAAATTCGGCAAATTCTGCGTTCAAAGTTTCTTCAGCGACATGCTCTGCAGTGGCTGTAATTCGGTATTTTAATCAATATCTATACTTCGTACTTCTATTCCTTGTTTCAGATTATTGTGCGTCTGCTGACTTTTTTATTAATCCTTATACCAAACTGCATTCTCATCGGTTTCCTGGCATACTATCGCCAAACGGAAATCAACACAATGCGGGTTACTCCTAATGCCCGTAAAGAGTCATGCGTATCGCCGACTAGAAGCGCCCAGAACAGCATTAACGTCATATTGCTCAGCAGCGCCGCATTGTTTTTGATAACACGCGCGCCACAAACGTTTCAGATGTGCGCTGTGGCAGCCAACAGCAAAATCGGGCTGTATAATGCCGACGATTCCGTTACGCATATCACGGATGATTTTATCAATCTCGCTGTGCTCATCGGTTATACCATGAATTTCTACGTGTACCTCCTTACCGAGCGTCAGTATCGAGAGCGTTTCATGGCGGTCGTTGTTCGCCCACTGTTTTCCTGTTGCGTTAGAACACTGCCATGGCATGACGAAGAAAGCTATGGCGTGGAAGAGTGCAGTCCCACCGCCTCGGCGACGGCAGTCTAACGTCCTACCGTTTTTACGGTGCTGGACAGAGCCACCAGAGTCCAGAATAGGTTTTTGCACTTTTTGAAGTATTAACTCCTTTGACTATGGTGCTACAGTATTTTCAGATTATCCTACATGTTTGCATTAAGCTTATTTCGATTGCGCGAAGCCATAAGTAACATTCGGATACTTGTTTAGTACTGCCGGTTTGTGCTTCATTTCACTTACCGAGCGCAAGATTACCTCCAATCTGTTCGAACCTTTGCAAAAATAAAATCATCAACCAAGGAAGGTCGAAAAATGTTGGAAAAAAACCAACCAAAAATGAAATACACGATAAAAACGGTGAGCAAAAATGCGTCTCTGTTTCTTAGCGGCGATATCAATTAAAAGGATACAGTACTCTGTATACATATACAGTATGCAGTGATGCACTATAACCCTGGCTGCTGTGCATGATGATAAGGCCGGGGTATCAGCAGTGTTGCTTTATTTAGTAAAAGTAAATAGTAAACCTTACTTATTAAGCCGTTTTTGCCTTTTACTAATTAAGTAAAAAGTAAGTAAGCAGCAAAACGGAAAAGTAAAAGTAAAGTAAAAGTAAGAGCAGCCGAGGCTTCAGAAGTAAATAGTAAGTAAAAGTAGGAGGCGCGAAACGGGAATAGTTTAATTAGTAAAGCAGTCTTTTTACTAAGCGTCCGCAACAGATAAAAGTGACGGGCATCATCAGAATTCTGCTGAACATGCTTTTTTCCATAGCAGTTACGTTTGGCAGTACAGGTTTTCTTCTGAAGCGCTAAAATTTCTGCACTGCAGACGCCTTCAACCGTTTAGGTGGGTGAGTTACGTGACTGCCAGGCGTATTAGCTAGTGCTGCTTCACTGCAACGGATACGGTGTAATGACTTTTGCTAATTTTTGTTAAAAAAATAAGTACTGTAATTTTACACAGAACCAAATTGCTTCATTGAAACAAATTTCTGAGCACAAATTGAAATTAATCGGTGTGCACACTGTCGCATAGTACAAGCAGTTATTTTTGTTTTAGATACGTAATATGCTTAAGAAATGAATAATTATGGAAAAATTGGAAACTTTTGTTGCGTACTGCGATTTTTCGCAAAACACGAACAGTAAATACTACCCGTACGGTCGTTCGGTTGGCCACCTATAGTAAGTGAATGGGCGATGGTCGTTCAAAGTGGCCACCTTGAATTACAATTCCCATGAATCGTTTTTCTTCCGGTTTTTTTCTTTACCCAGTTAAGAATAACGTACCCTTTACAGAGTACTTGAAATTTTTGAAATATCTTGAACCGTTTTCTTGCAATTGCGTCGTTAAAAAAACAATGACGAAACACTTAAGCCACGCCACGTGAGCCACTGCACTACACCATGAATACTGCAGTCACCGCCAGACATGTGCGGCTGCGCATGGTAATTTTCAGATGCTTGTACAATTAAATGGATTTTTGTTAACTTTTAATTAACTGATTTTTAAGTGTGGGGTCCACAGCAAAGGGTTGGTTGGCTGGGTTTGTTGTTGTCCACAGCAAAGGGGCTGAGGAACTGTTAGCGGCGAGAGAGAAGATAAAAAAAAGCGACACCGAATGCCAAAGCAAAGCGGTCCCAGTGCATATCGGCAATTTTTTGTGTTCACTAACCTGTGATTTTTTGTTTTTACCTGTATCTACTAACCTGTGATTAATTTTCGTTTGTCGATTTTTCTGGGATGCTTTTGGTTTAGGGTTTCCTAATTTATTAGAATTTGTCAGTCGGATGCACTGGCGTAGCTCAACAAGTTTTCAGCTACATTTATCTTTACTTGCACGATTTTACCACTTTCACTGTGTCACATGTGTTATTTACACAGCGACAGCGCAGCCGCACATGTCTGGCGGTGACTGCAGTATTCATGGTGTAGTGCAGTGGCTCACGTGGCGTGGCTTAAGTGTTTCGTCATTGTTTTTTTAACGACGCAATTGCAAGAAAACGGTTCAAGATATTTCAAAAATTTCAAGTACTCTGTAAAGGGTACGTTATTCTTAACTGGGTAAAGAAAAAAACCGGAAGAAAAACGATTCATGGGAATTGTAATTCAAGGTGGCCACTTTGAACGACCATCGCCCATTCACTTACTATAGGTGGCCAACCGAACGACCGTACGGGTAGTTTACTAGTAATCACTTAGTTAGTAAAAGTAAGTAAGGTTACGATAAAAAAAGTAAAAAGTAAGTAAAAGTAAGGAAGAAAGATTATGAAAAGTAAATAGTAAAGTAAACAGTAAAGTCAATAGCCAGACGAAAAGTAAAAAGTAAGTAAGGTTTTGGGGCAATAGTAAATACAACACTGGGTATCAGATGCAACTTTATGTTTTTTATTTCTCAATATGTACAAGGCGAGCTTCGCTCAACAAATATAATCAAATGAAGAATTTGTCCCAATTAACGTGGGAAGGGACTGTGCACCAGATGCAACTTGTTGGGATACTGTGGCCGTTTCTTCCGTCCACGCTGGCTCGACAAAAGCCGGAAGTGCCGCTCAACTGACTGAAAACAGTAAGCGACGAAAGTACGCTTTCGTCTAGGGTTTGGGATACTTTTTAACCCTCTGGCGGTCGAGACGCTCGGGACTTTTGGAACAGCGATTGCGTAACTAATTCGTTTTGTTGGCCGGAAGATCTGTGATGCTACAGAAGAACCTCGGTCTACGGCCATTTTAAGACAGCGATTAAGTCTGTAGTAAGAAGGAATGCAGAAGCTGTTTGGGTACTTAGAGCGCACGTCATAAGATCTTGAATGACATCAATAATTCAAAATAACACCTTTAATAAGTATCATGTCATAAGTACAAACGTAGTACTGGAAACATTTATAACAGAAACACCTCCTCAATGCTATCTTGATCGGGATCAATAATTGGGGTGTTTTTGGGGTAACTTTTCAACGTTAAAAAGTTTTAATCATTTTAATTACTGTAAATCTGCAAAAGCATACCGATACTACAGATATATGTGCACTGGTTGATGTCGAAAAACAGAGTGCACCATAATACTCTGCCAAAAAAACAATAGTCTTCTTCTTGTTGGCCTCGCTAAGCTGTTCGTCACTGCAGTTCGAACGATTCATGCCACAAACTGTTAAGTGCATTTTATTTCTCGCGATGATTATAGAAACACCTGTGTTCGAAACTAATGTCGCTGATTTCTTTGCAACGCAACCGCCAAAAAGCAGTTCGAGCTTTTTTGAAAATTTCACGCGCGCTGTGAAGGGTACATCTTGCTAAATCGGATGAAGGAAGAATCCGAAAGAAAACCGGTTTGTGGAAGTTTCTGTTTTACAAAGTGGTCCACTTAAACGACCATCGTCCATTCATTTGCCGTAGGCCCGTAGTGATCCACTTAAGCCATAGGAATGGTGTACACGTTGCGCTTTCCGCTGTCGCATCCAGTCTTCTGGTGTGATACGTAAGCGTCAATGAATCGCTTCAGATAGGTATGTAACTCCGTGGTTGTATCTTGTGGTCAATGTTCAACCGCATCTTTGCCAGAATTACGTAACTTTTAGGAATGTTTCAGTCCTAGAATGCCTACCTCGTCGTGTTACTATTATTAAAAATGGTACCGTTGCAGAGAGGCGTAAGTCAGACAGTTCCTGAGGCGAATGTAAGCGCGTGAATGGAATGTCGCGATATTTATCATTCTGTGTGATTTTACTCTTTTTCGGTGATCGACTGAGCGTAGAGGCGGTATAGTAATGTGGTTTTATGGTGTTGTCTGTTACCCGGCCCCTCGAGAAACTAAATGCGGCATTTGCTAAGTTTCTACGGAAAATCGTACATGGTAGCCTAAGGGCAAACGCAGCAATGAAAATAAAGCATCTGTTGGTAAACCGCTACGCTACTTACTCACAATTCTTAGTAGGGGCAAGTTCAGCGCATTGCGGCCCGCATGATATCCGACGAACGGTAATGTTATAAAATTATGTTGTAATATTACGCTGTGATCGATTCTTATGACAGCATATTTCGGTGAAAATCACACAGAACCCCGCTATCTGGTCAGCGACCCCAATGTCAGCAGTTGGCTAACTTACGCTTCAAATATCAAAATTGCGAATTTTCATCAGAACTCCAGTTATTCACACGAGGGAATATACAGTGCCGCCGAAATCGACAATGTCGATTACGTTTTTGCTTGGATGTATGTTTGTCTGCTGGTTCTCTGCACCGTCGGCAACGGGTTGAATTTGACTGTGCTGCTGCGGAGTGTGAAAACATGGAGAATGTCCGCTTGCCATTACATGATCGCTACCGCCGTGGCGGATCTCGGTTCTTTGTACGTACAACATCGTCCAACTTGGACAGTTTTTTAATTATAATAAGGTACAGAGTACTACGAAATATTTTATCCTGTCAGAAGCATAAATCTTAACTTAGAACAACGGTGGGAAACATGAAGGAATGATCGTGCTGCAGCTGCACCACTAGATAAAGTTTCTATCCGCGTGAAAACGCATGATTTTTTTTAGTTTGATATCTAAAGATTTCCATAAATTTCCCGACATTTTAAACAGTTAATAATTTGCAATGCTGGGGCTCGGTATTAAGCGGAATTTCTACTCGTTTGCACCCCTCTTGCTAGAAACAATGCCATGACGGACTCGTGAACAATTCCATAGTGTACGTTACTGCTTTTAATGCTCAAAACATTTAACAAAACCGATTTAAACTCAAAATATGCCCGCAATAACCGGCTCTTGCGAAATCGCTCAAAAAGTTTAAAAATTCATACGCGTCAAATAAATCAGCTATCTACCCAAACTTTATGAATCTTTCAAGTATGCTGAACCTACAAATGACGTACATTCTGAACCAATATGATGATGTAATCTTAAAAAACAAAGATGCAGCGAATTTTAAAATATTTTAAACTCGTATAACTCGGTGAATTTACTTCGGATAACCTTTATTTTGGTTTAGAATGTGTACAGTGATTTACTTCATAAGATGCAGTTGTTAAACGTAAAATCGGAGAAAACGCTGAGTTATTTGATCCGTATTTGTAACTTTGAGAAAATCAACTTTTTGTGTTGGGCCAGATAGGCCGGAGAGCAGAGTTATTCTTGGTGCGACTGCTTCGTATTCTGTTGTGTCATGGCCTCATCAGGTCACATATTGTTCAGCTAAGCAGGAATGGCTGAGCAGGAATCTCTATCGATTCCTGTGTAGTTTAATATGGTCTAATTTGAGTAGAAATTCACCTTAATTCCAACAGGGACGTGCCGGGGATTTTTTTCTCCAAATGCTGTGCTTCTCGTGATAGCCATACTTCTACTGTGAAAGCTTAAGCATTTTGCACTGCATTGTATAGCAACCAGCACGTTCGTACTTCGTATTACATTACGTTGAACAGTTCAACTTGAACACTACATTTACATTTTTTATTGGGTGCGACTATTGTCACCCCCTCACCCCCTTTTGACTATTGTCACCCCCCCTGCATCCCCTTTTGGCTATTGTCACCCCCCTTTTTTAAATAAAATAAACACCCCCTTCGACTATTGTCACCACCTTTCACACCCCTTTTGACTACTGCCACTCCTGGTGCCGTTTTTATAAGAAATTGTTGCTAGGGTGACCTTTCAGCCAGCTTAGTAAAAGTATCTTAGAGTACTTTGGTAGCAGAACTGCATAAATATGCATAAAGTACCCAATGTTGTGGTTTTTGTATGCTGCACTAATTTGTGAATTTTGCCAGTTTATTTCATTTTGTACTAACGGACTAGTCTTGTGAATTTTGAGAAGTTTTTTGTGGTAATTTATATCTGCACTAATCTGTACTAATTAACCTCATGGAACAAGATAAAAGCGATGATGAGCAAGATTTTTCTCCGGACGATGGACCACCGAAGGAAACGTATTCCTCGTGGGCTGAGTTCGAGAAAGTTTTCGGTGATTACCAAAAAACCACCAACCAGACTTTCGTCATTGATCGATCGAAAAAGTTGCCAGAAAATGATCCCCAGCGCAAGACTCTAGTTTACAAATCAGTGAAGTTTGACTGTGTACGCCACAAAGCCCACACGGCAAAAACCACGGGAGAACGACCGTTCCAACACACACGAAGGGCCGAATGCTGTGCCACGCTAACCGAAGCAGCGCGGATAAAGGAAAAACAGCTTGTGATTACGAAGGTAAACCTAAAGCACAATCACCCATTAAGCCTCGAAGGTTGGCAGAATCTTCCCGAGAACAGGAGACTTAACGATGAAGAGACGAATACAGTAAGAGACATGATTCATTCACGTGTACCTGCTGCTGCTATTGCGGATCAGATGCGGAAGCAGACAGGGAAGACAGTCCTAACAAAACAAGTGCATAATATTCGAACAAAGATGGATCAAATATCCCGTGCAGGTAAACGCGCGAAAAATTAATGCCAAACAGTGTGACATTGAAAGGACGTTTTTAGGAAAAACCGAGGAACAGATGCTGGACAATGTACTGCAGAAATTACGTGAGAAAGATCCCGATGCTTCAGTACACGTTGAACTGAGCAGTGATGAGGCCCCTAAGATTTTGGCTGTTGTTATCGTGACCGGCCCCATGAAAGCCAGCTTCGAGGCCAATCCTTCCGTTATATTCTTGGACGCGACGTACAAACTTAACCGAGAAAACTATCTTATGTATGCTGCCGTGGTGGAGGATCGGAATGGGCGTGGGCAGCCTATTGCATTCGGCTTCCTGGCATCCGAAAAAGCGGAAGTATTACGAAGTTTTTCCATGCATTCCAGCGGTTTCATACACGGTGGGAAATGAACGAGGTCATTTTCGTTGATAAGGATTACGGCGAGATTGCGGTGCTCGGAGAGATGTTTCCGGAATCGCGTGTTTAATTTATTTAAAAAAAGGGGGTGACAATAGTCGAAAGGGGGTGCAAGGGGGTGACAATAGTCAAAAGGGGGTGCAAGGGGGTGACAATAGCCATTTCCTTTTTTATTTTTATTTCATTGAAACGCGGTAACATCACAGTTATAAACAGTTAATCATAAAAACAAAATTTCGTTTAATGACGCCGCTCCTTCCATTGTTCCGAGCACGGAAGCGGCGTTTCCTCGCTGAATTTCCAGTGACATTCGCTGGCGGAGAAATTCGTGCGAGCGTGGCTCTCCCGTGTGCTGCTGAAGCCGCTTGGCGATTTCTTTCACTTACGGGTAGCTGACTTTCCCCATGGACCAAGTGTTTCGAAAGCCAGCGGTGCGAAGATATATCTACCCTCCAGATACAAATAAAATCGCACTTTCTTCTCTTCCGCTTGTGCGGCAGCGGATCCTGCTGTCGTTGAAGTTGTTCGCAGATGTGACATAGCGACAGTGTCCACACATGTCACGTCCCATGCCAAGCACATACCGCGTTTCCAAGCGAAGGTGGTGCACTTACATTGTACGACGAAGCGACATTTACATTGTACGACTAGTACTCGTATACGTGATACACTGATACGTGATTCGTGTCCTTACAAGCATCCGGGTGGATGCAAAAATAGCGCAGAGTATAAGGCCACAATGCGGTCAGTACTGATACATATACTTCGCTTTGTTTCTCATTTCGACCGTTGTCAGAATACAGTTTCACTTTCCGATCACCCTCCATTTAAAGGGTACATACATGGTATCAGATTCGTGTACCACTGTACATGCACGAAAATTTTCTTTTTCGGGCACTCCCAATCACATATTTTTTGCTTTGTTTTATGACATTCTGTAGCCAGATGATTTGTATAAACTTGCGTGAAAAGCGTTTGTGAGCGCAACATCGGGTTCGCGAGTCATGGCTGTTAAAAAATTCAGAAAAAGTTTAAATGCATTCAGGTGTCCCACAAACTCATTATGGACAGATCCCCTTTAAATTTTGCACAAAAGTGAAGGTTTTCCTGCGTGTAGACGAATTTGGTACCATGTACCGAGTCACTTCCTTCAAGTTTGCCTGCACTGGCCTACACAAAAAAAATAACTGGTTTTAATTTAATTGAATAATTACCGTAAAAATAAAAATTTATTCCGGCTTTGTGAAAGACACTGGTCACTTAAGTTTTGAAATCTTCGATTCTTCGAATTTGATTAATATATAATAACATTATTTGCTTTGATTTCTTTGATGGGCAGCGTTTTTTTAGCTGATTTCTCTTTCAGTACTGGCTGAAAGCTGGCGCTGTCTTGGGCTGGCTGAAATAGCTGGCGCTTTCAAATAACAGATTAAGCACAGGATAACAAATTAAAAAAATAATCATATAACTGTGAAGTGATAAGCAGTCCACGAAACGAACAATACTAGAAGTATACTTCTCAATACAGTATTAAAATAATTTTACGTGATGGGGAAAAAGAATCTGAAACTGCAGTCAGCTGTCACTAACCACGTAGGCGCGCACTGCAAGCGGGTGAACAGAACGTGACAACGGAAGGAATGCAAAACAAAGCGAAGTAAGCATGTACCTAAGACTGATGATCAGCGACACCGCAGTGTCAATGACTCAATACACTATAAGTCCCAACTGTCACTGTATTCCTCATAATGCATTTTACGTTTCAGGTGGTTCCCGCTTCCGTTTTTTTTACACGTACTAAGCCGGGGCCAGACTGAATACACGCCGTCGGTTGCCTTCGGCATCGTTCCATGGCTGGATGACGCTAGCATGTGGCTATCCGATTGGTTGGTGAATGTCTTATCATAATACAGTATGTAAATCTGGTTGGTTTCGTGCTTTGTAATCTTACGCCGGTGTCGACAAGGTTTGTCACGACAAAAGTTGCTTCGACACGGCGTTCAATGACAAAACAAGGTTTTACTGGGGTGGTGCACCGCTTTATGCTAGCAGTAATATAAGACCGAAGAGAAACAGCTGTACCGCTTGTGCAAATATAAATTATTATAAATAATATAAATTATTGCTCACAGAGAATCTCTTTCTAATATATTTCTAAAAATTCTCAGTGCGTGACCGACGGGACAAAAGGTCCTTTTGTTTGAACATGGAGGACCTTCGTCCACTTCGGTCGATAATACTAGAGATACGACTAATTGTTGTGCAAGCAGTGCAAGCATTTTTGTAGCTTATTTAACACCCGATTGCCTGTTTCAGGGTACTTGTAATGTTTTCATGGGAGCGTTTACTTGTTATCCTCTGTCCGTTTCACTTCCGCAGCCTGCAGCGAGTAACCGTGGCGCGTATTGTCATTCTAATCCTGCTGGTGCTGTCGCTGTTATTCAACATGATCAATTTTGCGGTTAACTACGAAGAACCCCACAAACACATGATCGGTGCACGGTACGGCTTCGATTCCGATGGATCTTCGTCCTGGGTCCGACAGTGGCTTTCGTTCCACGCAAAAGCCAAGGTACGCATCCACCTTCTCGCCATACGAGAAAATATCGGCAGAAATTTGACAAATTCTCTCAAAAGCGCAATGTTACTTCAGCAACTTGCCCTGCACTTTTTTCGAACATCGCAGAAGCAATAAATCGGTGTTTTAATCAATATTTCTCGTCCTTAGATTAGTGTGCGCCTTCTGACATTTTTATTAATCCTTCTTCCCAACTGCGTTCTCATCGGCTTCTTGGCATATTCTCGCCAATCCGAAATCAGCAGGATGCGGGCCACTCCCAACGTCCGTGAAGTCGCATCGTCGACGAGAAGGGACCAGAACAGCATTAACGTCATATTGCTCAGTAGCGCCGCACTGTTCCTGATAACGCGCGCGCCACAAACCTTTCAGATGTGCGCTGTGGCAGCCAACAGCAAAATCGGGCTGTATAATGCCGATGATTCCGTTACGCATATCACGGATGATTTTATCAATCTCGCCGTGCTGGTCGGTTACAGCTTGAATTTCTACGTGTACCTACTCACCGAGCGACAATATCGAGAGGGTTTCATGGCGGTCGTTGTCCGTCCACTAATTTCCTGTTGTATAACAACACTGCCATGGAAAGACGAAGAAAGCTATGGAGGGGACGAGGGCAGTCCTACCGTCTCGACAACGGTAGTCTAATGAGAAAACGTTTAACGGTACACGGCAGTGGTACCAGAGTAGACCTTTGATTTTTCCATTAGCTGCTTCGACTATGATGCCTCACTGTTTCCAAATTCGCTTGTATGTCAACCAGCTGCATTATTATGTTTACGTTAACGTTATTTCGATTTCGCGAAGCCATAAGAAACATTTGGGCACTTGTTCAGTAGTGCAGTCTTGTGTGTTTCGTTTCCGTTACCGAGCGGAATCTTTGGAAAATTAACTTTATCATGTAATAAGCAGACGTGAAATAATGCTGGAAAAAATGAATCAAATAATCATGAACTCCATGGAAAAACAATTACAGTGAGCACTGCTCCGTCTTTGTTGCTTAACAACGATAGCAAACAAACCGGTTGCAACACCAGTTCGTCGGGAAAGAAACTTCTTACTACAAAGATCAAAATAATTCAATGTGGTGAATCAGACTGCCGACAATATTTGCTTTATCCGGCGTGCAGCTCCAACGACGTGATTTTCAATGGAATTCCATAAAGTCCGCAAGCTGTTCCGATAATCGTTTCCGACCATGAAGAAGATTACCTAGCAAAGGGGCCAGGAACGTCAGTCAGTCATCCTTAATAACTGCGGAGCAAAGCGCAGATAGGCTTATGAAAGTAACGTGGTTTAGAATCCCAAAATTTGGGTGCGCACACTTAAAAGTCAACCTTTCGTTTTCGTGCCCTCGCAATGAGTTTCCGTATTGTTTTCTGACATTCTCTAGCGAAACATTTATTTGTATTGGCCTAAAAACCGATTGTGCGCACAATATCCAAATAGGAGCGAAAGTTTCGAAATTAATGTTACAATTTCAGAAAAAGGGAGGAATTCTGGTTCGGTACTTAGGCGGTCTTATAATAATTCCCGTTTTTCAGCAAAACTTTGAAGAAGACAGGTTTATTGTCAGGGAATTCTTACCGGTGTTCCGGCGTAACCTAAGAAGTAAACAGACCGTATCCATTGAAATGAACGCAGATGCGCCGCATAAAATACTGGAATAACCGCCGAGAAGGTGGAGTACGGTAGAAAGCACAGCAGATACCATACCGAAGCAAATAACAGAGTGTACGAAACCTGCAGTCGACGGCGGTAACGCGTGGCTTCCCTTGGCAGCGTTACCCTCGTACTGGTCTGTCGTATCCGGCGAAAATGTCGTATTAGCATAACAGTGTACAGCAGCAGAGTACCGGCTAACGGATTGACACCACAGCGCGGAGCGTGGGGAGGACGGACCGCGTCTCGGGATGAACCATGCAGATCTGCCATGACATTATTAAGCCCGTGGAAGGAAGAAATTGCAACTGCAGAATGGAATGAGCCAGGATAATGCTTCAATAATTATCATAACTGCATACGATTCAAATGCAGTGCATATAAATGTGGGAGGGACAATGCAATGAGACGATTGATAGCCAAAAGCAACGATGTCCACTGACTCACAGCGGAAAATATTAAAGCTGCTTGCTCAACGATACCACATTCATTCAACGATAGGTGAAATAGTCCGAACTCGGGTAGGATAAACAGCGGATGAATGACGGATGTCATTACGAGCTCCGTACACAGGAGTTGCAGAATCAATACTTGACAGCCATTTCGATAACGACCTTTTTTGATAATACTAATAATGAGGCCGATTGTCAATATTGTGCCGATAATGAAGACGATAACTGTTACTGCAAACCAGGGAATCAACCAGCGCATTTTGCATTGTAATCAATGGCGTAAGTCCAGGTTTTGGTGGCATTTTTATGCCCTTTAAAGAGATTGTCATTTGTTATGTTCACACAGTACGCGTTCATTTTCGATAACTAGGAAATTCTGTTGCAAAATGGTGCTGATACAATGCGAGTCGGCGTGACATGTTCCTGAATTCTCCACAAAGCGTTTCTTTCCTAAACAACTCTTTCAGTATTTACCATTAATTTGGCAGAGTACCGTTATTTATGGATGAACGGATGCCACCAGCTTCTTCCACTTGATCACGCATTCCAAGGGCAATGAGCGAACTCACGCATTCCAAGGGCAATGAGCGAACTACCCTTTAGAGATCTACATCGCAGTACTGATATACTATGTTTGTCAGATCCGTGTATTGTGTCGTGTGTCTGCAAGTTTCTTTGAAATGTAGGAATCGACTGGGTGCAGTCAAACTAATTATTCTCTGAGCAATCAGTATTGCATAACGGCGCTTGTGTTCCATATAGAACAATGAAAATTGCCCCGACATTGCAGCTTTCTGCAGCAAGCGCAACAAATACAGTCATACAGAGCATCACACCAAACCGGCCAGCAGGTGCGGCTCACTTCACTTCTGCCACTCCCTATCGTGTTTGCAGTATTACACTTTTATTTCTGCTATCACTCGAAGACGACAACAACTCAACTGATGACAAATAACATTGCTATGTCAATAAGAGAAACACTATTGCTGCTAAGCGGACATTGCACAGAAAACCTTCAACATAATTATAATCGCGCGACATAAAACTTGTATCAACTCGTCATACAACATGTACTGTTGTACGTTCGTAACACTCCCAAACCATACTCTAGTCTTTTACGGGGCATTCGAATCAGAAAAAATTTCTGTTATTTTGGAACCCTCGCGGCTCTGATCATACGGGGAAACACATGCAAAGCAAATTTTCTAATGTAGCGTTGTAATATAGAAATTCAACGTGGAAATGCCGCCAGTATTCTTGACATGGTTGAATGTGGTGGTACTTCCAATGAGCTGTTCTTGATTTTTAAGAAATGTTACCCCTTCACAATATTTAACGGAACCACTTCAAATTTACCCTGTAACAATTCCTGCAGAACAAGCCCAGTAATATAAGGGTGGGTCTTCAATTCGAAGCAAACCTAAATTTTGAAAATCGTATTTAGCTCCTTTCACGCTGCTCGACGCCTATAACTCAAGGGAAACCAGTGAACAAATACTCCTCATAAGACGATTGCAGTCTACCGAAGAAGTACTGTATGTGTACACATTAATGTTTTAAAACGTCAGGAATCACACACAAGGCGTAATTACGGTAGTTCTGGCTGCCGACACTTCGTCCGATTCGCAAGAGCACTGAAGTGGTTTGCGACACAATTCCTTAATTCCCGTAAGCTGTCACGATAATCGTTTCCCACCATAAAGAAGATCACCTACAGCAGATTCAAGTGGGTTAGCCAGATTAACAAGTTTTGCGAACACGGACATCACCGTTGCATAAAGAATTTTACAAGTGTTACCCTTTGTGAGTTCTATATTCGAAAGCCAACACATATTATTAAGGCGCCGGCATATGCTGTGAAATATATTTTTTCGAACTTACCGGAGTGCCCGAATAACCCAGGAAATAAAAGGTTCGCATCCAATAAAATAACCGATGAGTGGATGCATAAAATGTGGGAATAACCGCGGAAAAGCTCCAGTGCGGCAAAAAGCACAGCAGATACCACACTGAGGCTGCTAAAAGGGTATACGAAATCTGCAGACGACGGCGGTACCGCGCGGAACCCATGAACACCGTTGCATTTGTGCCGACACATCGCGTTCGACGAAAATGTCGTTCGAACAAAACAATATACACCAGCAGACTGCCGCCTAAGGGAATGTAGAGCGAGATCGTCACAACTGCTCGGAGTGTATTGAGAGCGGAATGAGTGACTGGATGAATCATACAGGTCTGCCATGAATCCATGTTGCTAGCGGAAGGAAGAAGCTGAGGAACGCAACTGGCGATGGGAATTATCCAGGACAATCCGAAAACCATAATTACAACCGGCGTACGGTTAAAGTTCACTGCATAGTATCGCGGAAAGGATAACGCGATGAGTCGATTAACAGCCAGAAAGAAGGAGGTCCATTGGCCCACAGCGGCAAATATTAAGCCGATTTGATCAACAACAGCGCATCCGTTGTACCATAAAATACGCAGGAGATAAAAGTCATTTACGGCAACCAGCGGATTAATCACAGAGGTCATCAGGAGCTCGGTACCCAGGAGCTGCAGAATCAGTATCTGACAGCCAGTTCGGTAGTGACCTTTTCGGAGAATAGTGGTGATCAGTCCGATTGTCAACACTGTGCCAAAAACGAAGATGCCCATTGCTACTGCAAACCAGGAAAGTAGCCAGCTCATATAAGCATCAAAGTCAACAGTGTAAGTCCATGGTTTGCTAAAATTTCGATGACCTTTGAAAACGGTAATGTTTGATAGCTTCATGTAAGATGCAATCATTTTGCAATATTCAAATCAGTTACGCAAATATTACAATCGCAGTACCATTCAGTCTGACCGAATCCGAAAGATTTTCAGACCTTCGCTGTAGTGTTTCGTTTCTGGATTTCTCCTGGAATAGCTTAATTACTTTCACTGAGTGAGCCTAACATTACGGGAAGAGAACGGACAGCGCAAGCGTCTTTCATTTATTAAAGATTGCAGGGCAATGAGCGAACGATATTTGAGATCTTTGCTTCGCACCAGTAGCTTACAATGCCTGATCGGTGTTGTGGCTCATCGGCCTACACGCTTCTTTATATTTAGAAATTTACTGGAAGCAATCTGCTTTAAGGAATCGCTTGGCAATGGAGCCCTATCCGTTAACTGTAAAGATTTGATTGGTGCGGTTCGCCGGATACATATGATTGTGTACAAGAACGACGACATAGTTTTTGCTGTGAATTGAGTAAGCCTTTTTGAATGGCTGATCATTCGGCACTGACAAAGCAAACGCGGCATTGTAGTGAGGCGTGCGGTGTTGTGCGTGGATCGGCAAGTTTTTGGGCCAGATACTATACCCCTACGGTAGTACTCGGTGGCTGGGCCACATGGCGGTCTGGTTACTACACTGCGCCGAGTCCCTTACACTTGTTATCATTATGCTACTTTCAATCAAAGCAACATAAAACTTATGTTAAACCACTAGTACTGTAAACAAAAGTTTGCCTTTTTTATGAAAACATTTTTCTAAACAAATGCTTGTTAACATCGGTGAGCCGCGAGTTATCGCGCTAAACCAGTCCGCTGAAAAATGTCTTAATTCGCATTTAAAATTGCGCCCTTAGTGAGGGTAAGGATGTTGACCGCTAAAAAAATATTCCTGAGCTACGCAACCGTTGTCGCTTTTACCATGATACAATTAATACAGGTTAGCAGGAAAAGGCTGTTGCATAACAATGAGAAAAAGTTCGGTGGACAGTACATAACAGTTTAGTGCTGATTCAAGACAGTAACTGAGATTCGCGGATGGCATGGGAAAATCAGGCTGCCGACCACTGCTTCCTCCTGATAACTGGAGCAAAGATACCGCTTGCACATAGACTTCACAATTCGCACGCTATTTCGATAGTCTTTTCCGACCATGAAGAAAATAATCTGAAACAGTCTGCAATCGTCAATTGCATAATAAGATTCAGTAGGCGAGGTTTGTTATGTAACAAAGCCCGTGCCCAGTTGTCAACTAGATCGCCCATATTATTCAATCAGTACGCAGTTCGCAGGATGTGCGCTGAAAGTACGCATTGCCGTTGTCCGGAATGGAGTCCTTACCGGTGTCCCCGTGTAACCCAAGAAGTAGACGGTGTGACAGCATATGTTTTTGTTACTATAATGGAAAATTTGCCGACAGTATATCGTGCGGCAGAAAGCACAACAGATACCACACCGAACTCACCAGAAGGGCATAAGCAGTCTGCAGGCGACTGTGGTATGCATGGATGCACTGGGTAGCATTGTCCTTATTCGATTATTTCGCATGCAACGAAAATGCCTGATGAGAAAAATGGTATACTATAGCAAGGTGGCGGTTAAAGGAAAGTACCAACAGATCGCCATAACCGCTGTGAGTGTTGCCGACGTCATCTGATACTGGATTAAGCGTACATATCTGCCACAAAGCTATTCCTTCGTTGAGGGAAGGAAGAAGAATAGGAATACAACTGGCGACGCCGCGACGGGAATCAGCCAAGACAAGCGCCAACGATAACTACAACCGGTGTGCAGTTTTAATTTACGGAATTGTAGCGTGGAAGGGATAGCGCGATGAGACGGTTAATGGCCAATAAAAAAAGGATGTCCATTGACTGAATGCGGTTAATATCAATCCAGTTTGTGCAATAACGACGCTGCATTCGTAGTATGATAGACGAATCAGCAGAAAATCGTTGACAGTCAGCGGATCGACAGCGGATGTCATCAGTAAATCAGTGCAAAGCAACTGAAGGATCAGTACTTGGGAGCCATTGCGGTAATGGTTTTAACAATGATTATAATCAGGCCGATTGTCAACACTGCCAACACGGACGGCGATACTTGTTACTGCAAACTAGTATTCTGTATATGCGCTACCATAATCATATTTTAGCACGAAGGAAATATGTTTGAAGGCATTTGTATTCCTTCTAACGACGGTGGTGTTCGTGACGCTCATATGGGAATAATTCATGTGTTTTTAGAAATATGCTATCCGTATTGCTGCTGAACAGAACAGCAATCAGATCAAATCGCAATGCAGCCATTCATTAGCCTACCTATTTATTAATATCGGAACTAAAATAGGAACCTTTAATACTCAGCAACTAACATCAACGAATTCTTTCGCTTGATTACGAATTCCGAGAACAATGAGCTAGCAAAACCTGTCATCAATGCGTCGCACCAGTGATTATGAGAACTCCGTGTGCCGGTGTCGGTGGGTAAACCATTGATTATTTTGTTATCTAGAGAATTCCTCATAACCGCTGCATTGGCGCAATAGCTTTGGTCATGGACTCATGGGTAAGCAGGGATAATTGGCCGGTACCCTTACCAGATGGGATCAGGCCTTCCTACTGTAGTTTTGCCAACCCATCTTTCAACAGCGACATCACTTTTGACGGTACCTTTTGCACCCAAGTTTACAACGATACTTGTCGTTAAGCACTTATTAAGCCAAAGTACGCACCTGTCTATGTTTGAATTATTGATAGCTACCGGGAAACGTTATCCTACAAGTGCGAAGTTGAGAACTTTAGATCCGCATGCGCGCTGCTAACCTGCAATAGCAAATTTGTGATGCCGAAATGCGACGGAGTTATTATTTATGACGCAGCTGCGTTTTCGCTCGTGCTAAGCACGCATCCCATTGTCAAAAGAAACGACCAGTCTGGGAGAAATTACAGTTAATTAAATCCTGCACGACGTCGCAGTATTGCAAACCGGTAACCATACCACAGTGGTCTCAGCGGCTGGCACCAACGTGCGGATATCTTCATAACTTGGCGGGGGTTTCAGGTCAGCGCACATTATTGATTATTTGTTTTCAGTCTATCAGATCCATTCGCCGTCCCGTAACAACTATTAACTCCATGGTTGCCTCAAGTGTTTTCATCCGCATCTTTGCCGGCCATGTTACACCAGTCCTTACTGATGACAGACGCCTTGCGGTCGCTGCACTAATAAAACTGTCGCACTTACTTGTTAGGCGCCACATGTAAATTATGTGCCAGCTGCAACGTTTACATGATGAAAAACGATGGCTGTATTTCAATATAACCGCTTCCACGGAATACTGTGAAATTATTCATCCCGCGACATCCGGCATCTGTTCTTGTAGAGCCCGTTAAAGCGCCCCATGTTATACTTAGTACCTAGATGAAATCATCAGGAGCAACGGCTGAAACGTAAGCAGACTGCCATGTACCTCCGCACAATAGTATGTCATTAAAGTATGCTGCAAAATACACTGCTGCACAGTATGCTCAACATTATAACATAATCGTCTCTTATGAGCGATTATCGCGATGAGAACCGAGCTGAGCCATACCATGCGACCTACGACGCCCACAGAAAGCAGTTGGAAAGCCCCCGCTTCCGAAATCAGTCGCACAACCGTTGTGGGCTTTCGTCAGAACTCCAGTTATTTACATGATGGTCTGTACAGTCTGGCCGAAATTGACGATGTCCATTACATCGTTGCTTGGATGTATGTTGGTCTGTTGGTTCTGTGCACTGTTGGCAATGGGCTGAATTTGACTGTGCTACTACGGAGTATGAAAACATGGAGAATGTCCGCTTGCCATTACATGATCGCCACCGCCGTGGCTGATCTGGGTTCTTTGTACGTACATCATCATTCAAGTTAAAAATTTCAAAGAGCTAGTTTCTATGAAGGCAGTTAATATCCAGCCCAGTCTAGACATGCGCCTGCAGTTGTGCCGTATGCACTGTATTACTGAGGTCTCTACATATAATTATATGTTCTGTATAAGTACGTATTGGAATATTCAGATTATTCGGTAATCCTTTTCCACGTTTTAGAGTTCATTCAGCTTGGTTTTACGCCGTGTTTGCTCACGGCCGTACTTAACAGTAAAATTATTGATATTGATTATGTATGTCACAGTTTGTACTCTGTATTTCTGAATTGGTTTTGCACAGCAGATGGTTCGCGCTCCCGTTTTTCTTACACCTGCTAAGCCGGGGACAGACGGAGTACACACCGTCGGTTGCTTTCGGTATTGTTCCATGGCTGGATGACGCAAGCATGTGGCTATCCGATTGGTTGGTATCTGACAATCCAATTTTGCTCCTGTAATTTGCAGTTCAGCGTCGAATGTAACTTGTTGACTCTTGCCTACTGAGTATTTAGCATAGTCGCTAGTAATAACATCTGTAATAATCCAAATATTTCCCACTCTGCGGCTTGCAGGGTACTTGTAATGTTCTCGTGGGAGCGTTTGCTGGTTATTCTCTGTCCATTGCGCCTGCGCTGTCTGCAGCGTGTAACAGTGGCCCGCATCGCCATTCTCATCCTGCTGATGCTGTCGCTATCTTTCAATATGGTCGATTTTGTGGTGAACTACGAAGATCCGCATAATCACATGATCGGCGCACGTTATGGCTTCGATTCTTTGTTCGGGATCCAACGGTCCGGCGGTTTTTTGTTCTGGGTCCGGCAGTGGCTTTTAGTCCACGCAAAAGCCAAGGTACGCAGTTGTCTGTATTATCGCACTTGAAAAATTAATAACTATACGAGTATTGGCGGAAGGGTCGAAATGCTATTATGCTAGATTGTTAGAGTTTATTAAATTTAAGTTATTTACTGACTTAACACAATGTTAAGTTATGTGTAACAAACCAGCTGCAACTGGTTGGCTATATTTTAGGCTTTATTCTGCTTATCTGTTTATCTTTGTTGCTGTTACGTGTTGTGGTTTTTGTCAAAGTCAACAGTGTAAGTCCATGGTTTGCTAAAATTTCGATGACCTTTGAAAACGGTAATGTTTGATAGCTTCATGTAAGATGCAATCATTTTGCAATATTCAAATCAGTTACGCAAATATTACAATCGCAGTACCATTCAGTCTGACCGAATCCGAAAGATTTTCAGACCTTCGCTGTAGTGTTTCGTTTCTGGATTTCTCCTGGAATAGCTTAATTACTTTCACTGAGTGAGCCTAACATTACGGGAAGAGAACGGACAGCGCAAGCGTCTTTCATTTTATTAAAGATTGCAGGGGCAATGAGCGAACGATATTTGAGATCTTTGCTTCGCACCAGTAGCTTACAATGCCTGATCGGTGTTGTGGCTCATCGGCCTACACGCTTCTTTATATTTAGAAATTTACTGGAAGCAATCTGCTTTAAGGAATCGCTTGGCAATGGAGCCCTATCCGTTAACTGTAAAGATTTGATTGGTGCGGTTCGCCGGATACATATGATTGTGTACAAGAACGACGACATAGTTTTTGCTGTGAATTGAGTAAGCCTTTTTGAATGGCTGATCATTCGGCACTGACAAAGCAAACGCGGCATTGTAGTGAGGCGTGCGGTGTTGTGCGTGGATCGGCAAGTTTTTGGGCCAGATACTATACCCCTACGGTAGTACTCGGTGGCTGGGCCACATGGCGGTCTGGTTACTACACTGCGCCGAGTCCCTTACACTTGTTATCATTATGCTACTTTCAATCAAAGCAACATAAAACTTATGTTAAACCACTAGTACTGTAAACAAAAGTTTGCCTTTTTATGAAAACATTTTTCTAAACAAATGCTTGTTAACATCGGTGAGCCGCGAGTTATCGCGCTAAACCAGTCCGCTGAAAAATGTCTTAATTCGCATTTAAAATTGCGCCCTTAGTGAGGGTAAGGATGTTGACCGCTAAAAAATATTCCTGAGCTACGCAACCGTTGTCGCTTTTACCATGATACAATTAATACAGGTTAGCAGGAAAAGGCTGTTGCATAACAATGAGAAAAAGTTCGGTGGACAGTACATAACAGTTTAGTGCTGATTCAAGACAGTAACTGAGATTCGCGGATGGCATGGGAAAATCAGGCTGCCGACCACTGCTTCCTCCTGATAACTGGAGCAAAGATACCGCTTGCACATAGACTTCACAATTCGCACGCTATTTCGATAGTCTTTTCCGACCATGAAGAAAATAATCTGAAACAGTCTGCAATCGTCAATTGCATAATAAGATTCAGTAGGCGAGGTTTGTTATGTAACAAAGCCCGTGCCCAGTTGTCAACTAGATCGCCCATATTATTCAATCAGTACGCAGTTCGCAGGATGTGCGCTGAAAGTACGCATTGCCGTTGTCCGGAATGGAGTCCTTACCGGTGTCCCTGTAACCCAAGAAGTAGACGGTGTGACAGCATATGTTTTGTTACTATAATGGAAAATTTGCCGACAGTATATCGTGCGGCAGAAAGCACAACAGATACCACACCGAACTCACCAGAAGGGCATAAGCAGTCTGCAGGCGACTGTGGTATGCATGGATGCACTGGGTAGCATTGTCCTTATTCGATTATTTCGCATGCAACGAAAATGCCTGATGAGAAAAATGGTATACTATAGCAAGGTGGCGGTTAAAGGAAAGTACCAACAGATCGCCATAACCGCTGTGAGTGTTGCCGACGTCATCTGATACTGGATTAAGCGTACATATCTGCCACAAAGCTATTCCTTCGTTGAGGAAGGAAGAAGAATAGGAATACAACTGGCGACGCCGCGACGGGAATCAGCCAAGACAAGCGCCAACGATAACTACAACCGGTGTGCAGTTTTAATTTACGGAATTGTAGCGTGGAAGGATAGCGCGATGAGACGGTTAATGGCCAATAAAAAAGGATGTCCATTGACTGAATGCGGTTAATATCAATCCAGTTTGTGCAATAACGACGCTGCATTCGTAGTATGATAGACGAATCAGCAGAAAATCGTTGACAGTCAGCGGATCGACAGCGGATGTCATCAGTAAATCAGTGCAAAGCAACTGAAGGATCAGTACTTGGGAGCCATTGCGGTAATGGTTTTAACAATGATTATAATCAGGCCGATTGTCAACACTGCCAACACGGACGGCGATACTTGTTACTGCAAACTAGTATTCTGTATATGCGCTACCATAATCATATTTTAGCACGAAGGAAATATGTTTGAAGGCATTTGTATTCCTTCTAACGACGGTGGTGTTCGTGACGCTCATATGGGAATAATTCATGTGTTTTTAGAAATATGCTATCCGTATTGCTGCTGAACAGAACAGCAATCAGATCAAATCGCAATGCAGCCATTCATTAGCCTACCTATTTATTAATATCGGAACTAAAATAGAACCTTTAATACTCAGCAACTAACATCAACGAATTCTTTCGCTTGATTACGAATTCCGAGAACAATGAGCTAGCAAAACCTGTCATCAATGCGTCGCACCAGTGATTATGAGAACTCCGTGTGCCGGTGTCGGTGGGTAAACCATTGATTATTTTGTTATCTAGAGAATTCCTCATAACCGCTGCATTGGCGCAATAGCTTTGGTCATGGACTCATGGGTAAGCAGGGATAATTGGCCGGTACCCTTACCAGATGGGATCAGGCCTTCCTACTGTAGTTTTGCCAACCCATCTTTCAACAGCGACATCACTTTTGACGGTACCTTTTGCACCCAAGTTTACAACGATACTTGTCGTTAAGCACTTATTAAGCCAAAGTACGCACCTGTCTATGTTTGAATTATTGATAGCTACCGGGAAACGTTATCCTACAAGTGCGAAGTTGAGAACTTTAGATCCGCATGCGCGCTGCTAACCTGCAATAGCAAATTTGTGATGCCGAAATGCGACGGAGTTATTATTTATGACGCAGCTGCGTTTTCGCTCGTGCTAAGCACGCATCCCATTGTCAAAGAAACGACCAGTCTGGGAGAAATTACAGTTAATTAAATCCTGCACGACGGCGCAGTATGGCAAACTGGTAACGATACCACAGTGGTCTCAGCGGCTGGCACCAACGTGCGGATATCTTCATAACTTGGCGGGGTTTCAGGTCAGCGCACATTATTGATTATTTGTTTTCAGTCTATCAGATCCATTCGCCCGTCCCGTAACAACTATTAACTCCATGGTTGCCTCAAGTGTTTTCATCCGCATCTTTGCCGGCCATGTTACACCAGTCCTTACTGATGACAGACGCCTTGCGGTCGCTGCACTAATAAAACTGTCGCACTTACTTGTTAGGCGCCACATGTAAATTATGTGCCAGCTGCAACGTTTACATGATGAAAAACGATGGCTGTATTTCAATATAACCGCTTCCACGGAATACTGTGAAATTATTCATCCCGCGACATCCGGCATCTGTTCTTGTAGAGCCCGTTAAAGCGCCCCATGTTATACTTAGTACCTAGATGAAATCATCAGGAGCAACGGCTGAAACGTAAGCAGACTGCCATGTACCTCCGCACAATAGTATGTCATTAAAGTATGCTGCAAAATACACTGCTGCACAGTATGCTCAACATTATAACATAATCGTCTCTTATGAGCGATTATCGCGATGAGAACCGAGCTGAGCCATACCATGCGACCTACGACGCCCACAGAAAGCAGTTGGAAAGCCCCCCGCTTCCGAAATCAGTCGCACAACCGTTGTGGGCTTTCGTCAGAACTCCAGTTATTTACATGATGGTCTGTACAGTCTGGCCGAAATTGACGATGTCCATTACATCGTTGCTTGGATGTATGTTGGTCTGTTGGTTCTGTGCACTGTTGGCAATGGGCTGAATTTGACTGTGCTACTACGGAGTATGAAAACATGGAGAATGTCCGCTTGCCATTACATGATCGCCACCGCCGTGGCTGATCTGGGTTCATTGTACGTACATCTTCGTTCAAGTTAAAAATTTTAAAGAGCTAGTTTCTATGAAGGCAGTTGATATCCAACCCAGCCTAGACGCGCGCCTGTAATTGTGCCGTATGCACTGTATTACTGTGGTCTCTACATATAATTATATGTTCTGTATAAGTACATATTAAAAATGTTCAAATTATTCGGTAATCCTTTCCACGTTTACAATTCATTCAGCTTGGTTTACACCGTACTTGCTCACGTCCGTACTAATACTTAACAGTAAAATTATTGATATATTATGTATGTCACAGTATGTATTTTGTATTTTCGGAATTGGTTTTGCACAGCAGATGGTTCGCGCTTCCGTTTTTCTTACACCTGCTAAGCCGGGGACAGACGGAGTACACACCGTCCGTTGCTTTCGGTATTGTTCCATGGCTGGATGACGCAAGCATGTGGCTATCCGATTGGTTGGTATCTGACAATCCAATTTTGCTCCTGTAATTTGCAGTTCAGCGTCGAATGTAACTTGTTGACTCTTGCCTACTGAGTATTTAGCATAGTCGCTAGTAATAACATCTGTAATAATCCAAATATTTCCCACTCTGCGGCTTGCAGGGTACTTGTAATGTTCTCGTGGGAGCGTTTGCTGGTTATTCTCTGTCCATTGCGCCTGCGCTGTCTGCAGCGTGTAACAGTGGCCCGCATCGCCATTCTCATCCTGCTGATGCTGTCGCTATCTTTCAATATGGTCGATTTTGTGGTGAACTACGAAGATCCGCATAATCACATGATCGGCGCACGTTATGGCTTCGATTCTTTGTTCGGGATCCAACGGTCCGGCGGTTTTTTGTTCTGGGTCCGGCAGTGGCTTTTAGTCCACGCAAAAGCCAAGGTACGCAGTTGTCTGTATTATCGCACTTGAAAAATTAATAACTATACGAGTATTGGCGGAAGGGTCGAAATGCTATTATGCTAGATTGTTAGAGTTTATTAAATTTAAGTTATTTACTGACTTAACACAATGTTAAGTTATGTGTAACAAACCAGCTGCAACTGGTTGGCTATATTTTAGGCTTTATTCTGCTTATCTGTTTATCTTTGTTGCTGTTACGTGTTGTGGTTTTTGTTCCTGTTATACTAATACCGGTAACTTATTTTCAGATTATTGTGCGTCTTCTGACCTTTTTGTTAATTCTCGTTCCAAACTGCGTTCTCATCGGTTTCCTGGTTTACTATCGCCAGTCTAAGGTCAGCAAAATGCGAGCTACACCAAACGTCCGCAAAGAATTAGGCGAATCGCCGGTGAGAACCGCCAGTAAGAGCACCAACGTCATATTGCTCAGCAGTGCCATGTTGTTTCTGATAACGCGTGCGCCGCAGACTTTCCAGATGTGCGCTGTGGCGGCTAACAGCAAAATCGGGCTGTATAATGCGGATGACTCAGTTACGCTTATCACGGACGATTTCATCAATCTCGCTGTGCTCATCGGTTATACCATGAACTTCTACGTTTACCTTCTCACCGAACGGCAATATCGAGAGCGTTTCATGGCGGTCGTTCTTCGACCACTGCTGTCTTTCTGTACTACAAGACCTGGTCTTGTTTCTGTACTGTACCGAGAGCCGAAACAGTGCCGTAGCTAGATTCGCTGCAGTACAGAAATGGGGCACTCAATTAAGCGCCGCCAAGATGTTATTGTATAATTATGCGAGTCAAAACCCGGTTTCTGTGAAGTATCTGGTTTAAATGTTATAATTGTCATATTGTAACAGCATGGGATGCAAACATTTTTTGTCGTAAATTCAGCCTGATTAATTTTTAATGAAATTACAAAATGGCGCTGGAATAAATAAATACTGCTGGATATAGTTATTGAGATTTTAGTTCCTGGTTTTATTTGATCGTAGTATTAACTCAAAAACCAAAGTTGTAGCAATAATTTCCATAAATAGTAGGTCGCCACCTGTGTGTCCGTATTGTTCGGAAGCACAGGCATCTCGTTAATAATATTATTGTTGTATTTCCGTATTTACGATTTTGCTAAATTATTGACAGCGTTTGTTGGGCAAAGCGTTACTGCGTACGTCAACTGATCCCAACGGATTTGATCAACACAACTTGGTGAAAAAACCTCGGAATGGACGAGAAAAAGACAGCTGATTTACGAACTACGCAATGCTGGCTACACACAGCCGCAAATCGCGGATCACGTAGGCATCGGTTTGAATGCATTGAAAAATTTTCTCTGGATGGCAACATTATCTCAACCACGAACGGCGCGGAGTGATGAGGAGAAAAAAGAGATTATACGGCTAGTACATCAAGGAAAGTGTAGTGTAGCAGAAATTGCGACGCAGTTCAACATGAGCTGGTCGAACGTGTATCAAATGGGGCGAATGGCTGGCGTTAAAGAAGACCAGAGTTTTCTCACACGGGATAAGATTTGTGTCAGTCAGAAGCGGAAAGCAGAGATACTTAAATGTTTCGACGAAGGTCATAGCGCACCGTACATCCAGGAAAAATTTAACCTATCTAGAGCTATTCTTACGCTGCTGTTGCGACAGAATGGGAAGAGCTTTGGTGGACGCTCCCTGCAAAATCGTCAGCGCAAACAAGCTTCTGCTCTGCAACTTTATGCACAGGGAGTGTCAATAAATGTCATAGTCAAACGGCTTAAAATAGCCCCGAGTACGATGAGCCGTTTACTAAAAGATGTCGGCCATGAAGCAGTCACACTGGATGAGTGTTCGCAGAACACTGCGTGTCCCGAGCTAGAATTGGAAACAGATGACGCAGAACCGGCCTTTGAGACACCCCGGGGTAATGAGGACAGCGTTCACGACACGGAGACCACATGCCTGATGCAATGTGATAATCCAGACTCTAAGCACCACCATTCCTGCTGTGCCGATTGTGATCATATTGCAACGCCTGACCACGACAAAAGAACCGCATCGATCGTTCATTGTACTGCCTGCAGCGTCAAATTCGGAACAGTCGAGAATGTTTCAAAGGATAACTTACAAGTTCTTATTTACTCCCACGCAGGTACGTGGCACCACGTGCTTTATTGAACCGTTTTTAAATTAACGAGTAATTGCACAGTGAACTCGGTTGTTGTGCGTAAACGGTTGACCAGGTAAGGTAAGTTAAACTTTGAATGCACAACGTCTATTCGTGAAAGACCTGCTCAACCGCCCGGTTATTCTAAGAAATGCATTAAAAGTAATTATTTTATGATAATACCAATAATAATATTATTGGTATTATCATAGTCTAAGGCTAATATTATTAGCCTTAGACTAAGCGGTAGAGGTAAACCTGTGACTAAATATTTCAACCCAAAAAGACGGAGAAGTTCAGTGCAGACTAGCTAAGCATGTACAGCCACCCGGTAATTATTTTGAAATACGCCAAATAAAAACGATAATGCGCTTGCACACCAGATTATCTTATGTATTTTGTACGGATGTCACCCAGATTTTCGCAAACGTAAGGTGCTAGTTTTGACTAGCAACCGTAATTGCGCAAATACCCTATTGTACTGACAATATATCCGTAAATGACGCCAATTGTGATGTTAATTTTATGTTATAAACTTATAGGTATATAAACTGGCCTGCAAATCCAATTACTCGCAACAAAAAATTTGGGTTATTTAGGACCGGAATTTTATCAGAAAGCGGATATTCCAGCCGGCGTTGATAGAGATATAGCACCTGCACAATTTCCCCCCGGCCAGAGAACGCTGCTGGATGAGACCGCAGAATGTTTCCCTCTCTCGGCAGATCAATTCGGGATGAGAACTGTTTCCGAAATAATACCGCTGCAGCCGGATAGTTTAACCACCATCGGCCTTAACGGAAGATATCAGTGCCAACTGTGTCGTTTCGCTTGCAATGAAGAGGAAGCATTCCTGTTGCATTTGGCTGATAAAAATCATGCAGAGCGTCGTGCCACCAGGACTTTCTTATGTTGTATGGGGTGTAAATTTAGAACCCGAAAAACGGCAACGATGGGCAGCCACATTATTAAGTACCAATCGTCGCAAAATACGCTGCAGAACCATAACGTGCATTCTGTTAAAACGACCCAGTGAGGTACATAATTATTATAATTAAAACTATTAAATCCTATGATTGTTTTGGTTATCACGAGTGCTCGTAAAGTTTTGGCCGTGAATGCCTTCTGCAGTCTGCTTATGTTTTGGTTTATTACTTTGTTTCTACATTTTTCGCAGCGAATGCATACAATTTTTCGCTCAGCAAGCACATAGTAGCTGTGACGGAAAGCTGAATAAGTACATCGATAAACTTCTGTAAAGTGGCAGCTAATGGAAAATGTAGACAAATCGTCACAACCCACTTTGAGAGGTTTATCGGCGGAATCTGAAGCTGGGTAAATCATGTACAGTACATCTGCACAACCGTCTGATGGCTACGGCAAGAAAAAGATTAGGACCGACACTGGCGATCGGAACCAGCCAGGTTAAGCCAGCGATCGACTCGTCGGGCACTGTAACAGGTTATGCGTCACAATGGGAGATTCATGTGTGTTTGGTGGGCATTACGCCATTTGCAGTCTGAACTCTGATCCTTAGAAATTTCCTGGATGCACTGCAGCCGTGCATGGTTCTGCCGGAATAGAAGGTTGCAAATCTTGTGTTCTAACGTCTTGTAAGAGTGTAGCTATCTGCGGTAACTATATGGCATTGATTTGCAATACGGATCCAGTACTGCACAATGTGGACGCCTGAAGTATAACGAAAGCCGACGAGCAGGAAACAGACCCTTATTATGGATTAACGGTGGAGGCCTTATTATGCTCGTAGAAACATCATTACAACCAGAAACCTTTAATAGAAAAAATAGAACCACAGAAAGTACGTTTTCCTTGTACCGGTACCGGTACTACTTATGTTAAGCCCTTTAGAAAGTAGTGGCCTCAAATCCAAAACTGTGCACGTGCGCCAGTTCCTGTACCTCTCGTAAAGCGTAAACTGCATGCAAATCGAAAAAAATCAAATACAAAACTATGCAGGTGCCAGGTTCCCTATGCTTCTATTATATAGTCTACCAGCGTTGAGCAAATTCCGGGCCCGTAGCCAAATTTTGATTGATACGAAAAATTTGTGACATAATTGAAATTTCGTCAAAAAATTAAACTTGTACGAGTCGTACAGACAGATACATCGAGCTCTGCCGACCAATAAAAAAATTCTAAAAGCTGTTGGATCGAATGCAGCTATGTGACTTGTCGCCGGCTTGGGCGGTTGAGCATTTCCGGCTTGAAGCAGTTTTTGCTTGACTTTGGCGCGTTTCTTTCTTTCTATGGGTATCTAGACAGTTATCTGTTATCAGGTAGACAGACAGAAAACACATCTCACAGACATCTCACAGTTTTGTGTCATTGTCAAATGCAATGTCAGTTGCATGATCGTTAATCTCAACGGACGCCATAAAACTGACAACGTTGGCCGTGCACGTTTTGCGACTTAAACCTTGGTATAACCACGCGAACGAAGAAGTCAACGTGCAACAAACGGAACAGCCTCAGGTGGAACCTGATTTGTCAGCAAAGTAAATACAAAATGCGTGTAACGCATAAACCACGCTACAACCCGCGTAAGCAAAAGTAATTCCAATTTTATTATTCCATCGTTCCTTCAAGATTATTCCATTATTCCATTACTCTTTCAAGAATCATATAGAGAAAGTACTCCCGTATTATATCCGTGTCATGTTTGTACATCTACATAGATTCTTGGGGTCATTTACCCAGATACCTTATCCTCTCCTACTCGTATATGAACGGTGTCACTTCTCTCATACGATATTCGTTCGAGGGTCATGTTATCATCATTCTACGCTCACCCAGCTGCTATTCATCTTTGTTCATCTCAGTTGAGTACGTTTACCATTAAAGTATCTTTAGCATCATCCGCGTATTCTCAGCGAACCCTACATTACAGAGCCACGCATGAATATGCCAGAACAGGACGGTGCAATGCTTATATTCCAACAGTGATATTTATCTGCCGGTAAGTACAATGTGGACGCGCGCATTATAACGAGAAACTCGGGAAACCTTTAACAGAAACGACAGAACCGGGATCTAAATTATCTCATTAATTTCAACATATACGTGCTTAATTTGCCTAAAAAGCACATAGCGGCAGAATAAAGTATTATCGCTGATCACTTATCGTGCAAAAATACGATTAACGGTGATGTATCTGGAGCAATTCTGTCCACTGCATGGCGTTCACTGATTAGACTGTTTACTAGAGTAGTACAGTATTTACATTGCATACATACTGATATATACGTGCATACATACGAATTACATTGCAATTTCATCAAGCGTCAGCTGCTGCTCTGGTTTATTTAGTTTCTGAAGGGTTTGGACATCCTAGGCGGATAATCACTTGATCAACTCCGTGCCCTCGACAGGATCTTTACCGCTGCTTTGGGAAGTAAGCTTTCAGTTGTAGTACAGATAGTTATTCAAAAATCAAAGTCGTAGCAAGAATTTGCGCTAATAAAAACTCAGTGCTATGCGCCCGGACAATCCGTTCGCACAACCATTTTGTTAATAATATTGTTGGTGTATTTCCATTTTGATGTTTTTGTCACGCGTAAGGGGTCGTGCTCTTAAAAAAACAACTAATTACGTAACTGACAACAAAACACACAAATAGAGCAGATATGTAATACGACATTCGAACATTGTAGTAGCACATGCTGCCATTCATTACAGATTTACTGGGAACTGCTAATAACGTTTCGTAGACAAAACGTTACTGCATTCTGTACGTCAGATGTTCTCAGCGGTTATGATCAATACAACGTGGTAAAATAACCTATTCTAGGAATGGATGAGAAAAAAAAACAGTTGATTTTTAAACTACGCGATGCTGGCTACAACCAGAAGAAAATTGCAAAACGCGTGGGTATCGGTTTGAATGCATTGAGACGTTTCCTCCGGAGGGAAACATTATTTCGACTACGAACGGCGCGGATTGATGAGGAGAAGCTAGAGATTTTACCGCTGTTACACCAACAAACGTGCAGTTTAACAAAAATTGCGAATCAATTCAGCATGAGCTTTAAGACATTGAATCAAATGCGACGAACAGCCGGCGTTCCTGACGAGCAAAAGAAAAGCATCCTTCCGCTGTTTTATCGCGGTGACTCAAGGGCGGACATTATGCGCGAGGTTAAAATGGAAGGTGGCGCCGGCAACCCTGTATTAGTTCATTATGCTAATCAGAGTTTCACCACACGGGATAAGATTCGTGTCAATCAGGAACAGAAAGCAGAAATACTCAAGTGCTTTGATGAAGGGCATAGTGAACTGCAAATCAGAGAACAATTTGACCTGTCTAAAGCCACTCTTAAGATGTTGTTGCGACAGAATGGGAAGACCTTCGGCGAACGTTACCGGCAGAATTTCCAGAAGAGACGAGCTGCTGCTCTGCAACTTCGTGCCCAAGGAATGTCAATAAATGCCATAGCGAAACAGCTTAAGGTATCCGCAAGTACGATAAGCCGTCAAAAACAACCTATCGGCCACGAAACAGTCACACTGGATAAATGTTCTCAGTACACTGCGTCGCTGGAGTTGAAAAAAGTTGATGCAGAACCGGCCTCCGAAGCACAACGACCTGATGAGCACGGCGGTCACGACACGGAGACCACGTGCGTGATGCAAAATGATATTCCAGACACTAAATGCCAGCACGGTGCTCGTTGTGATCAAACCGCCACGCCTAACCATGGCAAAAGAACCACAGCGCTTAGCCGATTGTCCGCTTGCATTATCGACGTTGGAACAGTCGAGAAAGCTTCTAAGGATAACTCGGAAGTATCTGTACTTTGCTCGGAGAATACTCACACAAGTAAGCGAAAATTAATAGCGAGCTCCTCTTAAATTAGCGCGAATAAATTGCGCAATGTAATTATCTCTGTATCAGTTTTTGGGAGTTTGCGCACGATTCCCCTAAGTCACTTCTAATACGCAACGTCAGTGCAGACCATTATATGTATGTAGCAGACCTTCGTATTCAAAACTGCCCGGTTTTCCTAAAAAACGCATTAGAAATGATATTGAAAGTAACGTTATAAGAATTAATATTGTTTCTGTATAAATATTGTTTCTGTATAAATATTGTTTCTGTACAGAGAGTGTGCACATTTTTATTTTCATTATTAATTTGTTTATTATTTATGCCGTTGAACAGCGCTAAACAAGAGAATTACTGCACTAAAGCGTCACACATTCTTATTTTATACGATGTCACTTAGATTCGCAAAATCCTGATCTGCTACCTATACGTTTTGACTAGGTACACTAATAGCGTATCGTTCGGACAGAGTTTACCTGTACAAACAACACAGAATTATGAAGATAATTTTATGTTTAAAATGAACTGGCTTACAAATCCAACTACATAATCCTTAATTGTCGAATAATTTAGCGCTGGAATATTATGCTAAAACGGATACTTCTTACGCCGGCGTCGATAGGAATATTGCACCTGCACATTTTCCCTCCGGCCAAATAAAACAGCAGAAAGGGATTACAGAAAGTTCCCGTGTTATTTCAACAGACCATTGCATTGTGGAAACTACTCCCAAAGTATCGTTTCTACAGCCAGTCAGTGTAACCTTGACCTGCCGCAACGAAAAATACCAATGCCAAACGTGCCACTTTACTTGCGACGAAGAGGAAGCATTCCTGTTGCATCTGGCCGGCAAAGAACATTCACAGCTTTCTGCTACTGGCACTTTCTTACACTGTACGGGATGTAAATTCAGAACGCGAAAACCGGCGACAATGGGCCAACACATTATTAAGTACCAATCGTGGCAAAATGCGCTGCAGTACCATAATCTGCATTCTGTTAAAATTTAAAACTATCCATTGAGTATATAACTTTCAAATGTACGATTTTCTCGGTTATTTAGAGCATATTTGCTGCTGCGGTCGTCTGCGCCGCTTACATTTTCACTACTTCTGCATTTCTTCTTTCCGTCTTATTATCAATAAAGGCATGCGATTTTGGCCTACGCTAGTACTCTGTAACAGTAAGTGTCAGCTTACATTTGCTTTTTATCATCCCTCATGTGCCGCTAATGCTCATAATTACGTCCTTCAGTTTCGTTATATTTGTAATATGCTTACGTTGTCACCGCGTAACTGACTCAAATTATCGTCCACTGGCTTTTTTGCTGCAAATAATGGACAGGTTTCTGCTTCCACAGAAGGACTACGCTAGCATATAGGCTATAGCAAATTACGGCATTGTTCGGACTTGAAAAAATGTTAATAAATTGTTAGCGCAAATTTAAAACTAGCGTGGCGACCCTCGTAAACGTCGGGACACTTGCGAAGAAAATGGACGGTTTGATTACATAAAATAACTCAAACCGCAAGAAATTTTTGTTGTAGAATTTGTTTACTGGGAAGTTTGCTTGAGTGCATGGCTGTTGGTCGGTTGGAGCGAGCTGGTCTGCGGCAGCCACCTCGCGTGCGCGCATACTTGTATTACTCTGGCTAGCGAATCCAAGTCGCGACAGCTGGCTAGCGAATCCAAGTCGCAACAGCCACTTGATTTTCAAAACTTGCAGCATCCGTTTTTCTATGTCTCCTTAACGAAACTTCCCAGTCAATGTTTCAGAACAGAGAATAAAATTTCAGAATTTTTTTGATATCTTGAGAGTAAGTTTTTATGTCGAACCAAGAAAGTTAAGTTTGTTTCGGTTTCTCATAGACATAGCATGGGTCCGTGCGATGGAGGCGTTGCTTGCATCCAATGCTTTGTCTACGAGAAGCCAAAACAAGCATAACTTTCTTGGTTCGCCACAAATAACCACTTATCAGAGAACAGAGATCAAAAAGCTTCTAAATTTTTTCTCTATCTTCTGAGATGTTGGTTAAGAAGTTTCATGGATGAGAGAAACGATAAGTTGGTGCTGAAACTTTGGATCAACTGACAACGACATTCAGTGCATTCTTTCACTGCTCACATAACATGCTCCTCCTCTGCCTCTGCATCTCTGTCTGTCCTATATTACAGTTTCTGTCTCTCCTGAGTTTACAACTTACATTTCTCATATTATCAGTTAAATTTTTGTTTGTCCTCAGTTACAACCTTACAAGTTACAATATTACACGACATGGATCCATAGCCTGAAGCTATATTATTATTATTACATAATTTATATAATATAACTTCAGAAAATATGCAGCGCTATTTTCTTTGCAAAATTTATCGGCGCTATGTACGGGTATCTACAGACCGTACTGCAGACACATATGTTACTGTACTGTAGACACATACATGGTAAGTGATAACCGTTTAACCTAATGCAACTTTGTAACAATGCTCCCGGTCACATTGCTCTATCTTAATCTTTAAACGTCAGTGTGGTATTTAGCGTATGAAGTTGTAAATGGGGAACGAAAAGGTCACGATCTTAAGTCTACTACAGGAAGAAAATAGACCCTTAGAAAGAGCGCGTGATTATTGATAGCGCTGGAGAAATACGACAATTAAATTTACCATAAAACGACCTAAATTTTTAAAAATGATGGACGTCAACAAAATAAAGACTTTGTGATGGGATGACGGATTAGGTCATTGTCTTGGCATTCCGCTTATGCGATATGCGCTGACGCAAAACAAACCCTGCTCTAATGTTTATGTCTTAATCCTTAAAGCAGATCAAGAATAAATTGCATAACCGCAGTGCGTATAAATGTTGTTGATATGTAAAATTTAATAAGCTGTTTTACTACAAATTTGTAAAAGCTGTTATTCTGTAATGCAGCTCATAAAGTTGTTTCGCTGGAGACGACAGCCGTCACTTCTACAGATTCCATGAAAACAAATAAATACAACGTGCCCACCGTTTCCAAAATATAACGTGGCCAGGTTGCATTTATTGGAAATTCATCCAAATTAGTGGAAATTTGTGGTGGAAATCCATGCCTTGACCACTAAAGCGCCGGTTACGCCCTGCTGTAACGCCAGCATTTTCATCCGTACAAAAAACAGTGACGGCGCGAAAGTAATCTTCCTTTACGCCGTAATTAGATCAAGTGACGGTCTGTGTGATCAGTAAGTTTATATACGGTCAGTAAGTGTCTATGACCATTAAGTCTATCCAGAGTCTTTGTGATCAGTGAGTCTGCTATGCACTTCCCCTGTACTGCTCCAGTCATACGAATGGATTTCACGGCTGAGCAGGAATTTTAAAAGCGAAAAATTTATACTTTTTATTAAAAATACGTGTACGCTGATGAAGTTTATCCACCGTGTATGTGTAGTTTTGCTGTGCATGAATTGTCTTTTCCTGTCCCTTACCAGTAATCACCAGACCTAACACCTTGTAAGCTGTTTTTTTGGCACGAAGATAAGGCTACTTACAGTGCTGAATGCACTGCGTTATAGTTTTCTTTCTCAATTGTGTCACGCAGTAGCCACAATTGTTCAAATATTTTGCAGTTAATGTTCTACGTCTCTGCGACCACACAACGCCAAGTGGGGGAACTGGAGATGCTGCTGACCGGAAGCGCGAGCAAGGTGCGTGAACGCGAATGCGTTGGCCACCTCTGTTCGCTCCAGCTGCACAGGCAACCTCAAACTACCCCAAACCACTGCTCGTTCCGTAGGCGTCGAGGCCGGGTGTCGGAACTGCCGTGCGGACGTATCTTGTGAAGCAGGAAGACTTCCAGCGACCAATGGTTTTAATAGCGGAGTCCGGAGTTCCATTTGATGTTGCGGTGGAAGCCGCCCCGATACGGAAGCTATGGGTGCTATAGCGTTCCCTTCCGGGTGTGCCGTTGAGGAAGATCTGAAGCCACCGGTCAACTTGCGTTCGCGTGACAAACTGTCCGTCCTCTTGCAAGAAAAATGGGTGGGGCTGCTGCGTGGGAATTTTGACGGCTGCATAATTCCGGATTGCTGTGACAGGGCAGACTGACCTGTTAGTGGATACCAGCGTGATCCTGTACCCGTGGCCGAATTGATCGGTTTTGGATCGCCGAATGCTGATGACCGCTGACTCACTGCCAATGGTGACGCCGCTGGTCAACAGCGTTCTTCTGTCGTCGTAATGACGGGTCGATTGTGACGTGAACTCGCTCACTCGCAGAGCAGCAAAGAACGCTGTCGTGAAGGTACTCCAGATTAGGAGTTTCGAATATGCTGACAGAGTGGAACTTCTGATGTTGTCTTTCAGTCTTCGCATGATGTCCAAAGTAATTGGCAGGCGGCCGTCGACAGCCGTGGGGCATATCCCTCTGCAACCGGCAACTGCTCTTAGGACTGCTGCGCTCGCAGTAGGACTTGGAAGGCTAGCTCCGGCGTGAACTTTAACTATGCTGGCGACGTACACTTTGATCGTGGCCGGCGAAATGTTTTGAAGAAACAGATGCGCTATGAAACGCAGCACGCTGTTTTCCGTCGTCGGGAGAGGAGAGGTGTGGTCGTTGTTGCAAAACTCTGCAAACCGTGCCCAGCCGGCATTATATGTCGTGCGTGTCGTACTGGCAAGATGGTGATACTGCAGCCGCGCCACAGTGGCATCTAATCTGTCGGGACATCGTATGTGCGCTGGAGTCTTCCCAAATGTCCGGTATTGCTTCCGGGGAGGCTTTGGCGCGTGGTGCCATTCTCCTGAACCGGGTCGTCAGAAAACGTGATAAGTGATAACGCATCAGCGATATGGTTGTCGATGCCGCTTATATGCACTATCTTGACGGTAAAATTGTTAACGGCGGACACTGCTAGCATGCGACGCATTAAGTCCAAGACTGCGGCGTTGCCAGAACCCAGCTTCTCCCACGCTTGGGAGGCCCCCAGGTTGTCGCAGTGCAGTAAGACCCGCATGCGTTGCAGCTTGGGTGCCCAGATGGTCAACGCGATAAGGACAGCAGCCATTTTCAAGTACTCGATGCATGGTTTCCTTTCGGTGACCCAGACGGGCCACCGAGACTGAAACCATTCGCCAGCAAGGTAGCCAACGATACCATGAGTTGCGGAAGCATCTGTGTACAGTTCAGTAACGTCAGGTCCTGACCAGTCGGGCTGGAGGAACTTGCTTGTACTGTTCCACTGCGGTAAAAATGTTGCCCACCATTTAAGATCAAAATGAACGCCGGTATCCAGCTTAATACGCGTCAGTGGGCGGCTGCCGCTGCTCTTACCTTTGCTGATAAGCAGTATCATACGGCGCAGAAACAGACGGCCAGCCGGTACGCATTTGCATGCAAACTGGAGGGTTCCGATGAGACGTTGCAGATTATGCAAGTTTCACTCAGATTTTGTTTTCCAGTTGCTAGCAGACCTACAATCTCGCTCAGTTTTGCTGCTGGTAAGGAAAGCGTTCGGGTAACGGAGTCTATGTGGATTCAGAGAAAAGTAATGGCAGTTGATGGACCATCCAATTTGTTCATCGCAAGCGGAACGCCGAGATCACTGCAGATATCTGTAAATTTCTGTAGCAATAAGGAGCACTCGCGGTAACTTGCTGCAATGATTAGGAAATCGTCGACGTAGAATAGTATCGCACAGTGTCCGGTTTCGCACTTAAAGATACTAAGAATTGCGTCTGAAAACTTGCAGAAAATTCCAGGTGCAGATCGGCAGCCAAATGGTAATACAACGTCGTAGTAGTACTTCTTCCCGACTTTGTATCCTAGGAGATAATATTGCGACTCTTTTACCGGTATTAGCCGGAACGCTGCTTCAGTGTCCAGTTTCACCATGACAGCCTCAGCTGGAAGCTGAAGGATTAGCTTGACAGCATCGTCGACGGAGCAAAACTGAAGTGGAGAATCATCCTTTGGAATGTGCAGATTCACAGAATCGATTGCTGGACGGGACAGGTCCATGATCATTCTGTGTCCACCGCTTTTCTTGGCCCGCATGCTTAACGCGTTGACTGTAAGCTGCTGAAACGGCCGCTTAGTAAATGGCCCTTTCGTGTGTCCCAACCGCACTTCTCTGTCAACAACAGACTGAACGGTGATATGATGAATGGCGATGGATGGACTGTTAGGAGTGAAACGAGAACGATGAGGCCCAGTGTATTTCAAATCCGCAGGCCCAGTGTATTTCAAATCCGCGCCCATGGTTAAACATTCGAGTTAATAAGCCACCAACGAAACATCCGGATGAGCGACCAGACGACGCGCAAAAGCTTCTGCTTTAAGAGGCGTTGTCCTGCCTGGGTCGGCGGCTGTCACCTAAGGTTCCCTGACGGTGGAGGTGATCGCCGTGTGCGGTTGACCCACAAGAGCTGCAGACATGTTTCCGGTTTCCGCTACAAGAGGTCGAGCACGTTCCACGGTTAAATTTTCTGCAGATATCTCCGTCTGCGGCGGAACTGTTCCGAAAAAGCTGACCCCGATCCGGGCAGTTAGTGGCGATATGGCCCATTTCACGGCATTGGTTGCATTTTGCGAATTTGTGCTTGTTAAACTGGTGTTAGTGACAGTGGACGCTGTGATTCGGGGATTTGCAATTGACTCCGGGTAGGCTTCATCGTATCTGCGAGTCCAAATCTCCGTAGTGTCCGGGTCACTGGTTGCGTAGTTTCGGAACTGCGCGTCCTACTCTAAGACATGTTCCAGTTTATGTCCGCGGGCGGGATCGGCGCGAAGGCAGATCAGATCCAGGTACTTCAGCATAGGGATTGTGAACTCCGGCGCTTTGAAGGTCCTGTAGGCCATGAAAACAGTAAATGCGCGGGTCCAGGAAGCCAGACTGGTAATTTGTTTTTTCTTCGTGGATGACGTAACGGTGTATTCGCCCGTAGCTTCGTCATCCGCCATCCGCGTTCCAGGGTTCGGTCGCTTAGAAGGCGCTCGATTCTGTGGCAACAGGTCGACAAAGTCGACGAATTGCTCACTGTCAAGGAGCTGCTCCCGTAATTTCGACGAAACCGCTGGGAGGTCCTTGTATCTGGCAGGGATGCTGCTGACAGCTGGCCCTAATCGCTCGGAAATGGGCCGGTGCGCTGGCGCAGGACCATCAAGAATGACGCTATCTGTGTCCTTACCTTGCACTGTTGTGACCCGATTTGATGACGGTGACAGAGAGCGATGTGTTTGACGCCCGCCGACATGTAATGCAGGGCAACTTGAAGATGCCTGTAGTGATACCAGCTGATTGATCTGTTGCTTCAGTGTTGCCACTTCAGCCGTCAGCGTGTCGATCTGGGATGGGGAGCTGAGAGAGGATCCCGGAGGAATGACGACTGTCGACGCAACCCGCTTACCCGCTGGGGGGTTGTTGGTATTGTCCGCTGGTCGCTTCGCGCTGCCGGTTTTCTGCTGAGCCGCCGAACGTGTCTGGGGTCTTCCAGAGCCACCGCGAGCACGACCTGTCCTCCTGCCTCTTCCCCTTCCAATCATTGTGCAGTTAGAATGGCACGATACACGATATTTAGATTCCGTAGCGAATCTAGCGTTGTAACTAAAACGCTATCAGAATTCGAACACCAGACTTGTCAGAGACAAAAACAAAATTCTCGACGTGCAGATCGAGAAGTGAACAAGTGCGAAATGAGAACTCGAGAGACTAACCAGTGAGCGAGCAAATGAAAACTCGTGATGGCAAGCGAGCCAGCAGTGTGAACAGTGCGCGGAAAGCGGCTAAACAGAGACAACACACAAAGCGGCCGGCGCCGGTCCACATCAAAGCGCGCGAATGGTCCGGCTCGGCCGATGCGGCGTGCAGAAGAAGGGAAGCGCCGTCGACGTAACATTAACTTGAATTAACATTGTTAATTAGCTGTTACAGTGTTACTTACTGTCTTTCGACACCGGCCCCCAAACCTTTCCAGGTATACTGCTTTGTATTTTCTAGAACAAGGTATCATATTTCCTCAACGGTTGGATCAGCTGGTTTATATATTATGTAGTACGTACCTCAGTCATCAGTCTACCAATGTTGTTATGACACTGTTGCCTGTATTAGCACTAATCGATACGAAACGGGAACCTCCCTGTTTCCCTGTTAACAGTCTGTTTCGCAGTTTTCGTTTTAACGCTAATCTGTCAACCATACTGTGCCTGGGTGGCAGCCTTTGTGTATAACCCGATCAGCTGTTACCGTGAGCATACTGAAACCGAGAATACCGGTAATGTTGGATCTGCGTTAGCAAACAATTGCCTGTACAGAAAATCCATTTAAACGGGCTATTTTGTTACGGTTCTGTTTGTTTGTCCTCGAAACTAACACGATTTCGAGCCATCCCTGCTTATCACGTCGGTCAGAGTAAGCGAACTGCATACCGGCAACGTTGAATTTAGTGCACTTTGTTTCTACGCGATCCAGTTTAAACCAATAAACAATTAGCACATTTTTTAATTTCGTGATGCTAAAAGACTGAGCCATGTACGCGGCATTGAGGAGCCTTTTTGGGAAGGTTGAATACAACGATGAGGCTTTCGCGACGGTAAAGACGAAGCAAACTTTAAACTTGCAATACCGAAAGGTAAAAGGGCCGGCAAAAGGTCATGTATATGATATTGCCTTACTTTTTTCCTTTGTGGGCTTTTTTGATCGTATGTTTTGCGTATTTGTGAGCCTGTTATCCCAAGTCGATAATTTTGGTAGAATAAAACCAGGAAATCTGCAAATAAATCCTGAGCCAGGATTTACTGTATTTCCTGTTCAGCTTTTGAGCTTCTATCGGAGACATACCTTAGAAATTATTAAATTCTAGCGTCATGCTCCCCGCCTGCAATCAAGTAGAATAATTTGCATGCTTGACTAGCTAATAACAACGTGCACACTGCAACGTTGACTAGGTAAAAGTCGGTAAATATTATGAACGGATGCTTCCTACAGCGATATAATTTTCCTGCCTTCGGTTCAGTCAACAGAGCTTGTTACCGAACCGATCTCGCATCTACACGACATTGTGAAAAATAGGTATACTGGGTTTTCATCGCTCTCATTTGTGGGTTTACAAGAAATTTTGCTTATAAAACGCTATTCCAATACTATAAATATGTTACAGTATACAAATCTCTCATACCCGAAAATCCGTAACCGGACTACATATCTTCGTAGTCATCGAAATGACTCCGGGCACTGGCTTTCCTACGACCACGACGCGTACATCCGCTCATTACTTCTCTGGTTTCTGGTGACGATTATCGCTAGTATTATTGGAACGTGTCTGACTCTCGTGCTGATCGTCAGCATTATCAAGAAAGGTCACTACCGTACCGGCTGTCATGTACTCATTTTGCAGCTAATCTGTGTGGAGTTCGTCATGACTGCTGTTGTTGACCCTCTCATTGCCCTACACGACATTAATATCAGCGTCTTTTATCTGTCGTATTACGGGTGTAATGTGGTTGACCAAATAAGCTTAATCTTTCTGGGAGTGGGACAATGGACGTCGCTCCTTTTAGCCATCAACAGAGCTATCGCCTTGTCCTACCCGCGGTACTATGCTCGACACTGCAATCGCACACCGGTCGTCAGTGCCACGTTTGTAATATCATGGTTAACTCCTGTCTTAACCTGTGTTCCTACATTATTGCCGGTTAAAATCGGTTTGAGCAGTATTACGTGGCGAACCTGTACGAGGACATTTGGGTGCTGTGAACATACCCAGCACGATTAGGCTGCGATGAACAGCTGGTTAGCCGTAGCTCGCAACGCTACTGATAACACAGTCTGAATGCAAACAGCTATAAATTTAGCCGGCTGTTCATCGCAGCCTAATCGTGCAGGGTATGTTCACAGCACCCAAATGTCCTCGTATTGTTGCGCCGAGATTTTCCTCCGGTTTGCCAACCATCAAAGCGATTATGACGATTTGTTTATATTTTCCCTTAGCGGCCAATCTGACGCTGTATGCGGCTTTGCTGTTGCGGCATTTCCGTCGAATGCGAAGTGTTAGCGTTAGCAGTGCGCTGCCGGTTGTATCCCTGCGCTACCGCCGTCGACTGCAGATTGCGTACACATTGTTCTTGGCATCCGTGTGGTACTGTCTATGCTTTCTGCCACATGGCACTTTGGGGTCAGTCATTCCCATGTTTTATGAACGACATCTGCCTGCATTTGTTTGGATACGAACGGTATATTTTTTGGGCTATACGGGTACACCGGTAAGACATTGATTTTGGTCATGTTAACGAAGAATCTAAAAAGTTTTGCACAGTATCGCCAACTGTCAAATAATCGTATCCCGTATTCAAGATAATGTCAGAAGAATTATATTTTTAGGTGATTTTCTTTCTGGTTGCCAATCAGTATAAAGATGGTTTACAAGAACTTTGGAATCCCTTCAAATTGCGCGTTGTTACCGCAGTGGATAACTTCAGGAAAAGATTTATGCGGAAATGTTAACGAACTGCAGCTTTTGTGTTCTCCAACGAATGTCATGTAGAATTTTAATGCAGCAAACTTTAATGCCGAAGAGACTCTAGTAGTTCTGCTTTTGCAAAAAAAATGCGAATTTTAGCCAAGTTTCAAAATTTTCATCGATTATGTGTGAATTTTGTATTGGCTTTCTGTGAAAGCCGCTGATTTACGCAACGTGCCCGCAGGGCTACATGTTACAGGAAAACCAACTCAAACAAAGTAAAATACCCACAAGCACGTCCATATAAAATTACAATCCGTCATAATAATATGATTGCGGCTTATGTTATGTGTATGGAGGTGTCGGAACCCGTCTCAATCGGCTCCGATAATCTGTTTATAAGAAGTGATACGCTCAGTATGGATGAATCCGGGCGATGCTATGGTTTACACAGGTATATGATTTAGCACCACGACGCACATTCAGTGATGCTCAACGTTCATTCGGCTCTAGGCACAACCATAACGTTCCTGTGTTACGCTGGAGAAGGTCCTGTTTGTACCTGATTGTAAAAAAAACAAAAATGTTCGAGAGCCCTGAAGACGGGGAAAATAACTCCATCGGATCGCCTAAACGGTATCCACGTAAACCGGCGAGAAAATTCAAGGCCGGCCACTTAAAGGCATGTATGAGAATCAAGAAAAAATTGAGATCTATCCATTTCATTTGCTCTGCTGAATCAGGCAATCAAAGGGGGAATTTTAGTAAAATTCCAAAGTCCCGCACATTGTTTCGATAATCGTTTGCGACTATGAAAAAAATCACCTAAAACAGTGACAAATTAATAAGAATTATGGACATTCCATAAAGAGTTTATGGAAAATACGTCAAAGCGCATGCATGCGTCAAAGCGTAAATGGAAAAAAGAGCATCGCCGATTTTTTACCCTCACATTATTCAGCTAATTACGGTCAACCATCAAGCGAGATTACGCTGTTAGTGCGTAAATGCGAGTGAAGTATGTATATGCGCAATAATTGCGTTTCTGTACAGAGAATCCTTACCGGCGTGCCCACGTAGCCCAGGAAGTAAACAGTGCGTATCCACTCATATGACCGCATATACGTAAACTCGATAAAACGACGGAAAATTCACCGATAAAATACTGTGCGGCAGAAAGCATAGCAGATACCACAGTGAACCCGCTAGCAGCGTCTAACTCATGCGGAGACGGCGGCGATAGCGCAAGGATACTGTTGCCAGCGAAGTCATGGTACGGAATACGGATGCGTTGCATGTGACGGAAATGAATGTCGAACGAGTACAGATAAAACGGTTTAAGTCAACAAAGTGGCGGTTAAAGAAAAATACAGGCAAATCGCCATGACCACTTTTGGAAGGTTATCTACAGAACTTGATACCGCAGAATTCGTACATATCTGCCACAAAGCCATTTGATGGTTGACGGAAGGAACAAGAACATGAATACAACTCCTGATAGAAATCAACCAGGAAAACCCGCGGCTGATTATCACTACCGGCGTACGATTTAAGTTTACCGCATAGGAACGTGGAAATGACAGTGCAATTAGACGACTAACGGTCAAAAAAGGAAGTCCACTGGCTCACCGCAGCCAATACCAATCCGATTTTTTCAACTACGACGGTGCAGTGGTAGTGGGTTAGCGAAACGAGTGAGAAGTCTATTTACTGATGACCGACTCGATTCTACAGGTTTTTATGAGTTCGACGCACAGGAGCTGCAGAATGCGTATCTGACAGCCGGCGCGATAATGACCTTTCTAAGTATAGTCAGAAAGCTCGTCAACACTGTGCCAATAATGATGGCGAAACTTGACACGGCGAACCCTGGAGTCAGGGAACGAAGATATGCATTGCGGTCAAAATGTAATACTATGGACAAGTGTTTAGCAGTATATCTATTCTCTTTAACACGATAGCGTTGGTAATATTCATGTACGGTGAATGCATTTTTAGGTAATATGTGGCCGGCGAAATCAGGGTAGTTTTACTGCAGCAGAAATTTCTCCGAGTGGACAAGATCTGGATGTTCCAATGACGAAACGTTTTTTCGCACTTGTTGTTATTTAAATTAAGCTTGGTACCTTAATAATTAATACTGCTGAAAAAGCAACGCCAGCTGACTCTTCCATTTGATTACATATTACGGAAGCAACGAGCTAGCAACTCCCGTACTCAGATTTGTACCGCACCAGTGACTTCCAAAGGGTTCAGTAGGCTTCACGCATTTTGCAGTCCAAAAATTTAAAATCTACTTGGATGACCCGAAGCGCGCTTGCCGCCGGAACAGGAAGGTTATTATTCTTCTTCTCAAGGAGAATCTGCTGGTAATACTCAGAAGGCAGTACACGCACTTTGAGCCCTTAGGTCAGTTACTGCAAAAGGAACTCAATACGCTGATTTGTAATCACATATACCTAATCTTGGAAACTGAAGTAACTAGTGGAAATCCATAAAGATAATGATATTTATTAATATCGAAAAAAGGCGAAAAAACTATCCACATCGTGCGCTATGACCAGCATCAATGTATACTTCGACTGAATAAGCAAACTGAGTATTCCCACCCCATTCGGCTGTTGTCGGTACCTTTCGCCAGATTTGACTTTACGCACCATATTTTTCCAAAATGCTTGGTACGCTACCACTGACTATGAACACCACCAGAGGTCGCAACTCTCATCGGCTACATATTGCCACAACCTTGTACGACTCAAATCTTTATGTTGATACTAAAATTTTCAATTTTGTTAAAAATTAGCAGCTATATCGCTGGTCCAGCAACTAAGAATGATTTCGCACCTTGTCAGTTACTGCCATTAAGTCGGTTACTGCAAAAGGAAATTCGCTGGTATCTCAAAGTTCACGGTAAGATTCTAGACAGAACCACACTGCCAGCCATTCAGTACAGCAATCAAGCTGTAGCGGTAAAACAGAAAATAACTGGCTGCGAATTGCGCATTAACAATCATCGTTAACTAGCATCTTCGATTATGCAACTTGTGTAATCTTTACATTAATTATCGCATAAGCGTTATTCGTTAACCAGTGCCCAGTGGTAACAAGTCTAACGTAAGGTAATCGTTATGCTGATGTAGACACCATATAACCATCTATTAGCTTATGCTGCTGCAATCTTGAATGGCAGTTATAAATTGTTCGCGGTCAGCGAACAGCTGGCGGTGCCTCCGGGATATCAACGTTCTTTAGAATACAAATACGAGTACAACATGCGCCGTTTTGTCGATCGTCGTCGGTCCGCACTTCCGTCAGCATATAGAATTTAACGATACCGTGTCGCTGCTGCTCCTGTTAAACAATGCCAGAACAAGATGAGTACACGATCATGGCGCTTCTCTTCTTGCTCTTCTGTAAGTTAGCAACAACCTTCATCTTGTTCATATTAAACTTCCACGTCTGTTCGCTTGTAGCGCAGACGTTAATTTGCTGGGCGCAGCAACCGGCATTGTGCCAACCGGTCTGGCCGTGGTTTATTTTGCCGCAAGCCGGAGACAAGAATATTCCACAACAGGTAAACACCAATTGTGTCATATTTATAACTCTGTACAATTTTAGCCCCAATTAATTCAAGAAATTAGAATCAAAATTTTGTTGCAGATTGTGGGCGATTGGTACAAATACCGCCAATTGGCCAACGGTCTGGAACCGCTAGGTACGATTAACCAGAAGGTTCGCTGGACCAGTGTCGCCCAGACCGTCGACACGCTGACCAATACACCGGCGCTGGCCATCACCTTGCAGTTTGCGCAGTACAATATTCCGGAAAACAAAACCTGCGCGAATCATTACTGGTCAGGACTGTACACGGAGGACGGACGACTGGTGGGGAATGTGGCCGTAGTGGAGGATAATTACGTCATGCGTAAGATAACGCTGCAGAGTTCCTGAATTTTAGCACTGTGTTATCAGAATATTGTTGTCCGCAGGAGAGGCAAGTTATGGAGTTCTTTACCATGACTACAACAAACTGGTGGTTGCTTATGGATGCTACGGAAGGAACCCCAACGGTACCTGCGCGAGCCCGGTGGTGTTTGCACAGACACGAGTGTCTCCACCTGATCTGACAGCCAGCGATAAAGCGGCGTTCGATGCGGTCATCGACCAAATCCTAGAACCGTATTGCGCCAAAGCCACGGATGTTCCGCTGCAGGTTTACAACGACCAACCATTCTGTCCGTTTCTCGATTTCCCAGACTGCAGCAACAAACTGGTCGAAGGACTCCAGCTCATCAACACATCATCTCAGTTAACCGGGAATCCTGGGGCAGCGGGAGCGCCACCCCCATCCGCTTGTCAACTACCAAATTCCATTCTGGCGACAACGTCATACGATCCAACACAGGCATGATTTCAGCGTAAATACAAATATGAGTATTTCTGCTGTTTTTAATTCTGGGTATCCTTGCATAATTAGATGGCCGGTTCGTGGTACGGATACCGGTTCAAGTCGGTTGAGGGCGCCGTGAGTAATTCGCATCTGAATTGGCACGTTATCGGTAAATCGTCCTTTCCGTTGTCCAACGTGACAGCACAACTGATGTGGATGGAGTACGTTGTCGTCAGCAGCAGCAACACCTGCCTTCATGGCTACTTTTTGGGAGCACTCGGAGTCAACGGGCAGGCTGACGGTTTATTAGGCCCACAAGGCGGTGATCGAGGTACATTTTTTACTGCAACTGGGAGAATACACTGCTACTGTCACGCTAACAGATGACTATGTCTAACACCGCATTTGCGCGCTGGCAAGATGACTGTTATTCAGCTAGTAAATAAATTTTTTTGCGTTCAGTCTTTTTCCAGTTGACTACATTATATTTGGATAGCAAGTTCGCGTTGTTTTACGGATGCATCATTCCTGATGCCACCAGCGCCAATTGCCGGTCGCCGTACGTGTCGGCAGTTGCCCGGCAAGATGCCTCGCAGTTGTCGGCTGCGGACAAAAGCAGTTTTGACGCCATCATAACGCCGTTCTTCAGCAAGTATGGATGCAGTGCCAACGACATCCTTCTGGTCGGACAGACGAGTAATGGGCCGCCGTGCGCTCTGCAAGGTTTTGGTGATCAGTGCATTCAACTAAATATAAAGGGACTGGCGGGAAAAGTTGAAGCCGGATCGGACACGTCGACAACTGCTAAGCCGTACTCGTATTAAATTAGGCTTTATGTTTATGCTTTCTCTTGCAATTAATTTATTTTGCTAATGTTGCCACAGTCTTAAAGCCATGTCCTGACCTGGGAAGGCATAAATATTCGTGAATAATTGATGCACAATGCGAAATTCTATGACGTGAACATTCAATGTGACTGCATGAAAACGGAACGTTGGGGTAGGTCTCATTTCGAAAGAAAATCTAGGTTTGGTATGGTTGCTCAACCGCACGAGATAGCTGTAATGTACGTCATGGTCATGCCCACAGATTCGGTTCGCGAAGCGATCATGCACGGTGAATTCGTCGGTGCTCGGTGTTTCTCGGTCCTCGAAAAGATAGCTTGCACGGTTATTGGCTTCCTTGCCACCAGATTTTCTTCGAATTTGAAGACCCTAGTTATTCATTTTCTTCGTTGTCGAAGTACGAGAAATGTACCTGAAAAAACGTTAATTACCGAAAATTTTGTCCCAGAACCTCTGTCTATCGTGCTGAGTATCTTTTGCAGTACTTGCGTATGTGCAAGCCACCACTTTACGGAAATTGCCCAAACGTTTTGTATTATGTTTGTTGTGGTTATTGACCGACGGTAGTTCTTTGAGAAGCCAAGGAGGTAACCTCAGTTCGTCAACATTCCCAAAATCCAACAAATACTCGTTCCCTTTTAATTCAAAGTGCAGGCAGCTGGGATGCCGGAGTATGAGTAGACTTTTTGTGCACTGTACAGATTGTTACAACCGGGAAGAAAAACTAATAAGAAAATGCAGTAACCAGGACAGTACGTTCGCCCTTTTTTGCAGGCGCTGCCAGACCAAAGCGTGGCAAAATTACTTAACAAGGAATGGCTAAAGCTTGGAAAACGGCGTTACTGCAGTGCCAACCTGCCATTCAAAAATGGGTTTCTACCGATTGTGAATTATTGATCGACTTTAATATTAGTTTTATCGTTACTTCACTTGATTGCCGTTACCGGTTTTATTGTACGTCTCGTTTATCACATAAGCGTTAACTGTGACAAAAGAACATCAAGTTTGTTTCGATGACTATTTAGTGATGGATGATTCTGATGAAAAAACCATAAGTATATCACGTTCCGCTGGTACAATCTCAAATAGAAATCGGAATTTATTGGGGTAAACGAACAGTCCCCGGGTGACCGACACTCGTTGGATACAAATGCAGCGGTCGTAGTTTGTCTACACTCTGCATTTCCGCCTTCGAGACAACCGCGGTGCTGCTGCTGTCTAGCATGCCGGAACAGCTTGAGCATATGAACATGGCGGTTTTAGTTTTCTTCTTCGGTACGTCAGTGTTATCTACTTTTAGATTGCGCTGAATTATCATCGATAGTTATGCTTGCAGTGCAAACCATGACCAGCTGGGCACAGCAGCAGACGGAATGTCAACCAACCTGGCCGTGGTTTATTCTTCCACAAGCAGGCGACAAAAACATTCCACAACAGGCAGATACACTTTGGTTTGAAATAAATTTGCAATAATTAAATATTCATTTTCTTGCAGATTGTGGGCGATTGGTACAAATACCGACAGTTTGCTAACGCCCTGGAACCGCAGGGTACGATTAATCAAAAGGTTCGCTGGACCAGTGTCGCCCAGACAGTGGATACTCTGACAAACACGCCGGCGCTTGCCATTAGCTCGCAGTATGCGCAGTACAATATTCCGGAAAATAATACCTGCCGCAACCATTATTGGTCGGGTCTGTACACAGAGGACGGGCGACTGGTGGGAAATGTGGCCGTGGTAGAGGACAATTACGTCATGCGTAAGACACAGCTTGAACAGAACATCCCCGCATTATGGTGGTACTTCGTGAGTGTTTTTTTGTTCACAGGAGAGGGAAGCTACGGAGTACTGTATCGCGATTACAACAAACTGGTTGTTGCATATGGATGCTACGGGAGGAACCCCAACGGGACCTGCGCGAACCCGGTGGTCTTTGCCCAAACGCGAGTTTCACCACTTGACCTGACAGCCAGCGATAAAGCGGCCTTTGATGCCATTATCGATCAGATCTTCGCGCCGTACTGCGCCAAGGCCATGGATATTCCATTGCAGGTGTACACCGATCAACCGTTCTGCCCATTTCTTGATTTCCCGGACTGCAGCAACAAACTGGTTGGTGGTCTGCAGCTGATGAATACATCCGTACAGCCGACCGGGAATTTCGCTGGAGCGGGAGCACCGGCGCCGTCCACTTGCCAACTGCCGAATTCTATTTTGGCCAAAATGTCATATGATCCAACACAGGTATGTTATTAGTACTAGGAACGGCTGTGCAAAGCGTATTAGGAAACAATTATGAAACATTATGAAATAATGCTGTACATAGCCGGGTTACAACGTTGAGCCTGCACTGGGAGAAACGTTAAAATATCAAAGCTGTAAGCTTCTCAATTTATAGATGGCCGGTATGTGGTACGGATACCGCTTCAAATCCGTAGAAAGCAATGTGAGTAACGCGCAGCTGTATTGGCACGTCCTCGGCAAATCATCCTTCCCATTGACAAACGTAACGGCGCAGTTGATGTGGATGGAATATGTTGTCGTCAACGATATCTGTTTGCATGGTTTTTATCTGGGCGAAATGGGAGTAAACGGGCAGGCGGACGGTCTTTTAGGACCCGTATCTCAAGCTGGCAATCGAGGTACAGTTTTTGTTCATTGTATTTGTTCGCTCGTAATTTGTTTTCTTTGTGGTCAGTCTTTTTCCAGTTGTCCACGTTATACTTGGACAGTAAACTGGCTTTGTATTATGGCTGCATCATTCCTGACCCGGCTAGTGCCAACTGTCGAGCGCCATACGTGTATGCCGTCGTCCGACAAGATCCAACGCAGTTATCCGCTGCAGAAACAAGCAGTTTGGACGCCATCATAACGCCGTTCTTTAGCAAGTACGGCTGCAGTGCAAACGATATTCCACAAGTCGGACAAATAAGTAATGGGCCACCGTGTGCGTTGCAAGGTTCCGGTGATCAGTGCATACAACTGAATATAAAGGGGTTATCGGAGTCGATTGAGGCCGGATCGGATACGTCTGCGATTGCTAAGCCGTACTATTATTAGGATGCCGTGATACCTGAGTTGTTTACGACTTCTTTTCTGAATAATTTATTTTTTTTAACTTTGAATTCGATTTCGTGTAAGGCAGCAGTGCGAAATTCGAAACAAAGTAGAGACAGGATAAACCCTTCACATTTGCACATTATCGCGCTTTAAAAATCAAGCCAATTGTTTTCGACGTGTTATGTTTGTTACTTTGGAGAACCCTCCTGTTCGTTAACATTTGCAAAATCCCACCGATTTCCTTTTTCTTAAATTGTCGATTATGGTAATTAAGCAATCTTTGACCGGGTTCCAGAGTTCGCGTGCGCCGTCCCTGTACTGATTAGCAACCACGAAGAAAATCACCTAAAAGCAATGAAAAATTTTTATTTTTCTTTTAAAATTTAACTATTGGTCACCCTGACACTGACGTCAACTACGGCTCCGATCTGGGTTTTTCATCAATACATCCCAGATTATGTTCACATTCACATCCCAGATTGGGTCCCGTTATTCTGTATAAAGTATAACTGCAGTCTGCACATAGAAACGACTCGATTTGATCTGGCAGTATCATCCAAAACTGTCAGAAAAGTGTACGGAATACTAATTATGTAGACTAAATTTTTACTCTCTTGTAACCGAACAAAGCTCTTGGTGACAAAAAAGGTCAGCCTTAAATGTTGCCCACCCGAATATTTTTGCTTTTGTTGGAGTCGTCCATGTGCAAATTGCCTCGCTACAGAATGCCACACAGCTGGTCTGGGAACGCGCGAAAGCGAAAATTCTCGTGTACGTGCGTAATCTACATGCATACCTTCCTTAATACTGCTTACGTTAGTCTCTTACCGGAGTCCCAATATAACCAAAAAAGTACAGCATTCGTATCCATATAAACACCGACAGATGCTGTTCATAGAACATGGTAACAATCGATCCGAGAGTGCCGTGCGGCAGAAAGCACAGGCAGTACCACACTGTTGCCAACAACAACGTATACGCAACCTGCAGTCGGCGATGGTAGCGCTGGGATACTGCGGGTGGTACGATGGCTACGCTAACACTTCGTTTCCGACGGAAACGTCGAAGGAATAATACGGTATACAACATTAAAGTGGCCGCTAAAGGAAAATACAGACATATCGCTATAACCGTTTTAATGACTGGCAGAGCGGAAGAAAATCTCCGCGCAGCACTACAGATCCGCCAGGCACCGTTTATATCACCATTTTTGCCCGGCAGTAATGTTGGAATGCAGGTTAATACGGGAACACACCAGGATAGAACAAAAATGGCAGTTACAACCGGTGCGCGATTGAAATGCCGGGTATAGTATTGCGGAAATGACAAAGCGACAAGGCGATTGACGGCCAGAAGGAGCGGCGTCCACTGTCCTACTCCGAGAAATACAAAGCTAATGCGGTCGACAGTATTACACCCGTAAAACGATAACCGAAGGATGCTAACTTCCTGTAGCGCAATTAGCGGATTAATAACAGCCGTCATGATGAGCTCAATGCAGATTAGCTGAAAAATTAGTATATGACAGCCGGTACGGTAGTGGCGTTTCTTGATAATGATGACAACCAGCACGATGGTCAGACACGCTCCGACAACACAAGCGATAATATTCAGCACAAACCAGGGCATCAATGAGCGCGTGTGGGCGTTGTTGTCATAGTAGAACTGGTGTCCGGTACCGTTTCGATGGTTACGGAGATATGTAGTTCGGTTACGGAGGTTCCCGTGGGAAAAGTTTCTAATAAACTGCATCATTTTAAAACGTACTGGAATATCTTCTTTGCAGCGCGAAATTTCTTGTATGCGTACCCTAGGAATACGTCCCAGCGCAGTCCGGGCGATTTCATTTTAAGTTGCCAGTTTGCGTCCGAATATGAGATCGATTCGGTAGAAAGCTACGTTTACTAACCCGAAAACACAATAAGAATAATTATATTGCAGTCTGAAAACATCCGGTCGTTATTTCTTTCTACCAGTCTTACACAGTCATAGGTGTACTGTGACTGTGCAATTTATTATCAGCAAGCCAAGCATAAAACATTGCAAACTGAGGAGAGAATCATAAACATCTGCAGATTTCAAGGTCAGTGTAATATCACTTATGCGAAAGTTGGACGGGTTAAGGATTTATTTTCGTATTTAGTGTAATGTACGGTACTAGTAAATCTCTTGGCTCGGTATTGTGTTTGGCGGCTGACTGAGCTCGCTTGCGCTGTTATTTGTGCCTGAAAATGCAGTGTTTTGCCCGCTGCCACCAGTTTCTCAATGTGATGTCGTGTTGTGCATACATATACAAAATAATTATGTGCTTTATTACGTACAATATGTACATGTCAGTACGTAATACCAGGGCCGTCGCGAGGGGGAGGGCCAGCGCGCCCCCCCTAGCGGGAAAAAAGTGTTGAATTTCCCATATAAAATTAACAAAATTTGGGACTGGCGTATTTGGCGCCATACTTTGCCCTCGGGGAAAACAACAGCGCGCCCCCCAACAGTAATGAATGGTAAAGTTGGGTTGATTATGCTTATAAAAGTTATAATACCAAAATTCGTCTGCATGAGCCGCTTCAGACTCAGCAAACCCTATATCCAAAAGAAACGAGTGTGCTACATATCGCAGTTAAAGGATGTTGATTTAAAGAGAAGAAAGTAAAAGATACTCTTAACCCATGATGATGTGAAGGCGGAGCCAAAATAGTTTTAAAGCTTTACGAGCTGATGTATAACTTATGGTTAAAGCCACTTAAAGCAGTATTCGAACATGTAGGATTAACAGCGTTGCTGGTAATTATTAATTCGGCTTGTTTTACCTTGCTTCCACTTTTACATTTACATTTTTTTGGAGTGAATTTGCCTTTGGGCTTTGATACGCGTTAGTGTTGCATTTTGGAGTTCTCAACCTTTTATGGCCTTAATTATTTTGTTATTTCGCATTTAATTTCTTTATTGCTCTACAATGCCCCGTACTAAGCAGACCGCTCGTAAGTGCACCGGTAGTATAGCTCCCCGCCAGTTTTACACCCTCGCCGCAAGGATGTCCGCTCCCGCCACCGGAGGTGTGAAGAAGCCCCATCGCTACCGTCCAGGCACCGTCGCCCCCCGTGAAATCCGTCGTTATCAGAAGTCCACGGAACTCCTCACCCGCCAGTCCGTGAATCTCTCGGAACTTCAAACTTAGTTCAAAGCCGATCTCCTATTCCACTCATCAGCTGTCACGGCTCTGCAGGAAGCCGCGGAAGCATACCTGGTCGGTCTGTTCGAAGATACCAACCTGTGTGCATCCATGCCAAACGTGTAACCATCATTCCGAAAGACAGGAAGTTAGCACGCCGACTTCGTGGAGAGCGTGAGAGATGGATGTGAAACTTTAGTTGGCTGAAGTTTCACACTGTACAGTAGAAGCTATGATCAGATTGTAGAGGTTGACGTTGTTATGGCAAAACTGTCAAAATCTCGGGGTTATGTTGTACTTTGTTGAAAAATAGTTTCTTACTATACTTGCTGATCTGTTGCAAATCATTTGTGCCAAATGGCAGTTGTCTAAAGAAGAGAGTAAAAGTAAAAAAATATCCTTTCCCTTGGCATGAAAGATGGTATTACAGTAGCGCCGCAACCGAAAGCGCTTAGAAACTGCTAATTGCAAAGAGCAAATATGATGCAAGGACATTGGGAGGCCAGCAGCGCTCTATCCAAGGCAAGGCATTGATATGGTTTACCAGGGAAAGCAAATTTGCAGCACATAACAACCGGGTAAGTGTCGCAATCGCGTAAGTGCCTGACGGCGTACCGCGACTGATATACTTGGACTTAAGCCAAAACTGCAAAGTAGAAACCTTCAGGAAAACGCGAACGCGGGCCCATCCACTACATACACAGAACGTTAGACTTGTGCGAGCGCGGACATTCAAAAACACGGGCTATACCCATTTGTCAAACTATTTGAGCTTTGAAATATTTTGCACGCTACATCACCATATGTTAACGGCGCCCGCGAGAAGGGCAGATGTCACAAACAATACGGGTAGCTTTTTCTTGAATTAGGTGTTTTGCCATCAGCTACATTGCCTACATACTTGTAAACATTACTAGTAATTTGAAATAAAAATTAATAACGGTTTAGTACAGCCTACACCACTCAAACTGAAAGTGGAGCCACTGTCATGATGTTAATTTAAGGAATAAAATCTATGATAATATTGTGCTGTATCATTTCAATCTCTTGATATGTACATAATACTACATATATGGGAAGCTGGCTGGCGGATTAATTTAGATCCGACCAGCCAGTGCTTATTAATCTTACTTTAAGCTTTCACTTTTCATATTTCTTGCTCCATTTTGGCACTAGAATACGTAAAATTTTTTGCTTGTTCTTCTGATATATGACATTAAACGCTGTGTTGAGCCTTTAACATGCCGTCGGCAAAAAACTCCTATGGAGTTTCACCATCTCAACATCCAGGGGCTGCCCTATGATAATTATCATAAGCTTGATTTACTGTCAAATTATCTTTGCATTGATGACAATGTTTCGAAGTTTTTCGCTGTCACTGAAACTCATCTCCGTCCTTCGGATTCTGATCAGTTGTTTTCCATTCCCGGATACTGTTTATTTCGTAGCGATCGACCTGATATTCATGGTAAAACACGCGGTGGTGGGATTCTATGCTACGTACCTCAACATATAACGGCTGAGCGTGTCGAGCTGAAGTTTCGTTCTAAGGGATTTGAATGTCTGTGGTTACAACTCACTGTTTCTCATCGCAAAATTATTATTGGGACCGTGTATCGTCAGCCTGATTCGAATTCTGTCGAAACCAAAGCGTTGTTCAATCATTTGCGGGAGGTACTGTTAAAATATCCGGGCAGCGATCATATGATCATGGGGGATCTGAACATCGATTCCTCCCCTGGTTCCTCAAGCCCCTATGTCAAATTGTACAGTGACTTTGTAGATGAATTTTCCTTCGAAGATAAGGTAATCGGACACACTCGGGTAGCACATCGCCTGAGACAATCTGATAATACCTTAATCACTACATCCACTAAGATTGACGTAATATTGTGCAGTCCTAAGAATTCATACGTGTCGTGCCAACCGTCAGATGTAAGTTGTTCAGATCATATGCTGTGCAAAACGGTCTCCGCTTTTCAGTGCGCACAACCGGAGCACAGAGTGATTTATTTTCGTGATTGGAAAACGACTAATTTTCAGTCTTTCAAAAGTCAAGTTTTTGATTTTACAAAGAATTACGTTAATTACGTTGATTATCCGGACGTCGATGATGAAGTTTCAAAATTTGTTGGTGGTTTAGCTAAAATAATTAACAGGTGCTATCCGTTACGATCGAAAAGAGCCTCGAATAGCAGTGCACCTTGGATTAACGGTCGCATTAATGCATTAAACGACCAACGGTCGCATTAAACGTCTGATAAAAAATAAAAATCTCGCATACAAGCGGAAGAAGTTGTCGAAAAGTGCCTCTAAGTATCAAGGCAATTGTCAACAATTTAAGAACTTGAAGCGAGAATTATTTACGGAGATTAAGAACGCTAAGCGAATGTATTTCGAACAAAATGTACAAAATTCAAAAATAATGTGGCGCGAAATTAACCGTTTGCGAGGAAAGAACAACGAAAATGATAATCTGGACTTCGATTTAAATAATTTAAACAAACATTTCGCTACAATGGGGGAGCACGGTAAACGGCACCCCGTGGCTGTCATCCCGAAGGAGGCTGATAGGGCGACATTTGAATTTGATCATGTTACTCCAGACGTGGTTGCTGAAATGTTTGGGAAAATCTTAAGTAAGAGAAAATGTGCGGGACCGAATGGTATACCACATAAACTCTTGCTGGAAATTTCCCCTATACTGGTTGAGCCCATAACCCATCTGATAAACCAGTGTTTCAAAAAAAATGTCTTCCCGTCAATTTTCAAAATGGCGGAAGTAATCGCTTTACCAAAAACTGTTCATCCAACAACACCGGATGAATTTCGTCCTATTTCACTTTTGTGTAATTTGTCAAAATTGTTTGAGAAATGCGCCCAACTGCAGCTGAACAAATTTTTGAAAAAAGAAGGCATTCTTGCGCCTAACCAATCCGGTTTCTGTAACGGCCATTCATATGAAACGTTATTGTTAAAAGTGACGGAGACATGGAAAAAGGCTGTCGATAGCAAAAAGTGTGTTGCAGTTGTTTTTCTTGATTTGAAAAGAGCTTTTTCGTCAGTGTGCCATTTGACTCTGTTGGAGACACTCCGTGATATAGGAGTAAAGTCTTCAGCGTTAAAATGGTTTTATTCGTATCTGACCGGCCGCTCGCAACGTGTACGTCATGGCATGGCAGGCGTTCCGCAAGGGTCTATACTTGGTCCCATTTTATTTACAATATACATTAATGCCCTACTGAAACTGCGGCTACCAAACGTGCATTTAGAAAGCTTTGCTGACGACACCATCTGCTATGCTGTTGCTAACACGAAAGCGGACGCAGCAAAAGATCTAACTGAAGCACTACCGGCAGTCTGTGAGTGGCTTAATTCCAACCGGTTGTTCGTCAACGAGAAAAAATCGAATCTGTTACTAATAAGTTCAGCGCATAATCGCGAAACCAACGTAAGCGTAATGCTGAACGGTCATAAATTACTTCCAGAAAAGTCAGTGAAACATCTTGGAGTGATACTGGATGAACATCTCAGTTGGGCTGACCATGTTAAAAAGGTCCAAAAGAATGTTCGGTACGGTATATCACTGTTAAATCGTGTTAAAGTCGGCCTGCCAACATCCCAACGCATTGTGCTTTTCTATGCCTTTGTTCAGTCGCATCTGAACTACTGCTCTACAGTGTGGAGCGGGGCATCTGTGCGCTTGCGTGATAAATTGGCCGCGATGCATCGTAACGGTGTCCGAGCGGCTGCAAACTACGCAAAGATACCCACGGAATCGTTCATGAACCAACATGGGATCTTACCGCTCTTCACGAGATGGAAACAAAGGGAAGCGATATGGTTATACAAGATCAAACATCCGGAAAAATTCCATGTGCCGCAGTACATCTCTGAGATGGTGGAATTTGATGACCGTATCAAGCCGTACAACCTTCGGAATAGAAACCGCATCCTGATCAAGGCGGAAGCGAAGAAGAAAGTTGGCGAGACGACCTTTGCTTGGAAACTTAATAAATTGTGGACATTTTTTGTTGATTCTAATTTTTCTGATCTGTTCGATATTCGTACAATTGGTGCCTTTAAGCAAGCTTTGAACCGTGTCAATTCTGTTTAAGACGTCTTTTCTGTCTATCTGCACTCGTACTTTTCGATTTTGCTTTTTGGCCAGGTTTAAAATCCCAGCTAGAAAGTCACCCTAGCCGGAAATGGGCTACCTGCTCCACGATGAATAATAATAATAATAATAATAGTACATAGCGAGCTTCGCTCAATAATAACAATCCAATGAGGAACTTGTCCCAGGTAAAATGAGAAGGATCTGTGCATAACACACTCATAGCATTGCCACGCATAATCTCTAAGCTAAACGTTGAAACATAAAACAAGTAGAGCGACTCTCGTCCGTCCTCAAAAACAATTTTTTCCCAATTCCTTTAACGAAATAATGCCTGTCTCACACCAAGAGCAAAAAGTCTCGCATGCAAACGGGACAAAAAAGCAGCGATCAATAAGCGACTTGTACTCCTCCATCTTCTCTCTGAAAACCAGTTCGGCAGCGACGCCAGCACACGTTGAGGTCGCGTCGATGTACGAATCCGCTATAGTGTCTATGCAGGTCACGTGCCATACTAAAGGCTGTCGCCGGTACCACTTCCTGCGCGTGGCTCCATCCGGGCGCTTTCCATTTTCGCGCAAAAAGCCGATAGGCGCCGGATATGACTCAATGCCCGCATTGCATAATGCTCGAATCATGATTTCGTTTATGCCGTTATGGCGTTCCCTTCTCTCAGTACACTTTTTACAGGCTGGCCCATGGTATCCGTTTTCCGCATCTTCTTCACCACATCTCGCAAATGAATGCCGCTCCACGATCTTTGCGTCAAGCCACAGGCCCACAGAAATACGCAAAAGTCTGGTCATCCAGGAAGTTTCCGAATACCTTCGCGGGAAGGGCGTTAAGCCAGCGTTGTGCTGTTATCTTCCTTAATGTGTTAAAGTTGCATACCTACGTACCGTCGTACGGCAAATCACAGTTGTAGCCTTTTCGCTGGGAAAAAGGCGAGTCTTGAACCACTAACTACTGGTAAGCAGCCGCAGCTGCGATCAATCCGAGAGGTGCAAGCAAATCAACCGTTCTGTCGATATTGAACGTAAGTCTTTTCGTGCAGCAGTGCATTTCTAATAACGTCTGTACGTTACTGCGCACTTCAACAGCATTCTTTTAATTATGTAACATGTACAAAACTTCGATCATTTTATTTAGTGTGCACTAGCGCTGGCTTATATTATATTCTTTGGAAAGGCCACTGCCAAATAAAAGTGCATATGTACCAATAATGGCAGTTACTGTACAGCAATAACTGTCGTTAACGGGCGATCGGAGGTTTCTCGCGTTGCTTTGCATACACTTCGATGGACGTGGCATATTTTTCTTTTGTGAACCCTGTTTTGTTCTGGTGCATAGTTTGTATTCGTACCATGATACTTATTAAAGGTTACTAATATTTTGCTGTATTTGTGCATTTTGTTTTTGAAAATATTTATAAAGTTTTGCCGTCGAAAGCGAAACCCGCCCTCCACTCCCATCTATGTTTATCATTCTGTTTGTCATGTATCATTAATTTTATCATGGTTTATCAATAAAGGGGTTTGGTCGCGGACGGTTCACACGCGGTAGTCCGACCAGCTTGGTTTCCGGTGCCAAGTTGGGCCTTGGGCTACACTCACCACCTCCGCTGTACCAGCCTCAATTGGCAAATTAATGGTCCAGAAATCGCTAAACGTTAATTATTACGAGTATTATTTAGTTTAATGGTTTAACACAGTATTAACGCACTAACAACTTATCTTTACGATGCAGTAGTGTATCTGTACATCCTCGTAATGTATAGATACATGGGTCAGTGCACGTACTCGGGACCAGCAGCACTTGCGGTGCAGCGGTAGGCAGCACCAGTGGCAACTGACCAGTGGCCAATGGCAATCCGCAATCTGCTACAACCTGTTGAATGAAATTTTTCTGTTGTAGTTTGTTTGTCTTTTCTAATAATTGTGTAGCGCATTCTGATTTGACCAATAAAGCTATCACCTGTTGAATACTTCGTTGAATACGTCGAATACGAGATTCGAGAATACAGTACGTACAATGTACGACAAAAAGAGGTTGAACCGATCAGTCGGTCCGCGGTTCAAAATAACCTCGCAACGACACGCCACCACTACTTTCAGACGCTCGCGCTCCGTGAATATCAAAGTGCATATGCATATAGAAACAAATTTTAAACTTTTGATACTAAACCTGTGGCTGTTTATGGCGAACAGCACAAATTCTAGCCATTTTGCTTTCTCGTAGGCACAACATAGGATCTGTGCGCATAACCGTTTGGCTTGCAATCAATGCTTAAGTCTATGGGAAAGCAAAATGGCTAGAATTTGTGCTGTTCGCCATAAACAGCCACAGGTTTAGTATCATAAAGTTTAAAATTTGTTTCTACACCTTTTGATATGCAGCTAGTATAGCTGCACTTTGATATTCACGGAGCGCGAGCGTCTGAAAGTAGTGAGTAAGCGTCCAAGTTTTAGTGGTGGCGTGTCGTTGCGAGGTTATTTTGAACCGCGGACCGACTGATCGGTTCAACCTCTTTTTGTCGTACATTGTACGATTATCGTACTGTCAAGTACGGCTTCAGTACTACGAGTACGGAGTACTTACACTGGTAATGGATGCAGTACAGCCAGTACGCACTGAAGAACAGCTTTCCCATTCAATTATTTTATTCTCAGTAATTTTGATTTCATTTCTGTACAGTTCCGTGTGCCTAAAATATTGTAGTGGGAAAAGTTTATGTACAGTGTCAGTCGAAATCAGTTTGTATTGATTGGTTATCGTGAGCGATATTCAGTTTGCATACTGGTTATCGTGAAGATCCATTTTTAGTTTCCTGATTTCGTGGTTGCTGAAGAATGGCGTATTTCTGGGAGTGGATCATACTGTACCTCGCTACGTGCAGTCTGGACGCTGCGGCCTCTTCCCTGGACTACGACGACATGCTGCAGGGGCTGCTGGACGATCAGGAATGGCCGGATTTCACCCATACCTCCGTGGCTCCTCGCGAAACCCTCCACCGCAGTCAGACCAACCCCCTCCACAAATGATCCACAGTAAGTACGAACACAGCGTACTTACTTCGCGAATTACATAACAGCGTTACGTCCTTATTAGGCGCACCATCCGCCACCTGGAGGAGCAACTACACACCTGCCACGCCACCCTCCACTCCCTGCAGTCCCCCCGTTCCTCCCCCGCCCCACACAGGGCACACCCCCCGCCCCCTGTTAAAACCAGCATGACCACCCGGGTGGAGCACGTCCTGGTGGAGTCCGCGGAGGAGATGGGCGACGCCATGGTGGGGTGTGTGGAGAGCGTCCTGTACCGGGTCCTGGCGGTGATCATCCACGGGTTGCGAGTTTTGGCCATCCTCGTCGGGATCCTGGCGTTGTTTATGCTGTTCGTGACGGCCGCGGAACTGGTGGATGTGGGTAGTGAGAGGACCTTCAGTACCTTCGCACTGCTGGTGACGGTGGGGCTGTGGATGGGATTGAGTGTGACGGTGTACGCGCTGCAGCGGATCGGCGGACCGCCCCGCGGGATGACGACCGGGGCGACCCATTTATCCACGATTTGAGAAGGAGCGGTGTTGTAGCCGATTTATCTCTTCCCCGATTGTGATCCTGTTTGCTTGCATGTTCTGTGTTGAATATTTCTCTTTTAAATGTTGCATGCGTAGCCCGGAATGATTACGTAACAATTACTTGGAATTTTCTTGGTAAGCGAATGTATCACATCTGTCATATACTTCTGCTGTATTTTTGAGCAATACGAATCTTTATCTTGAGCCTGAGTCTGAATTCAGAATGACAGGTTTCCAATTTATAAACAAAAGCCAAACTCAAAAGTATCACAAAGCGAGCTAACAAAAATGTGTGTTTAGAAATTACGAGTGATATCACGGGTAATCGCCGGCACGCTTGATACACTGTGTTACCTGTGTAATGCAGTGGTGTAATGCACCGTCAAAGGACTCCCGATAGTGAAATGTTTTCGTTTTCTAACTAGTTAACGTGTGCGCGAGTGTTTTCATTCGGGTTTTAACTTTAAAGTGCACATCGTCATTGGAAAAGCGCAACTCACATGGAAATTGTAGGTATATGAATATCGTATGTACAGCCTACAGGTATTTATACGATTATTTACTCTAAGAATAACTCAAAACCCGATTTTATTATAAGAATAGCGTAACTCGCAGTCTCCTGTAACTCTTAACTTTACGGTAGGTGGATAACTGGATTTACAGATACCATTTGTCTGGTGGATACTCAAAACATTTTTCCTACTGCTGTCTGCACTTATCTATACTATCAGCGCCTACGGAGTGATTACGGTACAGCTGCCGATTTACTTAGCGTTAGTCGACCGTCAGTTCTAAGTAATTTTCCGTCAGAAATTTTAAGTAGTACAATTTTTCGAAAAATGTAGTGTTACAAGCCGAACAATGTAGTGTTTTTAGCAGGCCGACCTGTGCACCAGCGGCGAAATAATTAGAAAGCGCATAGTAAATTATATTTTAATGCAACGGCTGCAGTCGTATAGTTTCTTGCCGATGCAGTCGGGCGTAGTCGAGAAATACCTACGTACCTCGTACACAGTCACATAATCCGCCTGCAGTTTCTCTGCCATCGACGCGGCTCTCAGTCTCGTCAGCACACTTGTCACATGCAGTTTCTCTAAAAATTCAAATGCATCGGAGAAGAACGAAAGACTGATCATTAGTTTCACAATCTAGAGTAGTAAATTATGTTGTAGTCGTAATTGCTGTGCTGGTCCGTAGTAAAAGAAGAAAAACAAACCGTAACCGATTGCGAATTCATGATTTACGGCTTTGTTACGAACTTGAGATGAGCATGAAATTTGTCGACTTGGATAAGTGTTATTAATGTTGTTCGGTGATATAAATCCACATGTACAGTGAAGAAAACTATACAACGCCTTCAACTCTAGCCGAATTTAATGTCAAGTGCAGCGATTGTCTCATGCTTCACAATATCTTATGTCGATGATCGATCTCCTGTCGGTTACACAGGTGTCATAAATCGGTTAACCAAATTACCGGTCAGCGAACAACCGCCGATGTACTGCCTCCAGTCACGGATGATCGTTTACTACAAAATACTACACTGCGCTGTTTCTTCTTGTAGTATCTTGGTTCATTTTGTATCCATCCTCACAACGTTCCGAGGTGTTGCTCATACACACACCGGTCAGTCAAACCATGAAGTCGGAACACGATGAGTACACCACGATGGCGCTCCTCTTCTTCCTTTTTTGTAAGTTCGCATCGGTTTTGCACGCCATCCAAGAAATGTTCAATTATACTGAATTACAGCGCAGATGTTAGTGTGCTGGGCACAGCAATCTCCATCATGTCAAGCACGTTTCCCGTCGGTTGTTCTCCCGCCAGCGGGCGATAAAAACATTCCGCCACAGGTACATCCCATTTCCGTCGTATTTCAACCATGCCTAGATAAAAGTTTGCTTTGGATTTTTGGTGATTGTAGATGGTGGGCGATTGGTACAAATACCGGCAACTGTCCGAAGTGTTGCAACAAACAGGCTCGATCAATCAGCGTATCCGTTTCGTCAGTATCGCCCAGACCGTGGACACTCTGACGAACACGCCGGCATACGCCATGACCGGGCAGTTTGTTCAGTACGACATACCGGAGAATAAAACCTGCGTCGGCCATTACTGGTCGGGACTGTACACGGAGGACGGACGATTGGTGGGGAATGTGGCTGTAGTCGAAGACAATTTCGTCATGCGTATGTCAAAGCTCCTTATTTACCCGAACGGTTTTCCAGCTCTTTGTTTGCGGATTTTCACAGGACAGGGGAATTATGCGGTGGTCTATCACGACTACGATAAAATGGTCATCGGATACGGCTGTTATGGGCATAAAGCCGATGGGACCTGCGTGACACCTGTCATCTGGGCGCAGACCCGCAAGTTCCCAGGGAATTTTACAGCCGCCGAGAAAGCGGAACTGGATGCTATAATCGATAAGGCCTTTGAGCCGTACTGTATTAAGGCTACGGATGTTCCGCTACAAGTTTACAACGACATGCCGGACTGTCCGTTTCTCGATTTCCCGGACTGCAGCGCGAAGCTGGCGCGTGGTCTGCAGCTGATGAACACATCCGCAATGCCGACCGGGAATTTTGGGGCCTCGGGTGTACCACCGCCGTCCACTTGCCAACTGCCCAATTCCATTCTGGCGACAATGTCGTACGATCCCACACAGGCATGTTACACTATGAATCGTAGTCTGTCAAAGAAACGTTATCAGTGTTTATAGCCGGTGTTACAACTGGGCGCGGCAACTGTATACAGTTAAGTATTTCAGGCACCAGTTTTTTTTATAGATGGCTGGTTTGTGGAACGGATACCGATTTAAATCGGTCGAAAGTGGTGTGAGTAACTCGCAACTGAACTGGCACGTCATCGGCAATTCCTCCCTTCCGATGTCCAGTGTGAAAGCGCAGTTGATGTGGATGGAGTACGCTGTTATAAGTAACAACGTCTGTCTGAATGGCTTCTACATAGGCGAACTAGGCGTGAACGGACAGGCTGACGGTTTACTAGGGCCGGTTTCGCAAGCCGGTGATCGAGGTATTTTTTAGCATAAACGCTGTACTCATTCCCTGTTAAAACGCTCCATTTGATTCCAGTATTTTTCCAACTGACCACATTATACTTGGACAGCCATTATGCCTTGTACTACGGATGCATCATTCCCGACCCGGCGAGTGGCAACTGTCGGGCGCCATATGTGTCCGCCGTCACTCGACAAGATCCCGCACAGCTATCAGCCGTGGACAAAACCAGTTTTGACGCCATCATAACACCGTTCTTCAGCAAGTATGGATGCAGTGTCAACGATATACCACTGGTTGGGCAGACCAGTAATGGTCCACCTTGTGCACTGCAAGGTTCTGGCGATCGGTGCATTCAACTGAGTCTACAGGGATTAGCGGAAGCTATCGAGCCAGCACCGGACAGAACAGCTACTACAACTGTTAAACCAAACTCATACTATTACTAGCAGCATACCGTTAACCTTGGTTGTTTTTTTATACGCTGACTATTTATGCCATAATTTTTATACTGCAGTGCCAAATTTCCCGCTTTTGATGAGCTCCCAGACAACGGTGTGACTCTGTGACACACAGATATACAAGTGATTAATACTTGCAAACCGTATACAGGCCCATGAGCCTGCTTATCGATTACCACCGACTGGAAACAACAAGACTTTTCGTGCTTTAAGTAGTTTTGGTGGTCCCATTTTATTATACCGTAATTTTTAGGAGCAAATTTTGAGTCGCAACTGAAATTAAAATTTTGAATTAGAATTCTCATAATTATTCCTTACCAAATAAAGTTCAAACAGAGGAACTGGGTGAAACGACCTGGCCCAGTGAGTAGCAGTAATTACCTAAACCAATACTGTAAACAACTTAGTTAATGATTTAGCCAAAGGGCGGAAAACAATCGCGGAAAAGCTTGAAGCTAAATAATTGTTTCAATCAACACATTTAGTATTTTTATAATATCGCGACAGTCATTTTGAGTCGTAGTGCAGCCTGAGTTAAAATTATCGCTGTTATCGTAGATTTAATGCGCGGCTATTTCTATAGGGATTAGGAATAATTCTTCATGGTTTCTCCATCCACGTTATTTTTAGAATGAGCGCATCGGGTCGGCCTACTTTACCTTTGCCTCCCCTTTGCCTTTGCCGTTTCACCTTGCCTTTTGCGGCTGAAACATTTTTCAATCTGATTATATAACCGTACAGAGTACAGTATGTATGCACTTGCACATTTGCCTTGGCCACTCTGAGCCTAGTACTGTATGTCGATCGAAGCGATAACCAATTTTCCCATGCTACAATATATCGACTGTACAAAAAACTGTCGCACTTCGGCCATTTTGAAACCAGCGCATAGGGGGGCATAAGAGTACGCACAGAATACGGCATCAGACTTTCAACACACTGATTTTCGTTCAAATACTTTTACTCCGTTCAGTTTGTTTACTGTAATTGAGTGACACTTTTACCACAATAATTTTGATTAGAGCTAGTACCAATTTGCATGTTCTTTGGTAAAAGGATTTTTGTTCTTGGGTAACTTTTACTATTACTACACTTATCCGCTTTAATATCAGCATTGATTATAATATCCTACAAAAATTCTACTAAAAATGTTAACAAAACATCTGCTGTGTGTTTTCATTACTGCATCGTTGTCCAGGGGATTCACTCTGCCCACGGGTACAGATATAGTCTGCGTTATTGCCAGCCATATTCAGGCTTCCAGCTGAAGCGTCCCGTCTCGTTGCAGACTGGAAGACCCGGATTGATAAAAGTGTGTTGGAGGAAGGACAAGCGAACAACCGATTACTGTTTAATGCAGATGACATTATATGGGATGAAGAGGTTTCAGGTTCTCAGAATACCGAAGTGCTGCGAACTGGGCATTTGGCCGAGTATAATTACTGGCCAAAGGAAAAGCCTATTCCTTACCGCATCCAACAAGAATACAGTATGATCAGATCAGAATGAGATCAGAGTCAGAACGAAGATCAGAATGTGATAGATCAGAATTCAGATCCAAGTTAGTTTAGAATTCAACAGTGCAGGACACAATTGTTGTATCTATGCATTTCTTTACTTCCGATAGCGTAGCGGTGTTTACAATGATGACAGGTATTTGGGACCGTCGAAAGATTGAAGCAGCTATGCGTTTCATCGAAAACGAAACCAAATGCCTACAATTTCAGAGGCAGACCAGAGAAGGGGAATACATCCACTTCCGAGTGGGACGATATTCGTAAGAATACAATATTAAACTGCAGAACAGAATGCATCCAAGAATGTTGTACATAATTATGATGAGGTAGTTGAATTAATGATTTTACCGGCTTTGATTTCGTAAGAAGCCAATCAGAAAATTAGTTACGCTTAATTTAATAAGAACCGGCGAAGCATCGAGTAAAAATTTGGCTCTCGCAAAATAACCACTTACTGATACTTCTGTACCAGGTCGCAGTGCGAGGCCCAAATAGGACGGCATCCGGGCAGCTTAACCACGGTGTTCATGGGGACAGGCTGTCTAGCGTCACAGGGAACAATCATACACGAGATTCTCCATGCTCTGGGAATGTTCCACGAGCAGAGCCGGCCGGATCGTGATGATTATGTGGAAATCTATGCCGAAAACATAGAACCGCGAGCGCTGCACAATTTCGCAGTGCTACGGAATATGTCGATGTACGGCACGCAATATGACGTAGAATCCATAATGCATTACCACCCTTTCGAGTTTAAAAAGAAAGGCAGCAACCAACCAACCATCCTACCGAAATTAGGGGAAAACAAGAAGATGGGACAGCGTCAGACTTTAACGCATCTGGATGTTGCCAAACTGAAGCAAGCATATTGTTCGTGGTCGGTACCGGAGCAACCTATTCTGGATAACATGATACAGCGACCAAGCTCTGGACAAAACCAAAGCTATGCTATTCAGGCTAATTTGCCAACCCGTATATTGATTTCCACTACCCCACTTCCGGTGACAGAAGCGACAACTGGCATTATCCAAGGAAGCTCTTCCACGAATCAGTTGCAAATGCAAGAAGAGCCTATTGCGCTGCCGTTGATGATTGCCACTGCATCCAGCTCACAAAGCAGTACGTTCCGCTCGACATCGCGATCGGTCCGGCGTAAAACTTCTCTTCGAAGTCTTCGCCAGCGATTGGGTGTGTTATTCGGGTCAAGTTAGAGATCTATGATATTTCTCATGTGTTACATTATTGCAATTGCTTCAGCGACGAATGCCCAGTCTAGCGTTCAATGTGCGGTAGTTTGTGATGCTTTTTATTTAGTTTTTGTAAATCTTAAGCCAGTCGATGACCCTGATTTGATTAAAAATGTGAAAGTAATTTTATTTTGTGGCTAACAAAATTAAATTTACTACGAACAACGAAGCAAGCGTGAAAAAGTTGGCAAAAGGACAAAAGCAGATACATTCGCTCAGCGGGTTTCACTTGCAGCACCATGATGGTCTTCCCGTTGATCTATTTCGCGGATATTATCCAGCCGCCTGAATGCGAATAATGGGCCTGCTATCCGATACAACCGGCAAAACAGCCAAGCAGCGCAGATAATTCCAGCAATCTGTAAAGAAAACTAGCAGTTATGGGCGTTTGATCGAACGGTTACGGTTACAGTTATCTGTCTCACATCGAGAAACAGTAATACAGCGGCCACAGCGCCAATTATCCCCATCATTTCCCTGAGTGTATCACGCAGCAGCGGCGCACATCCGCGTGTATAGAAATCGCAGTTGTTGTTTTGGTCACTTTGAGCACAGGCATAGACCGTTTCCACATCGAATATGCACAGAGTCTCGTCCACTAAATTGCAGCAGGATAGCGGTGGGTAACGGTGTGGAATACCGGAAACCGTTACGTTGAACGAGACGGCTACTTTCATAAATTTCCCAGTTTTAGGCAGATATCCATTGAAGGTATTTGGTTTGCGTTTTCTGGCCGATACGCTCATCGTTGCAGGCTGGCCTGAATCGAGCCAGTCTCCAAATGAGTCCACCCCGCAACAGCACAGCTACGAAAATATACAGTCACTACATATGTAATTACCGTTTCGCTTTGGTTCGTTCCGAAAATTGCAGTTCGCAAATGAGAAGCATTAAAAACAGCATGGCGCATGATACGTAGAAGTGCTTGCCCGAGTACCTCTCTTTGCACTTTGTCAATTTTGTGATGGTTCGATTCGTTGTAGTGTGCTATATCGTGCCACAAATCGTCAGTTAATTGGGTTTCCATCTAGGGCGCAATGCAAATGCTTAATCAGAACCGTACTATCAACACTACATTTTAAGGCAAACTAAGTACAAATAAATTACTGTAAATCAAAACTACAGTAGGTAAATAACTATTTTATAAATAAATAACTACTTACTACAAACTAGAGCTATAGTTAGTAATCTACAGTACTTACGCCTACCTGATGTTTCCCAGAAAATCCTAAGCCTAGACAGACCAGTTGAAAGACCATAAGGACGATAAGCGCCACTCCGAACTATAAACATCATTTTTACTGTTTTCGGAAAGTGATGACGGAGTCACATCGCGTGGGCCTTTCGTGAAAGCCGCTTCACTGTCGCAAGTTGCGGATGTTTACCGAACAGTCCATCCATAATTCATTAGCATCAGTGAGGTAAAACGTGACAACTCACCGATAATATCGCGTATCGGTTTCGGCAGCTACCAGCCGGAAGTCCCAGTGCGGCGACCACCAGAGTCAGTGCACCCACGGTGATGGCTAAACCAATAACGTTATCGGTTATGCTTTGCAGATCGACGAATTCGAAGTGATCTACATTGAAGAGGCGCTCATTCCAGATTATAACGCCGCCCGCTATGAAGAGAATTCCGACTCCCTAAATTCCAGATGGGAAATCACCGTAGTCCCACAGCTTTTATACGTACGTGCCAGCATTTGGTATACACGGTGACAGATATGTGTGAATCAGTGTGATGCATTACCTACCAGATACAACCCACTGATCACCAATATCGCCGTCTTAAAGATTTTATGGGAAATTGGCATAACGTTGGCTTGCTGCGGATGCTGGTTGGGTGAAGGCGCTTCCACATTCTCCGCTAAATCATTAAAATTTGCAGCTGCAACAATCCTCGACCCTGTTGCTGCGTCTCTTCCGGTTCGGTAAGCATCCATTTAGGCGTCTTTTTTGAATAAATCAACACCGCTTCACCGTTTGCTAGAATACCTCTCCAGTATGAAACATGATAATATTACAACATCCCAACCTTAAAAATTACACACTGCAGTGCAGCAGGGGTATGATTACAACGGAATCACAGATATTGCTGGTCTAACTTGTAAAAATGTGTTTTTGAATATCGTTATTTAAAACCGGGCGGAACTGAATTTAAATCAGACCATAATAGTTGGGTACCGAAACTAACAGACCTTGACTAGACAGACTGCAGTATTTTTAGCGTTGCTTTGCAAGGATAGACGTTAATGCATGTTGTATCCATATTTCATGCCTTATATTGCTGAGCTATGTCGAGAAATGATATCACTGCCTTTGTGCTAAGTAATAAATGAATCGTACACGCCGGTATTATTATCCCAAGCAAATATCATAACTCTTTCCGCATTCATAAAATTTAATGCTCGTACCGTACCGTGTTCATGTTATACCAAGGTTCAAGCACCATTAATTCATATTCTGCATCCGCACCGGAGTGTTTTATTTTCAGCATTTTGATTCCCAGTTACTCTATAAATTTTACCGCGTACTGTACTGGAGTAAGGCATCATAAAACCTTAATACGTTGCGCCGCAATTCCCAAGTACAGATATTCTACCATAACACTGCACACCGTGCAAACTATATTTTTAGTCATCGCGTAGTCTTGACAAAATTCCCGTTTGGTGTCAATTACAACATTATTCGCTTATACACAATGTATACACATTAATATACCATAATACTGGAAAACCAGAATAATGTATTTTTGACTATAATTTTGTTTGACATTTGCTATGAGCTGCACAAGAATTTCACAATATGTTTGCGTACCAACATCGAGTACAATCATCACCATAAACATTCTGATGTCATGAAGCAAGTAATTGTACTGCATATCATTTTTCCCTTTTATGCCCAATAACAGCCTTGGCAAAATTAAAAAAGGACTTATGTAGGGACTGCAACAATACGAGTATTCAACTTTGTACAGAGAAATTATACACTGTACAGCCCATCGATGTAGCACCGTGCGATAATCCGCTGAGCTGGGCGCGCGCATTGCTCATGATCACTCTATGGGCGGCTTTAACATTCGTAAGCTCTCAAGATTTTCTTGATGTCCGAATCACTCAGACGAGAACTCGTTGTCAGGTTTTGGGTAGGATTCATGGGAATCATTACTGGCAGGATACAGCTGTACGCGAATTCTTTGTTACGCGTAATGGACAAAAAATAGTGAGGGAATTCCAATACGGTTAGACCATCTCCGGGCTTGGGGTAATTGTCTTTAAAGGCTTCTATAAAATATTATTATTCGTGATCAGTCAATCGTTATACTGTAATTATTTAAAAATGTATACATGTGACGCGCTCAGTCATAATCATCGCGATACTGTATAATTATTGTCGTACTTTGGATTCAAACATGTTTGCAACTTTTTTAAGCGCTACTGATCGAATAGAAAAAAGGTCGATGTTTCTCGTCTTTATAATGTACGTCTGCTAATGCCCCAAGTGCTTTGGACTGTACAGACTGATTGTGTACAGACATATACTTTCATGTGTTATGCAAATGTGAAGAACATGCGAAATTCGTGATCTTACCACTTTAACGTCACATTCTTATTATCTGGTTTACCTGGAATATTCTCCCAGCTGACGTGCACATCGCTGTCGTGATCGGGTCGTGTATGCTCGTGAAAAAAGCCGAGGACATGAAGGAGAACATGCAGAAGGTCGGCGAATGAACACTGTGCGCTCACAAACATTTTGTTCGTATGTCGCTGCCTGCCCACTCCTGCAGCGCACGTGCTGTGTGACGCATAGTCATGTATACAGTGTTGCTCACCGGCGTAATCCGGCGTTTATGCAATTGTTGTGAACTATCTTCACGTAGCTATCTGTGTCTAAAGACGTCTGTTTTCTATGCTGATTTCTCAGCGCCATGATGAAGTTGTGATTGAGCGAATCATTATCTATCGTGTGCGGCTACAGTAAAGATCATTGAGGGGATTTGGCGGTATTCTCCGTTACGTATAGTGTAGGAGAAACGATCATATATTATGGCGCTCCTGGGTGGATGCGTTTAGCAACCGTAATAGCCCGGTGACCTTTCTGTTCTCAGTCGATATGACGGCTCCCGTTATTGATCCATTTTATACCCATCTTTACGACACCTGTAATGAACGTTTAAAGGCGGTGGAAGCGGCTTTGGGTATGTGATTCCGTTATTCAGCGGATAGTTCTTTTGAATGTAATATTCGTACAAGAATCGCATATCGTACAATATTTGGTTGTTGCTTTTGTTCAAAATGTGTAAAGTTTTGAACTGTATAGTAGCACCGATCAGAAAGTTGATGAGCTGTTGCTCGTGGTCAACTCAACTGTTAATTCTCTTATCTGCTGGTAGTTTGACTGCTAATGTCGTGTTGGGATACATGCTGCACCAGGCGCAATCCAACATTATTTGTAATGCTATTCTTGGTTAAATAATTGTCGACGTTAATGTCCGACAAGAGCGGTAAATCAACGCAACCGCTAACTAAGAAAGCAGATAAGTCAGTTGCAACTGCAGCAGCAGATAAGCCTGTCGCAAGTTCAATAACTGTAGCTTCAAGTTCGAAAGCTGCTACACAGACTTTTCCGTATACAGAAGCAGACATATTAAAAAAAGCCGGAGGACGGACGTTGCGTTCAGACGGTCAAGCAGAGTTTGCAGAAGGCGAATTGCCAAAACCGAAAAGGTCAGGCGTGCCCAGGGCGAAATCAAATCTGATGAAGAATTAATATCAGATGACGATGAGCCTGTTACCGCATTAAGCTCAACACAGTCGGCTGTTATACTTGAAAGTGACGCTTCGCCACTCGTTGAGACAGGTACACAGTCACCTTTCTTGACCGATATACCAGAACGTACTGCAACGGTTCTCGTTGACATTAATAATACTGAAAGTGTCAATATGGATGCACAAGTTAAAGCACTTACTGATGGCCTACAGAGTCTTGTAAAGGTCGCAACAGACGCTCCAGTAAGTGGTCCGCTGCAGTGCGATAAATTCAAGCCTTCAGAGCATAACGCTCGTGAATGGATGAAGGAGTTTGAAGAAGCAGCGACCATGTCGAATTGGCTGGACAAAACCAAAATGAACGGTTTGCGTTCTACTTGACGGCTGGTGCCGCTAAGCAGTGGTATAACCTCAGAAAGCCGTTTGCGACTTGGGACGCTTTGCGTACTGCATTTCTCACAGAATTTGTCAGTGAGGATGAGAAGTGGGACTATCAGAACAAGTTGCAAAATCGCAAATTCAATCAGGATAAAGAGAGACTGGTTGAATATTACTACTCTATCATTGACCTTTGTCATAAAGTCGATACTGCGATGTCAAACGAAATGAAAGTGCGCTACCTGTTGAACGGTCTTAGTACAAGCCTACGTAATCATATGGCGGTGCTTAATCCGACAACACCGGAAGAGTTATTGACACGTTTCAAGGTGTTAAAAGTTGATTCGGAACGTACAAGTTCTAACACAAATGTCATTTTGACAGCTGAAGTCTCGGCAAAGCAGAAGCAAAGTGAAGACGACGAAACTGCTGCCGGTGATGTCAGTTCAGCAAACGTGTCAAACGTGCTGCAGTCCAGTGAATTTCAACAGGCTGTGGACAGAGCTATCTCTGCCCGTTTGCAGCAAGAGTTCCAGATGGCTGCCGGCTCATCGACACCTCCCGAGACTCAGTCAGCCGCGCCTGTGTTGACGCAAACGTTTGTACGGGGAGGCGCTGCTGGTGCCCGTGGAGGCCGTGGTCGCGGTGGCCGAGGTCGTGCTCGTGGACGTGGCCGTGGTGGTACACGCAACGGCGGCAATGGCGAATCCCGCAAACCGGCTGTGACGGTTGAACGGAACCAAGACGACAAGTCGCGGTGTGATTTCTGCGGTCGGCAAGGTCACCAAGAAAGCCGGTGTTGGGATCGCATGCGGGAACGTAAAGCGGCACACGCGAAGCATGGAAATGCTCTGCCGTCGGAAGGTGAGGGAAATTTAAACTCCAGAGAGTAGCTAAGTACAGGGGTTTAGCTGCTCATACGTCTGATCCCCCTGATTTTGCTGGTTTTCCTTTCGATGCATTTCCGATAGAAGAACCAAATGACGATTCAACTGTTCCGGCTCCAGTTTGCACTACGGCATATGTTAATGGTATGGCCGTGCCTGCTGTGATTGACACCGGCTCCGCTGTAACGATTATGAGTGTGCACTGTGCACAGATGTTAGATCTGTGTATTCAGTCATATACCGGGCGGCCCGTTAAAGGTGTTAGTGGCAAATTGATATCGCCTGTCGGCACTATTTGTGTTGATGTGTTATTGGCAAACTGTTCGCACCAAATTAACGTACTTGTGCTAGACACGTACGATCGTGAATTATTGGTCGGTAATGATTTTCTGATGCGAACGGATCTAGTAATTGATTATGCCGGTCGTACTATACGGCGCTTTGATGAACGTGATGGCGAACAGTTCAGGCCATGGAAAGCGCGGAATCTTGTTGCAAGTCGCAAAGTGCACATTCCCGCTGGTCACGTAGCTTGGGTGAAATGTCAACTAAACCGTAATCTATTTCCTGGCCGTGTGAAACCAGAAAATATGGAGTTTATAGTTTCCCCAAACGCTAACACGTTCGCTCAAAAAGGGTTACGTACATCAAACGCGCTAGTCAAAATTGTCAACAATGTGTGTTATTTGGCGTGTGCAAATTTCTCTCGCATGACCCAAACAATCGGTAAGGGTCAGAATATTGCGTCTGCGACACCAATGTATGTTGACCGCGTTCCAGAGTGCTCGGTGGTTGAAACGTGTGAACTCCCAGAACTTCAGTGTGGTGCAAATTTAACTGCCGATCAAACTGAACAGTTGCACGCTGTGTTGCGCAAACACGTAAGCGTGTTTCCCACTGCTGAACGCCCTATTGGCGAAGTAAAAGGAGTTTCGCATGTTATAGACACAGGCAGTGCATTGCCAGTGTCCCAACCTCCTTACCGGCGATCGTGGGCCGAGCGTATTGTCATTCGTACAGAAGTTGATAAAATGCTCCGCCAAGGCATTGTGACCCCATCCTGTAGCCCGTGGTCGTCTCCCATTGTACTCGTACACAAGCGAGACGGCACAACGAGGTTTTGTGTTGATTATCGCCGGGTCAATGCTGTTACCAAGAAGGACGTGTACCCAATGCCCCGCTTGGACGACGCGCTTGATCAGTTAGGTGGGTGCGCTTATTTTACTTCCTTAGATATGGCGTGGGGATACTGGTAGATCCCCGTAGCGGAGTCCAGCAAGGACCGTACCGCTTTTGTGACGCCTGACGGCTTATATGAATTCAGCCGTATGCCCTTCGGCTTGTGTAACGCCGGGGCGACCTTTCAAAGGTCAATGGACAAAATACTGAATGAATTCAGATGGCAGTTTGTTATAGTGTACATAGATGATGTACTCATCTATTCGAAGACGTTTGAAGAGCACATGGAGCACCTTGATGCCGTACTGCGCAAGCTTCGCCACGCAGGTATTGTGCTTAAACCATCAAAATGTGTTTTCGCGTCCGATTGCACCAAATACCTTGGTCATGTCGTTGACCGTAATGGTATTAGTCCCGATCCCGATAAACTGTTGGCAATCGCAGATTATCCAGTACCAGAAAATGTCACGGACATAAAGTCGTTCTTAGGACTTTGTTCGTATTTTCGTCGGTTTGTACGGGATTTTGCCGGTCTATCGGAACCGCTGGTACGGTTAACGAGAAAAACCGAACCGTTTGTGTGGTCTTCCGAACAGATGGTTGCTTTCGAAAAACTCAAACACGCACTAATTAGTTCGCCGATTTTAGCTCATTATGATCCAAATGCTGAGATCGAGCTACACTGCGATGCTAGCGGCCTTGGAATAGGCGCATGTTTAGTATCTAAACTGGGTGACTGCGAACGGGTGTTGGCGTACGTTAGCAAAGTTTCAGTCCCGCAGAACGTAATTATGCGGTCACTGAACAAGAGTGTCTGGCAATTGTTTGGTCGGTTAAAAAGTTACGACCTTATTTGTATGGTAAGATGTTTCGCATTGTGACAGACCACTGTGCACTGTGTTGGCTTATGAGCCGGCGTGAATTAGCCGGTCGTCTGAGCAGGTGGGCGGTCTTGTTACAAGAATACAATTTTGAAATTGTATACCGTAGCGGCAAACGTCACCAGAATGCGGATGCGCTATCGCGACATCCCGTCGAACCAGCTGACAGTGCTGATGTCGAAATGGACATGTTAGTAGCCATGACCGACACTCCAGATTTCCACTATGAACAGGTGCAAGACCCACGACTGTGTGATGTGATTGACAAGTTGGCAATCGGTTTGGTGTCTCGCGACACTGTGTGTTATACCATGAAAAACAACTTGTTGTATCGCAAAGCGTTAGTTGACGGGAAGACGTACTGCTCCTCGTAGTACCAAAACATTTGCGACGTGACATATTGTTCGCTTGTCATGACGAGCGTACATCCGGTCATTTGGGATTTTGGCGCACGTATACTCGTGTGCGTCAGCGCTACTTTTGGCCGCGCATGCGTGATCATGTGCGTAAGTACATACGCGGCTGTCGACAATGTCAACTTCGTAAAGTCCCAACTGATAAACCCGGTGGTCTTATTGAACCAATTCCAGTGGGCACTGCATTCGAGATGGTGGGAGTGGATGTTTTTGGTCCTGTTCCCCGTACCGCTAAAGGCAACCGGTATGTCATAGTCTGTACTGACTATTTGACAAAATATGTGGAAACAAAGCTATTCCGGCGCAGACCGCTATTGCAGTTGCTAATTTCTTGGTGCATCAAGTAATACTGCGTCACGGTGCGCCGTCAAGAATTTTGAGTGACCAAGGTGGTCCATTTCTGTCAGATGTAGTTCAGGAAGTTCTAGTGCTATGTCAAACGCGGCATCTGAACACAACAGCGTACAATCCACAGTGTAATGGATTGACTGAGCGGTTCAATAAAACTTTAGCCGTTATGCTTAGCCTGTATGTCAGTGATAATCAAAAAGATTGGGACCTACATCTCCCATATGTCACTACAGCTTACAACACCAGTAAGCAAGCCTCGACAAATAAAACACCATTTTATTTGTTGTACGGGCGTGAGTGCCGTTCAGTCATGGACGCACAGCTTGGTGCACTTCCGAATAACAATTTGAATAACATGCACGAATACAGTCAGGCTCTCGTTGAGCGTCTTAAACTGGCTAGTGATGTTGCAAAAGCTAATATTGAGAATGTCCAAGCTGGTTATATGTTGACCGGCAATATCAAAAGAGAACCGCGTGAATTCCAAATCGGTGATTTGGTGTTATTGTATACGCCGGTAACTCCTGTTGGTTTGTCTCCAAAATTAATCGCACATTACTTTGGACCGTACAAAGTGGTTAGCCGTAAATCAAAGCTTAACTACGAGATCCAGTCTGTGCGTACTAAAAACGTGGTGAAAACACTCTTGTTGTCCACGTAAAGAGACTAAAACTGTTCACGGAGCCTCTGTCTGATTTGGATTTAATGGGTGACACTGATTCACAGTGGGACATTCCCGTCGAGGACGTGGATCCCGAGCTGCGCGTGGAAATTGAGCGGGACTGCGTCACCAAACCTCGTCGTCCTGCCAGGAAACCGGACGAGCCCGTCGACGAAACCGATCGCCCCGTTATCCGGACACTTCGTAACCGGACCCTACGGGAACCCTCGCCGTAATGCCTTGCCTTAACGCTTGCACCTCTTCTTTCATGTAATTTTTATATAGCGTTTTCCTTCATTACGGTCATCCAATCGTTCAAGTTATGTTCCGTTTCTCAAAGTGATTGGTTTTCGCCGTGCTTCAAACTTAAGAACGGGAGTGCTGTGTGACGCATAGTCATGTATACAGTGTTGCTCACCGGCGTAATCCGGCGTTTATGCAATTGTTGTGAACTATCTTCACGTAGCTATCTGTGTCTAAAGACGTCTGTTTTCTATGCTGATTTCTCAGCGCCATGATGAAGTTGTGATTGAGCGAATCATTATCTATCGTGTGCGGCTACAGTAAAGATCATTGAGGGGATTTGGCGGTATTCTCCGTTACGTATAGTGTAGGAGAAACGATCATATATTACACGTACTGTACAAGTAACAGATACGTTAAATATTCAGCTGTATACCTGTCCGGACAACCAAACTGGCGACCTACCCCGGACGAGAGCGTATAATGTCCAAATATTCGTCTTCATTCCTGCGTTCCCGAAAACGGATACAGTGATTGGTCTCCCGACTAATGTTTCTCATTGCCGCTAGAAGGGTGTCTCTGGTTGTATTATCTGCGGGGACACCGACGCATGGTAAAATTCCCCATGAGTACCTCAGGCACTTTAGAACCCACCAATTTTATCCTGCACGGCGTATGCAATCGTTCCGTTTGGCCATCGGTAGCGTTCGCTTGTTATAATATTGCGCGCCATCTGCGAGGCACAAACCCGAAAATTATTGGCATGACAAATAGATACAATATCCAGTACGCAATAATTATGTACAGTAGTTAAAAAACGAACCCGGTGACTGCGGATAGCCATCCCGCCTGTTACGGTTTCTGCATCCGTTGATCCTGTAAATTAATAGAATTTTCTAGAGGGCCCAAAACGTATTTAATAACGTTGGCATGGTTCAAAGAAGTAAGCTGTTTTCACCTTGTGCCAATATTGGTTACAGCAAACGACAAAACTACCCATCACGACCCAGAATGTGAAACTCATGGCAAACACGCCAAACAGAAAATTAGGTATCAGGGACGAGTACTGTAGTGGCTCGCACATCTTGTACCACAGAGTTAGTGTACGGGAAAAATGTGCATCCAATATACACACTCTAACCGGGCAAAACGCACGATTCGCAGTTGGCGTGCATTGATAAATTTCTGATGTTTCTCAACATCTGGTCTGGAGAACCTTCTTGATTATTAAAAAAATTAGAGCTCGAATAATTATTAACTAAATTTATGCTCAAAAGCAGCCATTAACTTAAATCTTTGCTGTCAGCTCGAATTCAAACACTGATTTGTTGTGGTTTTTGGGGGGCCCCTGCAGAGTGAGGGGTACGTTCAGCGTTAACATTCTGCAGCTACAGAACAGTTCGTGTTCTCAGATACAGAGCTTCTTTTCTAGGGTGAATTACAATTTTAAAGAAAATGTTTGATTGACTGGACAGATTCAGAAGGAGAGTTCATCTTGAAGTCAAATCAAGCATAATTTCGTAGGCGTGCATTTTGCCCGGTTAGAGTGTGTATATTGGATGCACATTTTTCCCGTACACCAACTCTGTGGTACAAGATATGCGAGCCACTACAGTATAAAAAGCATTCATGCAGTACGTACCGGCGCAAATAAATCAATGTGGGGTTGCTTTAAATACGGCGTGAATTCAGCAGTGTTGATAAAGTTCTGTTTGACGCTAGTCTTAGAAAACACGTTAAATCATTTCCGCAACGAATCCGATTGTCTGGAAAAAAGCGATCAGATTGGTTATTTTCCACGGAATTGTATTGAAAATGTGAGTATTCCTCAGTTGACTCTGTCATACAAAGTCTGATCACGACTTAATGATTAATTGCTAATCACTTAATCGTAAGATCTCCATGCACCGGCTCTGTTTACAGTCGGCGGCTTCATTTGTACATGCAATGTGCAATACTCGTACATCGGAAGCATGTATTCGAGCGCTAAATGGGAAATTTATTTCATGCCATGTACATCGGAAGTTGATTCGAGCGACAGACAGTGGGAATTTATTTCGGACAATACAACTTGCTTAAAGCAAAGAGTCTTCTGTCCAAACCTTTGCTGACGTTTAGTCCCAAAAATATTTGCAACATTGCAACATTTAAGGAAAGTGTTGCAATGTTGCAAATATTTTTGATTCCGGTGCGCGATAGTAAGGCGCTTGTATGGGACGCCACATGCTGGGACACGGTGGCTGTATCTCATGTGCATGCTAGCTCGAAGACAGCGGGAAGTGTAGCACAACTGGCAGAAGCAAGCAAGCGCCGGACATACGATTTTATCAAATATATGGGTTATCTGTTTTACCCGCTGGCAGTCGAGACGTTCGGGACTTTCGGAACGCCTTTCGCCGAGCTGATCCGTTTTGTCGGCAGAAAGATTCGTGAAGTTACCGGGGAACCTCGGTCTACCGCCTTTTTAAGACAACGTTGCAGTCTAGCGGTAGTCCGTGGAAATGCAGCGGTTGTTTTGGGTTCACTTAACGCACGTCCCAAGATCATGCGTGACACTAACGATTTTGGATGTTTTTTTAATGTTTAAAAATTTGATGCTTTTAATTAGTGTAAACCTGCGCAGGCGATTTGTTATGTATGCTGGCTGAAGCCGTATAAAATCGGTTAGTCAAGAAAGTGTTTATATGGGGCCGACTACAAAAGCGACTATCTGTTACAGAAATCTAGCAAATGTGCTTTGTCGGACAATGCAGCAGACCGGTCTCGTCGCTTTGCAATTCAGAGTCAGCCCTAGGATGCACGCAGCGTTTTAATTTTCTATCCGTTGAAATGAGCTTTAAAATATTTGTCGGCAAATGGTTGCCGGGTGTACGCCATGCCGCAATTCGTTCTACCGTCTACCGAGGAACATATTGAACATATTCCATATTGCAACACACAGATATACACAGGCCGTGCATGACAAAAAAAGCTAAAAGCGACAGGTCGGTCCGCGGTCGCGCCTCGACTTATGACGGACTGATCGTAACGACGCGCCTCGTTACGATCAGTCCGTCATAAATACCAGCCGGAGGCGAACGCTTTCCACAACTCTCCAGTTGCTTCAAAATTGATTTGTGCTTCCAGTTTTTAGACCTCAAAATTCTGCTCGCAGAGTAAGATGTAGAACATGTTAGTACGCTGGTATTTGTACAGTTCAGCCGTTTTTGGATTACTTTTTTCTCACAAACATACGTACGGAAAATTTTCGCCTAAAATTTTTGACTTTTAACAGTTTTTATCTCTGATGGTGTTAATATTCAAAATTATAAATACTATAATATAACGTTATAGCGATATTCCCAATTGTAATGCAGAGTCGTTGCACTTTTGTAAACAGTACTGTATTGTATCTGTTATACATACAACTGCAGAAACGAGTACAAAATATTCAATCACGTTGTCACTGTCAGTCTGGAACGGGGCACTGGAGCTAGACAACCCGTAAGATTCGTACCACGTTTAAGTGATATGCATCCTAGTTGACTTATTTTTTGTCAGAAGCAAGCAAGTATGCTGTGATTTTCAACGTTTATGACGAACTGACGACAAAGTCAGCAAGATTATGTACGAAACGATTGTGTACGAATCGAACAGGGAACTAACATATTATCTTGTTAACACAAAGCGCGCTCTATGACAAACCCGATTCGCTGGAGCGTCTAATAAACAAAAGGTGTATCTAAATTGCTAACATCCGTAAACTCGTAAGATTTTCTTGATGTCCAAATCACTGAGACGCAGATTCTTGGTCAGTTTTTGGTTGGGATTCACGGGTGTCATCACTGGCTGCCTCAAACCGTACGCATATTCTTCACCATGCATGAGAGACGAAAAATCGTAAGGCAATCCCGAAACGGTAACGTCGTCATCTCCACGCTTGCGATAATTGTGCTCAAATCCTTCTGCAAAATACGTTGTAGTAAATTCACATAGAAACCTCAGAGCTTTAAAAATTCTACTACAAGAATATAATCCCAAAAACGTTGTACCGGGTTTTCTAGCGAGGCTGCATAGTTATGAATTATGGTTTACTATACCGAATCAGGTCAGAACTGAGTCGGATAACAATATTCACGCTACCTGGAATATTCTCCCAGTTGATGTTTACGTAGTTATCCCGATCGGGTCGTGTGTGCTCGTGAAGGAAGCCGAGAACATGCAGAAAGCCATGGAGAATGTCGGCAAACGAACAATGCGCACTGACGAACATTTGGCTCCGACGTCGTTGTCTGCCCACTTCTGCCGCGCAGATACTGCAAACGAAAAAAAAGGGTTTGGGTCTGCTTGTACTGGGAAGGGCTTGGAGGTCATCACCAGAACGTTCGATGGCTTACATTGGGCGAGAGCGTGTAATCCATAAATATTCAGTTTCATTGGTGCGTTCCCGAAAGCGGATGCAGTTATTTGTCTCCAGGCTGATGTTTCTCATAGCTGTTAGAACGTTTTTTTTGGTGGTGTTATCTGTTGCAACACCGGCACAGTTACTTTCACCCCGATATTCTCAAGCACTTCACAACCCACCGATTTTGTCTTGCAATACGTAGACAACCATTCCGTTTGGCCATCGACTGTATTCGTTGGATAAAATATTGCGCGCAATCTATAAACATTAAATTCGAAATTAAGTAATTGTGGAAATTAAAGGATTACAGATGCAACGTGGTCAGCGATAATACGCTACGGACGTACCCGGTCACTGCGGATGTTCTGCCATCCTGTTACAGTCTTCCCGTCTGCCGAGGCTGTAAATTAAAGACCTTTTCAACGACTTCCTAAAGTATTTTTTCTTTGTTTTCACGTGATTCGTGGGAATACATTATTTTTACCTTGTGCCACCTGTTGATTATTACAAACAATAAAAATACCCAAGACGATCCAGATTGCGGAACTCATGCTGAAAGGGAAATCAAAGGTTCCTGGTTCCAATAACAGGCACTACCCACTTAATTAAACTGCTGATTAAGATCCTTTAAAAAAGAACTGTAGTCTCAACGCAGTATTCACTATGTGGCCGATTTATATATGGTACTCGGTGGATATCGGTTTGCTGGTGAATATTATTTTACGCCAGTCGCAAAGACAGTTTCATCATTTCCGCTGGAAAGTCGATTGCTTGAGTGATAGACGATCAGATTATTCGTTGTGATCCTCAGCATAACACTGTAGATGAAAATATGATTCCCTGACAAACGTATTGGTCAATCGTCACTGATCCGCATGTCGCGATTAACTGCTTATCAAGTCTTTTACCCGGCACTGTTTTCGGTTGGCTACACGATTTATGCAAAAGTAGTACGGTATAGCTGTCAAAAGACTGAATTCGACAGACAAACACCAAAAATATCGGTATGTGCTGAGTTTGGAGATCACTTTAGGTGATCCGAAACCAGATGAAGGAAACAATAATGGGAATATGTAGTAGTAATTTTATTTCGTTGTAACTTATAAGTGGTTGCCTTATCGTCCATCGCGCCGTTTAACGCAGCTTAGGAAATGCGTAACACCGCTACACTTCTGCTATATGGATATTGTACATCACCGATCTCACCACTTAGCATCGCAGACCATTCAAGAGGTTTATAACAGAGGTTGACCACATTATATTTGGTGAACCAGTTTTTACTGGTCACACTTTTAGCATATTCCTTGCGAATAACTTTTTACCTTGCGTTTGTTGTTAGAAAGGGCAGAAATACCCAGCAGGATTTACGCTGACAAGCTCATGAAGTACAGATAAGCATTGTTAATAATATTAGTTTTAGAAGCACCTACTCTTGGTAAATTGTTACTGATATGCCATGCAAGAACAACACTGGAGCAGTATAAGCGGAATAATTAGCATGCGGCTGCGTCGTTACGAAGTGATCTACTCGATTTGTCGAGGCGGGGAAATTCGCTGCAAAAACAGATCTGGGGGAATAAATTATCAGACTAATTGGGATAGGATGCGTTCTAAATGAAAATGTGAGTATTCGTCACTTGACATACATATATAAAATTTAAAAGAACTTATCACGTTGTAGTATGCTAATCAATACAATGTGAATAATAACAGAACAACTATATTTTCCACCCATCATTACCTACGGTCTGTTGTTTTTTTAATACTAGCGGGGACGCATTGGAAGATTATTTGGACAAAGAAAACAACACATAAAGAAGAAGGCTGATAGCTGCTCGGTTGGTTTGTAATGGCGATCATTCTGTTTATTTCTACATAAGTAAAGCTAAAAAATCATTTAGAATTTTCATTTGTAGCATTTATTCGAATTTTCATTGTAGTAGTTATTTCGTTGTAGTTTTTTTATTGTAGAAATTATTATTGCAGTATCGTTCATCGTGACGCAGGGCGCAGCATGGGATCGGAATGAGTAATATCACTGCACTTCGCTGATCGCATCAGTCAGCAATGCAGCTTGATAAGCTCTATTCATAGCTTATACGGGAAATGTACGAGAACGCCGCATGACGTGGTTTGGCATGGCAAGCATCGTGTAACAAAAATAGCCGTCCTGCCTGTTATCGCCGGCAGCGGCGTGCGCTCTGTGATTACCGTACCAGTAAAACAGCAAATATGTTGATAAAAATAAGAGAACGCATTCGTGTTTGCATGCTTCGACGGCGTTCAGTGTTAGCCGTCTGCAAGCGATAGACTGACGAGCAGAAAACGATATCAACGTTCTCTAGTTGTGCACGTACGGCAACGCTGGCCTATTAATGCGGATGTTTACGGTCGCAGATTCTGTCTTCCCTAATAGCTTTGTTTGTAAAATGCTGCAATCCACAGAAAGCTTTGTTTTGCAATGAACCTGCGCTAGAACCGGTCACCAAATTATTATTCCAGCGAACGGTCTTCTGCTTTCATGGCAAAATGCATCGTCGTAGCCAGTTTCTCAATCCCAATAATTTTAAAATTTAGGCTGACTTCATTAACTGATTAATGAAAATCACTTCGACCTTGTTATTATGTTGCACCTCATCGAGATGGATTGTCTCCGCGCGGCTTCCCAGCCTTCTCTTGATGACAGCCAATGCAGTCAGCCGTTCGAACAACAATCCAGAAGCGTACCAGATTTGCCGGGGCTCCTCCGGCCTCAGCTACTGCATCTGCGTTCCCACACGCTTCCCGACATGACAACCGCCCTGCAGCGGCACTTTCCCTACACATTGGGCGCACCGTTCGCCAGCGGAGAGAATTTAACGATTCCCCTTATTAATTTCGAGGAGGAGTCCTTGCTGCAGGAGCAGCCATTAGCCACTGCTACCGAGCCCAAAGAGTGTCCGGTTTGCAAGCTTCGTCCGCCAAAGACACCTAGTCCTTTGATATTTTTCACAGTTTTTGTGCTATGCGTTCACCTCGCCGACACATTTATTCACTGGTAAACCGACTTGGCAGTGATGATAAAAACTACCAGATCCTCGAAAATTGCCTGTTGCGCTTTGCAGGGTGCTGGTTGTAACGTTCTGTGCAGTGAAGCAATTTACCTGGTTTGGACTAACGGCGACCATTTTACTATTCTCTCATTTTCTGGTAATCTGCTTCAATTATTTGTGGACAAGGGCGGCTTTCACGGCAGTACTGCAGGATGATAGTTCCATAGATGGGAAACCGGTGATACGGTCAAGAAAGCCGGCTCCGCTTCGGCGATGTGCTCAGCTCTCGTTGCGGATTATTGCTCAATCACCTTTAGCGGTCATTATGAAAAGGCACGAGCAGCGTGTATAATACTTAGTGATTGATTTCAAAATAATACTTTTCTGGTAAAAAACAGTTACAAAAATCCGTGTTAAGATTTACCTTGAATTCCAGACATTGGGAGTATATGCGCTTAACCACCCATCGGCACGGTTCTCCCTCCTCACATGACAAATGCTTCCAGTGGCATTACTTGAATGCCTACCTCTCCCAGTTCCACACTCTTTCATCACACACGGAATCCCTGCCACAAATATTATTGCATTTATACATCCTGGCGGAAACCTATCGCAATACCCAACCGTTCCAGTACCAGACTGTCCAGTTCTGTCAGGTCCTGTCCATCGGAACGTCATTACTCCGCACTTTATGCAGTATTCTCAGCGTCTGCGTTTATCAGAAAGAGCGCGTTAATGGACTGCGCTACTTCACCGGACATCTCTTGGTGGCGGGAGTTCGCCTCGTGACCTTAGCTCTGTTCCTCATCCAGTTCAGTCCGCACAGTCTAATCTTTGTTGGAGTGCATCTGCTCCTTATAATCGCTATTTGCTCACTGCGACCTCGGATTTCCTGGCTCCAGAAACGGAAGCCGAGAGCCAACTTGTTGCCAGTTTTCAATCCTCTGCAGCTAACGTTATCTCGCCAGACAAAGTTCCTGGAAAGGCTGCTGCATTTTTTTTCCATGCCTGTTATTGGCACTTTTGACTACCTACAAGAAAACGAGGATCGGGTCTTTTCAAAGTTGTATTTTTTGTTAGTGTACGTTGAGAATGTTGCCTGGATAACGCTGTGGATGGCGCTGGTTGATGTGGATTATACGAAGCATATTTTCGGCTATCGTTTGTTGGTGGCATTTATCGTCTGTGTTGGTTTTGTATTAGGAATTTTGATACTCGATATTTATAGATCAGAGAATGATAGTGACACAATCTGAATTCAGCAACACATCATGGACTTATGTAACAAGAGTCAAAGAGCTGTTTGAAGAAAATGCTGTAAACTCTGATGTACAGTAGTCATCGAATCCACAATTTCCGCAGACAACAGAGTCGACGGTGTTGTTAACTTGCTGCACATGCCTTATTACGTACCACCCATAGTTACAACTTACACCCATAGTTACAACTTTCACCAGTCACCAGATGATACCGTTGTCTGCACTTCCTGGGTGGGAGTGACCACTGACCAGTTCATTGTACAAAATCTTTTCACACAGATATGAACGGAAACTTTCTCTTTCACGCGCTCCAGAACACGTGTATGCATTGTTTTGTGACTATTTGGTGCGTAATATCCGGTTCAGGAGTTCTGGGTGGGATAAGATCCAAAATTGTCAATGCAAGCAGGTGTATCCATAGCCCCGTTCCGATCTTTTCCACTCTTCCTGAAATCTGCAGACAAATATAAAGGTTATTTTGGCCTGGAGTCATAATTTTGGTATTTTATTTTCACAATTTTTTGCTCGGATTTAATTTGGCTGTTGTCACATGATTTTCATTGCCATTTGGCTCACATTACACCGCCGGTACTACTAGTACCGCTTTCTGCTAAAAAACTATAATATTATTGTACTATGTAATGTAATTGGCTGCATTTGTTAAAGGACTCATCAACAATTTTTTGAACAACTTTCCAGTTTTGTGTGAAGTTCGGCTTATGCATTAGCCATAATATGAGAGATATCACGATAGAACTAGAAAATCTTGTCATCCATAAATGTAATGTATGCCTATGGGGATGCAGAGAAAATTTTTAGTCAGCTGCAAAATTTGCTGATTTACAGTACAAGTTTAAGTTTAATGGTTTAACGTCCGCACACATTCAGGGAAAAATCCCAATTCGGGGCAGCAGACACTGTCAGACACTTCGGGGCAGCAAGTTGCCATTAATTTATGATCGCAATGCTACCTCAAATTAAAGCTCGAATTAAGGCTGGGGCAAAACATCCCGACCGTCATTACATTAATTCATGTTTGCTTAGTCAGTTTGTAACCATTCATAAATCACGCACTGCCGGCTGGAGGAGAAAGGGATGTCTGAAAGCGTTTCTTGGGTTCTATCTGCATCTGCAAAACACTATTTAGGGTAAAAGGAGGTATTAAATTAATTTGATGCACTCGAGCAAACCCTGCCATGACTTAATTAACCTTGACATTGTGTTGTAACAAGTTGGCAGCCAGCAAGCACCAGCCTGCAACGTTCGCGGTCGTACTAACTTTTAAAAGCACACGGCCAGCCACCCAACGGCAGGAAAGTTTGTTAATCAACGCACTGCCGACCCTTGGTGGCTGGTCTGTCACCATGTTGTAAGGGAGTCTAGGGCTGAAAATTAGCGCTTTGTTTCGTTACGAAGTTTATGGGAGCCTGCTTACAAAGCAGACTAGAAAACAATAAATTAACAGGCGCCGGGCGGCAACCATTACAGTAACGTGCAAAAGTCAGGAAATAATTTAGCCCAAGGGTTGAAAATCGGAGACGAACGTGATAGTGATACTGGAAACAGTTGCCGGTGGTATATGTACTTGTACGTAGCCAGCAAAATTAGACTAAGTACACGTTTTGTGAGTTAATGTGGATGCTCGTATGTGGCTGTCTGATGACGGCGGCCGAATAGTATTAGACCCCTGAGCATGATGGGACAAAGCCGATTATTTGGATTTTACCGTGATTTGCAGTTCTTTAAACCACGAGGTACGCGCATAGTTGCTAATTGCTGCATTGAAAGTTATTTTGCTGTAACTGTAGCAATAAAACATGTAGGCGTTTGATGTTATTTTATGCGAGCGAGTTTACTGCATCTTCCCTACATTGCTGTATTTATTTGAATTTCTTAGGTTCACCTTGAATTGAAAGAAGTAGTAGACAAGTTTCCTGCCAGTTTCGCCATGGACAACAGGAAAGCGCTTTTATCCGTGTTCGCGGCCATAATAGGCATGAATGAATCTTCCTGGAACGAGATTGCAAACGCCATCGACAGTCGAAATGATACTCCGCAGTTTCTTTACACTGACAAACAAATCCGCGATGCTTACTTAGCATGCCGAGCTGTGTACTTCTGCCAGTTGTTCCTATGCACTCTTGGAAATGGACTGAACCTGTGGACGCTGATACGTAGTGCACCCACATGGAAGACGTCAGCGTGTCACTACATGATCGCCACTGCCATCGCTGATTTGGTTGCACTGTAAGTTCGCAATTAAAATTGATGTACCTCGAGGAAACTTACTGCTGCACCGTCTTGTATAAGAGTTAAACCGCGTACAGTAAGTAATACTACGTCTATACAGAGTACTTCGATTTTGCTCAGGTTTCGAGCACTTTGCATAAACGTGAATTACGTGACCATAAATCGGTCACCTACGTATCTTAATTCTAAACAAAACCAAGATTCAGAAATGAGTGTTGCCACGTCGTAACTGCATTTACTGCCGTTTATGGTTTAATCACCATAACATCATTATAACTATTTAAAAGTAAAAACCAGCGCATATTAAATCCGACTCGTCAATTATACAGATCAATAGGTTTTCATAACAAACAAATTGAAACTGGAAATCTCGAGGCCGGATGTACTTTAAAAAGATACGCGATCGGCTGTGATTCAAGCAACACGCCACATAGGTGGAGACCGGCGAGCAATTTGGGAAAGCCAAAAGCGCAAATGATCGAAACAGCACGAGAAAATCGAAAGTGACCGAAACAGCCAAGTGAGCTGCAAAACCGGCTTACAATGATACGATTATATATACCCGGCAGGGTGTCAGGTGTATATACCCAATGTATTACGGTTGAAACGGATTTGGTAGAAATTAGAGATTTTTTGCCATACGTACACAAGACGAACACAGCAAATTGTACCCCTAGGAGAAATCTCCTACAGTAGGGGTACAATTTGCTCTTGATTACCGGATCCCGGATACCTTGCACGAATATGCAGTTCTAAAAAATTTATTTGAAAAGCTTCTTTGATATTCTCACTATGTTAATCAATTCCGCTGTAGAAGTTTTTTCGTTACCAACAACTCAACTTTCCCCATGTTGGAATTTTAAAAACAAATTTTCTGCATTTACATAAATAAATATTACAACTCCTGGGAATATTTATTAGCAAAACAGGACAATGGAAACAGTAAGAAATTCGAGCATGATTCCGGTAACCATCACAGGACTACCGGCTTTACTAGTATCTCTTCAGAAAAATTAACAGGTGACCATCACCACTCTAACGGAAACATTTCAATAAAAAAAGAAATCATTTTCTTTCAGTGTTATGGCGGTTATAGAAGCAAAAAAACCCAAAATAAGCACGGAAGCCCAGCGGATCCTGTTAAGTTAAGTGAAATCCATAATGCGGATTGCAATGCAAAAACGATCGCAAATGCTTAGTGCACTGACTGCATTTCAGTCAGTCATGGTTGTTCATGTAGGCGCCCGCTACAGAGGCTTTCAATTCAGTCAGTAGATTGAAATATTGATCTCTACCGTCTACAGCGGAATCGATTACAATAATATGAGAATGCCGAGGTATGCCAAATCACGTAAAAATGCTGAGATCTCCGAATGTGCAGGCTGCAACTGGCACACCTACTGTGTAAAGCGTATTTTAAACTGCTTTCCTCCTCTTTTTATAGATGGTCTGGTTTTTACTGCTTCTTGACGGATATTCAGTTTGGCGGCTTTGCGGACGAATATACTGATACATATCGACAGGATGTCCCTTCCGTTCGATATGTATATAAACTATTCCTCCCATGGTTTTCTGATGCGTCGATGAGTTTATCCGATTGGTATGGTTACTGGAGATTACAAAATGTTCGATTCTGCATGAACGAATGCAGACACACATTGGCTGCTGGGGCGGGTGTTCATACGGGCGACCACAACTCCATAAGGTTACCCGTACATGCAGCCAGTAGGCTCAGTGCCCGTTTTTCCTGTGCCGCCAGCTCATAAACAAGTTTACAAGATGTTTTAATAACTTTTCAGGATTCTGGCTGTTTTCTCCTGGGAACGGCTGCTTGTGATTCTGAGTCCTTTTCGGTTTCGGTTTCTCCAGCGGGTGTTCACGGCGCGTCTTATCATTGTTCCTCTCGTCATCCTGTCGCTCGCATGCTACGTATACGATTTTGCAGGCAACTATTGTATGTATTCGTATACGCTGTATGAAATGGAACGAAACCCCCCTTGGACTTGCTCCCAAGTGATAACTTCACGATCGTGGTGGCCATTGGACAGGCGCGCCCATGTATGTGCTGTAGAGGGGGCAACGGACAACGGACCCTTATTTCAATATTAGGCAATGTGTTCTAAACTCTTTACCATAATTCAGAATTACCCATTGTGATGTACGTAGCGGCGGTGTATACTTTATTAATACAACTGCTCGCTACCGAGCCAACCAGACAACTAATCGCTAAACAAGGCGACAACAAGGGACAATAGATACGCCGTTGCTACGGCACATTAGCCATAGCCACAGGATAACAATTCACGAGATGCTTTGCACTCGTACGTCACTGTACCAGTACGTACAGTCATACACTACCCCCACTTTGCCATCACATTCCAAACAATATGGGTAACGAACAGCAGAGCGATTGCAGCAAGTGATCTCAGGTCATCAAAGCAGTTCGGGTTGCAGTTACCAGCATTGAGATTTTTTACTGAATGTCGCTGATAAACTTTCTTGAAACACGCTGGGATTCATACGAATCATACTAATTCATTCGATTTGCTTTAATTTGCAGGCAGCGGTTCATGTTCTGATATTTCTGCTGATCCTGATTCCGAGTGTATTCCTGATTGCTTTTCTTGCTCGCCAAAGACATTCGGAGTTCGGGAAGATGCGTCGCTTGCAGAAACAGGCTGGCAACAATGCAGCCGTGTCACAGGTGTCACCGTCTCCCGACAAATCCCAGCACGGAATTAACATCATCCTACTGAGCAGTGCACTGCTCTATCTCATCACGAGGACCCCCAAAATCTTTGACCAGTGTGCATTATTACTACCGCCAAGCGTTAAATTGTCTTACAAGGATGATCACGGCGCGTATGCTCTATCGCAGCCAATCATCGTGGTAACAACCTACTTGGGCTATTCGTTAAATTTTTACATTTACTTGTTAACTGAATATCAATACCGACGCCGCTTCATCGAACTAGTAGTCCGTCCAGTGTGCCGTCCATGCTGTCCCACCTTGTTTACTGGGGAAAGGACTGAACGACGAGCCATTGCTGGAGAAATTAGCCCAAATCCGACGACACATACTACTCAGCTGTAGGGTTGCTCTTTCCTGCTGCAAGATCAAAACGAGTTTGATATAGCGCATGTTGTTAAAGTCAACAGCAGCTTCTTTATGAGCAAATAATGGTTCTTACCCTACGGGTAGTACTTTTTACGTTGCTGATATTTGCATTGACTGTTAAATTTTTGGAATTGTAATCTCTTAGCTCTCTTGGTATCCCACTATCTACCTCCATTAGTACTCTAGGCAATAACGATCAAAATAACAAATGGTGCACAGGCACGGTACGACACAGACTCACAATTAAAATGTAGTACTAGTACGTTATTCGTTTACTTGACCGATCGCTTACTTTTCCTCGGCTGTTTCCCTGTCGGCTCTGCGACAGGTTTTGAACTGAGTTCCCGTTGGGCACTCACTGGAGAAAAATTTAGAAAAACCGCAGTACAATGTACATACACAGACTTCAACTATAATGATCCTTCAAACAGCAATGTCGCTCTTATATATAGAGTCACGGCACTGGCCACAACAGGAACTTGCAAGCAGCTGCAGAGTACACAGAGAAATCCGGATCTTTCGCGTACAAAATAAAACACAAATTTTCTTGCTCTAAAATCTTACACATTTGAGATGTACATATTAAAATAATTTCCAGTTCACCGTAGGGCGGTGGTTACGAAATATTAAATTTGATATATAACGGTATAAGTAAATTTTGTTAGGTACATATATCAACCTGTTTCACGTCACCGTGCTTTTTCGTTCACGGCCACCGGGGTTATCTTTCGAATGGTGGTGTACGTGTTACCTATCAATGTTGCGCGAGCATAAATTAGTAAAGGCAGCAAAAACTAAAGCGATGTCATACTGGAGTAGGATGTAATAAGGGTCTAATGAGTACCAATATGATGATTACCATTATCAGAACCGAGCAATCACTGGATCCAGTGGCCGATCGCAGCCGTACCCCGCAGCCGGGATTTATTGGACCATACCATACGTAAACACTAAAATAAGCCACCGAAACTAATGTCAGCTTTCGAAACTGCATGTAAATCTGCAAAGTTTGCTGTCCTCATGAACGTTGGTGGGAACACGCAGTCAATCGATGATTACCGGTTAGGCAATATTAATGTTCTGCTTAGCACTGTATTTATTTACAAAATATGCTCTGTGCCGCTGTGCGTACCGTGTTCGAAACACTCGTAGCCTCGTACAATTACGGAATGGTACCCAGTACGATTAACATACATTGCATTTTTTGCGCGTCGCGAAGGCAGAACCGGCTAGCTTTCTGAAAACCAGTTCATAACAGCGCAGTTATTGTTTCCTCTTGCTTAAATCTGCCAGAAGTGGCATGTAACCAGTTGTACAATTCATGCACTATGGACGCAAAAATACTGTACTTAATAGTAAAAGGCGTGATATTGTGTGTTAAAAGGGTCAAAAATCGTTAAAGCGCCTGAAGGTACATTTTGCTGTAAAATTCTGCCATGATAGTTCAGCATGGTAAAAACTGAATTTCAAGTAAGTATAGTAATATACCTCGATCTTCAATATCTTAACCGGCGATCTGCTATATATCCACGGTCTACGTTTTTTAAGGTAGCAATGCACCGTTGGTTCTTATTACGGACAATACCGTGGCGGTGTTTTCCTCTTCCACACCGTTTTTCAATATATATGAATACCTCGAGCTGGAATCCGAATGGACACACTTTGCACGATATCAGTATGAACATCTTCAACAAAAGTCAAGAAAACGATCAACCAACCGGTAACACCTCAGCACAGCTGCTGCCAGCGCGATATACTGGCGATCAGGTGCGTCACGCTTATCTGGCGTGTCGCCCTGTGTTTTTTTGCCTCTTGGTCCTGTGCACCGTGGGCAATGTGCTGAATTTGGCGGTCTTATTACGTAGTGCGTCGACGTGGAGAACATCCGCTTCTCATTACATGATCGCCACCGCGGTCTCTGATTTGGTAGCTTTATAAGTTTGCTAGCGAATTTTATTCTGTGCAAGCGTACTTCATTGCGAACTGCGTATGGATATACGGTAATGTATTGTAAAGACAGACTGCTCGCAAAATTTTGGATACAAAGTATATATAGATACGGCACTTTTAAAAGGTATGCATGTATAATGAACCTAAAAATTTTGAAGCGCAGTGCAGTTGCTTCCAGTAATACTTATATCTAGATATAATTATATATACAGATCTGTATAGTAGGTACTTTTCTTGCTAAGGCACACTGGAATGCGCTGGAATTCATTGAGCTGAACAAAAAGTCAAGTTTGACCTTTATGTACTCTGTATATGTACCCTGCCTTTTAGATGGCTTAGCTTACCCGACTTCTTATCCGATCAAGCAGTGGTTGCTATATGCCTCAGTCCAGAGTACATTTCAAGCGGAGCAAATCTCGTCCTTCCATGGTTCTCGAACGCTTCCATGATTTTAGCTGATTGGTGAGGTTTTTAGCACTAAAAGCAAAACTCGGTTGGCACTGTTCCATTTTCAGGATCATGGTGGTATTCTCGTGGGAGCGTTTACTTGTGATTCTCAGTCCGTTTCGGTACGGCTTCCTGCAGCGCGTCGTAACAGCGCGCATTATTATTGTCGCCCTTGTCATTTTCTCGCTTGCCAGCTACATGTACGAATTTGCAGCGAACTACGATTTTATCGAACGCCCTGAGTGGCTCTCGGAGTGGGCCGAACAGAACCAAGTGGCATTAGTAGGTACTACATTGATATAACTAAATGTTGGCAAAAACAAGAATCATCAATGTCATTTAGCTAATAACAGCGATTTAAGGTGTTTAATTTAACCAGAAACAGTTGATTGCATTTGAACATCTGTTAAGTGCATAATCTGCAGATTGCAGCGCGCATTCTGACGTTTCTCTTGATCCTTATCCCCAGCATAATTTTAATCATCATTCTTGCACGGCATCAAAAATCGGAGTTCAGCAAGATGCGCCGCTCGCAGAAAGCCAGCATCGCGGCTTCGGCATCGACACATGGCGCCCCCATGCCGACCGATAGATCCTTATCCCAACATGCCACCAACATCATCCTGCTGAGCAGTGCACTGCTGCATCTCATCACGCGAACTCCAAAGTTTTTCGATTTGTGTGCATGGGCGATACCGGGAGACAGCCGTATCTTATGTCACGGATCTTAGCGTGTTCTTTCTCGCGCAACCAGTTATCAGTGTAATATCATACATGGGTTATTCCCTTAATTTCTATATTTACTTATTAACTGAACGTCAGTATCGCCGCCGTTTCATCCAGCTAGTTCTTCGTCCAGTATTCCGCTCATGCTTCCCCTCACAGTTGACGGCTGGGAGCAGTGAACGGCGAACTGAAAACCTGGAGCTAAGCGTGAGACGGTCAGCGGATAACAATCATAACACCCAGCTGTAAGTCTGCGATTCGTCCACAAAAACTTACCAATACTTCGATTAATGTTAATAAAGTGGGTCTGAACCGTCTGCACGGCAGATCGTGCGCGGAAAGGTCACTAAAGTTGATACGAGAGCCCGCTAGAAAAACAGACAAATCCTTGCGATATTCAGAATCTACTGTCAAACCGCAAATGAAAGTAACATGCTATTTGGAAAAAGTGCTCCGGTGCAGACTGTTCAGAACTGCGATAAGGCGCGAAAAAGGCGGAAAAGGCTGGCACAACGCGTCACTGGTTTCGAACAAAAATTAGAAGTGTTATTTTTCTTGTTCTGACCGTGGGGTTTTTTAAAGTTTAAGTGTAAATGGCATCTGCTTGTACAAATTGAAAATAAAGTTACACATAAACGAAATTGCCGCTCATTGTGGTTGAGTTATCCGTTCTCTCGATATCTTGAGACGACTGAATGATGGGTCTGATACTACCGCCGTCTTACAGTCACTTGGACAAACACAAAAAGAGCGCTGCCGATTACGATACCCGTCTTACATGTTACGGTACCAGCAACTTTTAATGCTTATCGAACGATAACCATGAAATTTATCTCGCTAAAAATGTAACGGAACACAGTCGATTCTTCTCTGCAAAAAAATATCCTTCTCGTATATATATGTACGAATACACCCAAGGAAATATTTAGCTTGTTAGTGCCATTTACCGAGTCACTTCCAAGTTGTTAACCACTACAAACAAGTGGCCAACGCAACCGGCCACGCCCCCTCAGCCGTCGCACAAAGCTGAAACAATTGTTTAGGTGACAGAAGCATTACAAGGATAATTCAATCGTGACGTTAAACAGCTCGGTGTCAACCAGGGACTACACTGTCGGTTGTTACCGAGACAGGTCTCGTGCCGAATTGACGCGCGAAGACGGAATGTCGTGATAATAATACTATTACTCATCCGGTTATGACTATACATTTTCTTTTTACTGCTGTTTATGGGCGCCTGCTTGTTCGTGTTTAAGTCCGCAGTCTTAACACAGTATTTCAGAAAAGGCCGGCAGGTGTCTCTTTCTTGTTTACTTCGATATAACGGATATAGTGTGATTTATGTTGTTTGTTATTCGACTGATCGTTACACTCTATGGGGAACGTTGCTGATTTTCAGTTCCCCTTAAAGTCGGGCATTTAGCAAAAGGGCAGGCATGCCCTTTTGCTAAAATAATAAGGTGGTTGTTAGATTACTGAAAATAATATGGCGGTTGTTAGATTACTGCAGCAGCGTTATTCGGAAATGAAAAATCACAACTTTGAGCAAATTCAACGGATTTCACCATGCAAGACAATATTACCTTGTGTATATATAGAATTTCACTGTAACCATCATTATGGCTGCACACGATAGGCTGAATCGAGATCCTCACCATCCGTCCAACAATTCAAATGGCACGAGTTGGATCACTTATACCGAGGATAACGCAGTTCACGACTTTGGTCACCACCAGTACTCTAACCATTCTCAACACGATCTCTACAATGATGACCAGATTGATGAGGCGAATTATATCTTTGCCTGCCTTTGGGTGTGCATGTTGATCCTGTGCACCGTCGGCAATGCGCTTAATCTGTCCGTATTATTGCGTACCGGGTGGCTGAGCAAAATGGCGGTCTGATTCAAGGTGGTGCGCTGGATGCGTCTGTTGCTTGATTGACATCATCTTAGGTTCATTCGAAAGAGCAATGCTTTTAACATAAAAAAGTTAAGTCGAGGCAAGATTTTCCTAAGTCTCGACGTTTTCTAAGATTTTTTCGAAAAACTGGGTGGGTTTAGGGGCTGTCCTGGAAGGGAAAATTTAAAAATACCCGCTTCTAAACCAAAAATTGCTGCTAATCAGCTGAGCAGAAAAAATTTTCTCGGGTTAGTGTTTCCGATAGAGGGGTTCATCCTTGTTTTTTTACTGTATGGAATTGCAGTATTCTAGCAACGGTGCTCGGCCAGCAGACGGAATAACTGAGACTCTGCACGACTAATTCTCATGAAATCCGCTAGAAGGAGTTTTGAAATCGAATTCTAAATCAACGCTTCGAAAACTTGTCTGGTTTGATCTTGTTCCTGGAAGCGCAATGTGTCAGCTACATTTTGAAATAAAACCGACATTTCTTGTTGCTTCCTAACACGCAGCCAAAAATTTTAACGAAAAATGGTCATAAAAATAAAATTAAAAACCGGCATTTTTTGGGAAAGTCACAAAGTGCGCCGACCGCATAACTCGTCCAGCGCATGCAATATGTCAACAACTGTTTTTTAATTGAAAGAAGGTGTGTTTCTCTTGACAAAGCAGTTAAAGATATTCAAAAAGTCCATACTGGAAAGAAATGCCACGAAATTCTAAGTTTGGAAAGCTGGGACACGAAAAATTTACACACGACCTTGGATTGCGCCATTGCAAGCGATCACGGCTTACGTTTTCCAAAAACGTTTTGTTGATTCTGATAGCCAAAAAAATTTCCTATTGAACGAGTCTTATCAATTTACGGTCGAACCACAGGCTGACGAGAAACAAACTAAAACATGAGACCGCCATTTTTTTCAGCCACCCGGGTAAATTTAAAAACGTGGAAAACGTCCGCTTGTCATTATACGTATGATCCCTACCGCCGTAGCTGATCTTGTCTCTCTGTAATTGTCAGAATTATTAGTTAACAGGAAGGGTAGGTGGAATACATTTGTACTTCAATTTTCGTCATATTTCGGTCATTTATTAAACGTTTTCATGAACCGGTCAGGGTGTGCTTTTGCAGCGACCCCATTCGGCTCGCTAAATCCTTTGTTTTGTTTGCAAAATTTTTATAAGGATGTTTCTGCTTCGAAACATTCGGCACCGCGACATTTCACCTAGGATAATTAGTCCCAGGACATCAAGGCGCAGACATTTCGCCGCGAGTTCATTTTACCGCGCTTCGTTTTCCGCCGGGACAGTTAGTCGTCGGGACATCACGCCACCGGACATTTCTTCCCGTAGCCGTTTTGGCGCCGACAATTTCGTTTTCTTGAGCCGGCCACATAAGAAAACATGAGAAAACATAAGAAATATCTATGAAAACTTATGAAAACCTGGGTGAAAAAAAAAACAAAAACCTAAAAAACCTGTTACAACTAAGCGTGTCGAATTCGTTCGCGGTAAATTGACGCATGATTCGAGAGCTCCGAGACGGATTTTCCGCGATCGGATATCCTGCGTCAAAATTTCACAGAATTGAAATGTCTCAAAGCAATATGTTCTAAGGCGAGGTGTCGCAGTATCTCCGTCGCAGTGTCTTCGCGGCGAAAAGTCGCGCGTTGAACTTGAGTGCGGCGAAATATCGCACTCCCAGTTGCCCGGGTACGGAAAAATTCACAAGCGATGTTTTACTATAAAAGAATCATTTCTGAAAATTCGTTTTGTTACAGTACGTACTTTTGGCACATGGGGGCCAACTTATGGAGTTCTACACTTACAGTGACCAAAGTATAAGAAAAAACCGAAGTACAATCCGTATACCAAATGATATTGGCACCGCGGCATTTCGCCGAGGACAACTAGTCGCAGGACTTTTGGTCGGAAACATTTCGTCGCGGGACATTTAGTCGGCAGGCCGTTTAAACGCCGAGACACTTCGCTGTGAGTCTGTCGTGTATAAGCGTTCACGCCGGTTAGGGCTCCATGAACAATCTTTACTCTTCCACGCCTGTAATGCTCAGTCAGTAGGCACTCGTACTCTCAAACTGTAACAGATAAACTACGGTGGAAACGACGGACGACTCGGGAACACGGGAACTCAGGAATCCCTAACGAAGAGTCCAACTACAATCTCCGGTCGCAGTTTCTACGAGGATCAACAAGAGCTAGGACGATGGTGTCACGAGCAAACCTGTATACTAAGCGATAATCCGGGAACGACTATGCACTTCCGTAGGAACAAGTATTGCTGCCTCTTTATTAATACACTTCGTAGTCCACAACACAAGGAAATCGTAATTAGAAAGCAGTCTCAGAAGTAAATCTCAGACTACTGATACCGATATTAGAAGTGACAGGAACTTATATAGACTCTGCGCTATGACATCACTTACACCACTAGTAAAAGAGAACAGCAAATCACAGCATTGATTGACTAGATTATCCGTATGTTGCAGGTGGAAGGCGGACAGTCAGCATCCGTACGTACATCCCGGCGTGTGATCCTACTCCCACACGTCACCCCCACGAACGATGCTTGGCCGTGCCAATATAAACAATCCATCCCCGCAACATCTCCGTGCGATTGTGCACTTCCATCCATCCTGATCCCGATCCACCGCACAATCCACGTGTCCATCCGATGCCCAATGTGACTGTACGCCGCGATTCCGAGAGAGTTAGTGTAAGGAATCCTTGGCGAGATGGCATCCGGAAGTCCACGGGTTTGGCAAAGCGGAGGTCCAAAGATCCAGGAAGGCGAACTATGAATTACTTGTACTGTGCCGTTTCAAATGGTGTGATTATATGTACAGCGTACGGCATAAAACTTTATCGATGGTAAGATTAAAAGTGAAAATTATAATGATGTTCGATGCTGTTGTACTGTTACTACTATGCAAGAAACAAGCGAAACAGCAAAGGCAACCAGCTGGTATTCTTACGAATTCTCGAAGACCAGTGACACAGCAACAAGATCAATCAACAATAACAACCAAGCTAAGCCTAGTGATATAAAGATCATAAGTGCATAATATGGGTCAACCAACACGAAAGTAGAAACCA